TGTGCAATACCTTTCGGAATTGCAGCGGACCACCACTGCCTTCGACATTTGTGGTCCGGCAACATTTGCAGAACTGTGCCAAGGTGCACTGCACCGTCAAGATGTTAAAGAGCCTGCCGGGAACCAATGCTGGGATTCCTCTTTGAGCTTTCAAGGGATGTATCACTTCCCGTTTCAGGTCTGTCGATAGATCATTGGTTCCCGCAGCTAAAGAGATGGAGCATCTGCAATTCCTGGAAGTATTGCTAAGTATCGCTCTTTCAGTATTCAGTATTGCAGAGATCCAGAGCCCAGAGTTTTTTTTCTCATCATTCTTTGTCCGTACTTGAGCTGAAGCCAGCTCTCAAGTCAGCCGCCATGCCGGGTCGGAAGGCGTCCGGATTCAGGGACCTGATGCCAAGTGACAGCACCTCTGATGCTCCCTTTGACAGCTGATGCTATAGTTTCTTGCTTTCCTCGTCCCAACCTTGAGCCGTATCCGAACGTGTCGTCCTCGATCTCGATCTCCTCCGGAATGTCCTGCTCGCTTGGCATCTAAAGGCAACTCAAAGGCGAGACAATGTTTGTGTCAAAGCAAGTCTTCTCTGGAGAGATAACCTTCGATTCTAAACACATACCCTGATCGCCCTGCCCTGACCTCTATAGGCAGAGCAGCACCGATCCCTTCATCCTGGCGCCGGGGAACATGTGAGCACGTGCCAAGGCAGCAATGCCTGCATTCCATGCCGTGGCCTCCTCCGAGGAGGTGTCGGTAAACTCAGCATTACGGGCAGCCTGCAGGCATAGTCACTTAGTTGTAAGCAGCCTTCTTTCATGGTAACTGCTTCCGTGGGACATGGACTGGCAAGTGCAGTCCTGTGCAAGATCCGTTGCTACCTTGCTCTGTCTTGGGGCGCTCTGCTCCCGCAGCTCCTTCGGTTGGGGACCAGTACGCCGATTCAGGAATGCGTAAGTCCGCGAGCTCCGTGGTCGTCCTGCAGAGCTTTGCCGGAGCTGGCAGCCTCGACCTGTTGCACAGCGGGGTGCTTGGAACAGGCGTGCATGCAAGCAACTGAAGGTACCAGGTTTGGATTTCTCCATGCAAACAACATCTTTTCAGTGGGCTGGGAACTGCACAAGGAAGGAATTTGGATCGTCGAGACGTGAGGCGGTAGGAAATTCTTTGGACAAGCACGCCATTCTGAAGCCCGAGAGTGATGATTAGTTTGAATGCTGCTCGGCAACTTGGCACCAAACCCCCCGTCGGGGGTGTCAAGCAACAGTGCAATGAAGCGATGGACGTCTCACCGGCAAAACCGAACTTCGTCTCGACCGTTGCTGTGTCACGACTGTGTCGAAGGACAATCTTGCGTCTATGAAGACACGTTCTCTGATCACTACAAGCATGAACTACAATAAAGGTACCTATGGGCACGGCAAATGTGGAAAGCTTCCGCATGAAAGCGTCCTAGACCCCACAGCTTCCGTCTTCAGTGTGCGTAAGGTGATAAATGACCAGATGGGAAAAGTACGCAAGCGTGGACGATGTTGCAATTCGCCCGAAACCACGGCAAACCACCGTGTCTTGCCCAACACTTTGAGAGCCCTACGCCCGACACCCGGAGACGAAGGACGCGTCCACCCGGACATCAGAACGAGAGCAGGGCTGTTGGCGAACCTACTGTCGGCTTGCATGCGAATAACCTGCGGGGAAAGTACCAACGACAAGTGTACTCAACAGTCGCCCACCGTGCCCAAAGGGCCGCTAAAGTTTACGACGCCAAGCTTTGTTCATCAGACTCGATCAGCTTGTTGCTTTATTTGTGTGTTCGACTGGGGGTGTTTCCAGCAGCAATTGCTTCATCATGAGCAACCCTTGCATTCATCCATTTCATGTGCCATTTCATGGCACATGAAAAGGTCCGAGTCAAATGAAAATCAGCATCATTACGGGTAACACAAAGGCAACTACTGACTGAAGAATCTTGACTGCCACTTGCAAGTAGTTGTCGGCCTGGATGGCTGCAGGGGTGGACTCTCCCGTCGGAGTGTCTTCCTGGCGAGCCAAGAGATCTGCTTCCAGCGTTGCAGTTTGCCAGGCAAGCAAAGGAGGAAGATAAGGATCAGGAGGAGGAGGGTGCAGCAACTTGCAGCAGGCGCAGTGGCAAGACAGTGTCGAGCACAAGAGCAAAATTGCGATTGCAGGTCAACCGGACTGCGATCTTTTCTACGAATCAATTGGCATTAACGGGCAGCTCGTGCACCAAGCTCATGCGGACCGCCTACAGCTGTGACCTCCGAAATCGTGCTGAGGAATCTGGATCTGTGTATTTGCATGGCAGGGGAGATGGCTCCAAACTCTACATGTATCGTTTACCGAGAGCAGTTCACTCAGGACTGCAGACGCACAGCAGAAGCCGAGACATCCGACTTATCTTCTGTGCTTTTCGGTTTGCACATTGACAAGGCACATACATGTTCGTTTTTGTTTCGTTTGGGGACTCGACCTTGAGCATAGGCAGGCTATGTGCAGTGATGTCTCAGGCGCTACAATAACGGCACTTGCAGCTTGATGGCTTGGCCCATCGCAGCTGGAAGTTCTGCGCCCTAGGCACTTCAGCTCAAGGCAGGGAAGTGGCTCGTGGCGGATACATATGCTGGCCAGCGAAGTGCTCACCATCAGCGGCAACACCCTTGCCGATGATGTGCACCTTCTCATTGCATGCTCACCAAACCTACGTCACTCCAACCAGAATGCATGAGCTCGTGCGTTGCCTTGTGCCGCTCATGCGGTGCTTTAGCATCATGCACAAAGGATGGGTCGGATTGGTGCTGTGACACGACATGAGTGGATCCAGGGCAATGCTCAGCAAGCACGCCGCAGGACTGTTTCCCCCTGCCAGCCTGCGCAATGGTTATACCGGGGCATGGCAGCGAGGACCTCCCAGCGCAAAAACAAACAACTTGCGTCACCACACTGCCACTAGCACGCACGCAGCGGCCTGCGGCCGCAGGTGGGGTGGTGGTGACTGCGGTGTCGCAGATGGATGCACGCTGCCTGGTCCGCTAGCAAGACAACGGATGACGAAGGAATGCTAGTTTCTTGCCTCGTGCTGGGACGGGTCGCTGGAGCACAGGTGCACCTTGGGTCCCACGAGCAGTTCGGACTCACGCCATCTCAGGCCGCACTGCCGCACTGAGTCTTCTGACATCTTCGAACTGCCTACGGAGTATGCTCGTGATCCGGGGTCTCTCGGTCTCCGACCCGGACTTCTTGCCCGAGCGGCGAGTGGCACCTGTGGGGCCCAGGACCTGCCCGTTTTGCAACCCACAGAGGCACAGCTCGGTTTCATCCGCTTGCATCTGTTGCGTCTGGAGATCTTTGTAGAGCATAGAGACGGATCTGATCTGACGACAAAGCTTACATCTTCTGTCAACACTGCAATGTCAAAAGGCACGTCTGCTTTGGGCAATCTATGAGGTTTTCGCTATTTTCGTTGCATCCAACATGCAGTTATGCGAGCCCTCTTTTTGATCTTCACCCTGTGCCTTGAGCATCTATTCACTTTGTCTGGGTGCCTGTTCCTGAGCATGGTCTGCCCGTGCGATTAGTGCACATCACACGTGTGATTGCACTTAATGGCTGCTGCGCCTCATGGTCGCAGACAGATAGGTCATACAGTGCAAAATGCATGACACCCCGGGCAGTTTGTATTTATTTCTCTGCTTCCCAGGGTCTTCTTGCTTCTTTGGCTGGTGTTGCAAGCTTTGCCATTGCATGGTTGATGGATGTCACATGCACGGTCTTCTTCTTCTTCTTCCTCCTCCTCCTCGTCTCGTTCACCATGGCGTACCTATCCACTGTTGATGCCCTCTCACTGTCGTCCTCAGCCTTTTTAATTATTGACCTGCCTGTTCGCAGCTGGTCAATGATGAAGGAAGCAGCTTCTCGTTTGTCATCGCTGTCAACGATCATCTGATCTGTGTTTTTTTCTTTTATGGCATCGCGTTCTGTCTTCACCTGATCTCGGCCCTGATTGTCAGTTTGGGATCGCCTGCTTCTGGAACGGGGGTTTTGAGAGTTCACATTGAAGATTGAGGCCGGGCTTCCCAAGTTTCAGGTCTGCGGCTGCTCTCGAAGGGAGGCATGGTCGTGGCTTCGCTTCCAGAAGTCTGCTCTGCCTCCTGTTTACAGGAGGCGTCGTGCATCAACGATGACGAACGACAAGAATAATCTCTTGTGCAACTGGAGAAGACGATAATCCCTCACTCTCAAGGATGTGCTCATCGGACACGGATTCTTGTAGCAGGCCTTCCGACCCCGTACTGACCATCTCTCGCCCTTTGGAAGCCTTTTTTCCATATGTGCGACCTGGCTCAAAATCCTCAGGGCAATGTCGGTGTCCAGACAAGCTGGGACTGAAGATCTCTCGAGCGAAGGGAAGGCGTTTATCTCTAAGCAGGTCTCTAAACACTCTAAAGGTGACTCGTGACAACTTGAGACCCTTCGCAGAAGCATTCCCCTTCTGAAGGGCAGTCACGCCTTGCATGTCAGCTACAACCCGCTACGATGCTGAGAGCGCCGTAAAGGACTTTCACAGAGAGAAAAGCGGTACAAGAAAATGGCAGTGCAAGCTTGCACTATCTTGCACTACACTGCAATGTGTTCGATGGCAAGTGCCCAGTGCCTTGGCGCAGAGAGCTGTGCGGGCAAAGCGAGGCTGCCTGAGACCTAAGTCAAGTGGTCCCATTGTCATGTGGTTTCAGCTCGGAATAGCTTCTGGGACCGCTTGTGGGATCTGGATCTTACAAGCAAGAAATCCGGTGATGCCGTGTGAGGGCGGGGCAGGCACGGACTGTGCACCGAGCAGCGGTGACGGAGACAGTACTCGGGTGCGACCTCTCGGAACCCAATGCAAGGTCAGCAGAAACGTTGAAACTTCATCCATCTTCATCCACGCTTACTTCCGTCGTCGGTGATCTCAGCTTTGCTTTTCAAACTCGGTCAAGGTCGCCCGCACCTTGAGGGACACAAGCGGAGTAGGCAGGGCCAGCGATGCCCGGGCCACTCCTGTGCAGGAGTTACAGAGATGACAATGTTACTTGCCTCCATTACCTCTCCAGTCCGACACTTGCACTAGGTGGATCTCTGCGGCGCCCGGTGGACGAGGTGGGCGACAATGCGACCGTGAAGTCGCCGACGCCACGGGGACCTCATCATATCGAACAGCTGTTACGCGAGCTGAGCTTAAGAAACTCATTGGTTACAGTGCTACAGCGGCCCATCAAGTCCCCCCGCCTAGTGGAGTTGGTCGGTCACTGGCCACCTGAACAGGGCTCTGGTTCAAGCAGGCCACGACAAACGAAGAAGCACCACCTATAAGCCCGGCAGAGTTTTTCGCCAAAAGGTGTGGCAACACTAAGTATGGGGTTTTATGGGGTTCTATGGTCGGGGGCATGTAGGTAGGAGGAGGTTGAGGTGGGCATGTGGCGCCCACGGAAGCTTCGTGGCTTTCGCTAGGTGAGGCCGTGGGCTTCGAGAGCTTCGGGAGTGACGACTGATAAATGCCCCAAATGCAGGAAGCGGAGGACAATGTTATTCAAGAGTTTTTCACGTGTTGGGACATATATGTTGCAAGCGGGCAGTTCATGTTGGTCACTGCTCTTTTAATGACCTTCAATTCAAATATGCAGCCTGATGCAACTGGCAGGAGTTTGCACAGCATTCAACCAGCCAGAGGCAAGGCTGCAGCAAGCAGCAAGGACAGGAGCAAGGTCGCTTGACAGTATGCATGTCAGCAGGCCCTGACAGCTCAACACGTGGACACTTGGGATACACCACGGTATGCAGCGGTTTCCACTGTACCACTTACCCTCCTTAAACCCTCAGCGCTGTTCCCAAGCCCTGTAGCCACCCATGTAACGGGCCTGGACAGCACGCCGGAGCTCCTGGGCAGCCAGTAGAAGCAGCCTCCCGAAATTTTGTGGAGCTGCTGAGTCGGCCTTGTTACTAGGGTTGGCTCTCTTGTCAAGGGCTCTGATGGGCTCTGGCGTCAAATCCCTCCAGCGGCCCTAAATCCCAAACTTTAGGCCCTGATTTCAGCATGAGGTCCTCTGATGTCTCTCCTATCCATGTCAGGCACGCTCGACATTCCAGACCAGAGTTCCGAGAAAAATGCCGCTGCCTGCAAAACAACAAGACTCTGCATTCCGCGGGGTCTTTCTGGTGATTATGGCCTACGATGGCCGAACTTGTCGATGTGGAGGCCTTCCAAGTCCTGAATGCAGCAAAGTCATGACAAGGAGTGCATGGCTTCATCAATCCCGCGTGCACGTTGCTCACGTCATGTCCTCCTCTGTCAGGGATAGCAAGACAGCCCCAGAAATAGCATGCAAATGTACCTTGGTTTCGGCTCATCACTGCCCCCTGATTGCTACCGTCATCTTGTTGTAATGTGCCACCACAAAGTGGCGAGTCCAACTATCTTCAGCTGCAGTGGCCACATCCAGGATGTCCGCTGGCACTGTCGAGAGCTTCGTCAGCCACTGCGCAACATCCTCCTGCAAAGACCAAGCCCCAACATCATCAAGCAAACGCTCAACACCTGCTGTGTCTTCAAATGGTTGAGGCATGTTCAGGCTGGAGTCTGTAAGAAATTCTTCCTCGGCCGGCACAGTTCGTACAACTGCTGGCCACAGGATCCTTAGGCGGCCTTAGGCAGCCATCTTTCTAGACCAGCTCTTGGTCGTCCTCTGTCCAATCGCGAACTGGCTTCCCCACCTGTGAGGTACAATGTGTAGGGCAGCGAGAAGGTCTCCTACTCCGTCCTAGCTGGTCCTCCACCCTCTTACACAGGTCTTACACTGTCTTACACTTCTGTACTCTTCTTGGTCCAATGGCCCTTGGAACTCTCACCCAGCCCGCCCAAAGTCCCAAAGCCTCTGCAGGGTCCGCGAAGCCATTGAGGGCACTGAGCCAGGTGGGTGAGCGCGTCGACGAGGATGCGCTGTCAGGGTAAGAAGGTTTGAAGTACAGAGGGGTTTAGGGTTTAGGGTTTAGGGGGTTCGGTGTCCAGCTGCAACAAACACGAAAGATCGCAGCCAGTCGGTGCCGAGTCACTCATTGTCTGTCGGCTCCAACGGAACTGAGTCGTCATCAGATGCTTTTGTCGAGCACTAGCCGCACAGCGCATACCAGCTTTTGGGAGTTGTCCTGGATGTCCCCATGTGTTTACTGCTGCCAGGTAGCTTGCCACAGGTTCTGCACAAGGCTCAGCAACCATGGTGACCGGCTCATAGAGCCCTGAGGGTGCACAAAGTTTACAGTACATTAGCAAACGGTGAGAATGCCCTCAAGCTGAGTTGTGCTGAGTTTAAGCCCATCTGCCCCAACTTACCCCACGCGCCCGAAAGACTGCCTACGACTGGAGCGCTGTCGCTTCGACTCGGAGGAGGCGCGCCCGGCCTTAAGTGCTTCCACGGGAGCTCGGGATTCTTCTGCTGCTTGGCTCTCAGGGTGCTGCAAGGGCCGCATGGACCCGAAGCTCCAACATTTGGGGTTCTTTGGAGGGGAGAGGAGCTTCTGCGGTATTGGGCCTCAAGAATGAAGCTTCATGGACCACCTGGATGTGTTCTGTTGTTGCCATTTCAGATAAGCTGATGCCTCTTGCATCCAAGCATCCTTTGGGGCGCTGCGTGTGCCGGAAGCTGGGCAGCCGACCTCCCACAAATGACAGGGGAAACTGTGAAGCTGCATTACTGGAAGAGAGATTGGGTTCAGGGCTTAGGGCGTAGGGTTTCGGGATAAGTCGTGGTGGACCCCCCACGCCTGCTCTTCTGTGGCGGGTGGGTGGTGAGTGGGGGAGGGGGATCGGAAATAAGTAGCCCCGAATTGAGGGGGTATGCGGCATGGGGAGTTCGACCATGGTGCCAAGCAGCGAGAGAATCCCGATCTCGAGTGGCCCTACACACAACGCCTATGTTACTCTTGGTGGGCAGTGCAGAGACCGGTCGCAAGGCCTCCGAAACCGAAGACTGCTCCCTACCTCGGGGGCCCCCTCTCGCACACTTATTTTCTCTCTCTACGTGTCCGAGGCTTTGAAAACAATCACAGGACCACCACAATGTTCAATCCAATGGAGGTTTTTCGGGAAGCCTTCACAAGCCTTTGATCCGTACGTTGACAGCGGCACTATAAAACAAAGGTCAAGGACCTGGTCTACAGGACCGAAGGATATTCAGGGTTGCCGTCTTTCGGGCCGCAGCTCTCTACACACGCCAAGCAAGCACACTGAGTTTCGATTTTCACACTCACACGTCCCACACGAAAGATAAGAATCTTCATATAAGATAACAAGCTTCCAGGGCCAAGAAAATAATTCCTTCGCTCTCCCATTGCAGCTGCCTTGAGAGCATGTCGTTGGGCCGTGGGCCAACAACCTGCAAAGAAACACGGCTGCGCGACATGCGAGTAGGAGACATCTTGCATACTACAGCAAAGGTGCACCCTAATTCTCATGTGGTGTTCTGACTAGCAACCACCCCATCCCCCCCACAGCAACTTTGAAACTGAATAGTGAGGTAGCGCTTGGTGCCCTCTGAAGCAAGTTTGAGGACGGCCTCTGTGGCCGAGGCCTCTTCTGGGCCTCGCGCCTGGGCCTTGCACTATTCCGAACCACTTTTCTATGTTACTATTCCGAACTCCGGAACATCGTGGACTACCTACTGCCCTTGAAACTTGATGGCCCGGCTTTGGGCTGCAGCTTTGAAGGCTAGAGGCGTTAGGATTTACGGTCTTACAGAGGGGGGTGGGTGCGGGAGGGATTGCTTCTATTCCGGGCTAAGTTTGTTACAACCAAAGCTCTGCCATTGAGGCATGCCACCCATGGAGCAGTGGGAACCGATGCTGAACCTGACGCGGGTGCTGAGAACTCGCGCGGCTGCGACGTTGGTAAGGAGACATCAGCAGCGAGGTCCAAGCGTTTCCGAAACAAACCCAACAACAACTGGGAGTCTGGCCACACATCGGAGACTGTACACCCCTCGGCGCCAGCAAGCCCGGGTACTCCTTTGGCACCTAGGACAGCGCGGCATCGTTTCCAAGTCTTCAGCACCAGGCTTAGATAGATTAGATAGGCTGAGGCTGCCACCTCAAAGGGCAAGCTGGAGGATTCTGGCACGATGCCTGTCATCTGCTCTTGCAAACACATGACTAGCGACTGTACTGCATCACGAGCTGGCACTGTCTCAAGAAACGAAGATTTCGAGACAATGCAGGCAAACAGCAACGCAGCTGCAGCCTGCTTCTTAGCTGGCAGAACCACCACCCATCACAAACTAAAAGCTCATATCCAAGTCCTGTCCACAACACACTGCCCGCACTGCCCCTGCCTAATCTGCCTCCATTAGGAGGTGGAGGAGCTACGAGAGTCCTTAGGGTATGGCACAAAGGAACAACCTGCAAACGAGTATGGAACATACCCACCCTACCACAGAGTATCTGGGATATTCTCGGATGACGAGTGACGAGGGATTGCTCGGATCGGAGTCATCGTGGCACCACGTGTACTCTGGAAAAGTAGCCACATGCTGTCCCTGTTGATGCTCGTTTGAGCTGGCTGTGTTGGGAAGGATTGGTGGATCTCTTGAGCTCCGTGCAAAGAACATCTTGGAAGTCAGATTTGAGACCCAACGGCGAAGCTAGGGGTGCGGGGTGAGGACACGATCGATGCTCAACGCAGAGGATCGCAGGGGAACGAAGGGGGGGCTGGCCCCATGCAGGTGGCAGAGGGAAGAGATGGGGAGAGAGAAAGCGAGTGACTAGAAGACAGGGGGTGGAGGGGGGGGTGCCTGCTTGTAATGATACGCCCAGGGGGTCCTTGGCCCCAAGCACCCCTTTAATTGTTACCAGTACTGTAGCAAGACCTGCAAAGGCTTGTGCAGCAGTATTTGGCATCCGAGTGCTTGACACTGCTGGATGCGCAATTGTCCTTGGATCACAGAATTCACTCCGCACGATGAGAGCAGGTAGGGCATTGGTTTAGCATGCAAGATAGAGCGAGCTGCGTCTGCGGCGCAGAAATCCCCATGCCTTGGGGAGGAAGCGGCGAGAGGTGACCTGCAATGCCGCAAGCAGCAGAAGCAGCAGCGACAAAAGGAGAAAAGGAAGGAGAGTGGGTACAGGCCTGACCGCTGAAATGCGTTAAGTCGTGTTGAACAGGGCTGCGCCAGGAGCCTTGACTCCACAAAGTACGAAGAAGTATGAAGAAATGCAAGAACCCATGCTCAACATCTCTCAGCCACGCTGTTGGTGCGTCGAGTTATTCCGCGCGTCTGACTTCTAGCACGGCACTTCGATAGCCCAGAAGCTTGTTCAACATCCGGTCTGCCCCTCGAGGGCCACTTGAGCTGGTAGTGCAGCTACCACCAATGATGGCTTGGGCAACCTTATACAACACGGAGCAAGACCCAGTACTTCAAGCAACTCGACGAAAACACGACGTGCAAACTATCATGAAATATTCTGTCTCTCTTCCGCGGCAAGGCGCCGGAACTGCCTTGGCCATCGCAGGTGCCTCGGGCTGCTGCCTGAGATGAAATCGGACGTACAACCGGGACATCAGTACACTGAGGTGACGAGGACTTGTTGTGTCTTTGCAAGCCGGTTATTGCATACAGTATGCTTTTGCGGCTGCAACCAGGCGGCTGCACAGCTTCCGAGCTTGAGGGGGTTTGCGCCTGCACTTGCGCCATCGCCACAGCTGGTGATGCCGCCACAGCTTGCCTGCAGATCAGGACTTGGGTTTCTCAAGCTCCCGCTACGGGCAGAACTTTGTACGAGTAATGTCGATTCTGTGGGAACTCGGCGTTGATCAGTTTTGGCATTTACCAGTACTTCTGACTGGCATTACCCAGCCTTTCTCAACCCTGAGCTAAGATGGCAAAGCGCCTGTCATGGTCTGCTACTGCAAGGCCAGATGCGGGAACCCTAAGCCCCCCAAAGCCTATTGAATGCTGTGGGAATCACGCGTCTTGCCCCACCTTTGCGTTTCGGGTCGCAGACTCGATGGCGGTGTCGGATACAATTTCGTTGCCTCATGGGTTTAGGGTTTTGGCTTTCGAATTCGGCTGAAATTCTCACTGAGATCTTAGACACTGCATCTTCAGCACATGACCAGTGCTACGTGTGCATATGTACATGTAAGATGTAACGATATGAGCTAGTGTAGAAACATCTTGCACAACGACTTCTTGACAACGAAAAAGCCGGCGCACAAACAACCTTGCACAAATTTGCGTGCAATGGTTCTTAGCTTTTGCGGCAAGCTGCCATCCCTTAACCCCAAAACAGTTGCACCAACTAATATTGTGGAAGGACGTGCGACATCTAGATTTTGTCAGCAATCCTACAAACAAATCGCAACCACATCCTTAAAGATGTTAGAAGAAGGTTTTTCTCAACAGACAAACCGTGAGACTGCCCCGAAAACGACTATCTCAAGAACGGACAAACTGCATGTGTGTAGAAGCATTGTTCTTCACAACAGCCACACCGCCATCAGCAGAATGAGGCAAAGCGTTCTCATCCAGAAAACGGGAAATCGAGGTGGGAAGATTCTCAAAACAAAAACAGATCACAAACACGCCCTTTACGGGCGCCGCAAGTTCTTTCCAAACGGTAAGTAAAGAGCGGAGGGACTCTTTTCTCTCACTACAAATGAGAGGAGAGCTACCGTGCCTTGTGAAGAAGAACATGTCTCAGAGAACCGCATTAAAAGCTAAAATGACCTCCTGTATGTCGCATAGGCAACAGTTCGTGTCATTAAAAAACAAGAGAAAGGAGAACCTGGGGAAGCGCACCTTTCATTTGCAAAGGAGTTTGTCTTGTTTTGGTGCAGAAGGGGGGGCCACACATGTTTATGAAGAATCAAGAGTCCCTCGTCTTCTCAATGAGAAGCTGACAAAGTGTTTCCCGTCCTCAATATGAAACCTTTCGTTTCTCAGACTTGAGCGGCCCATGCTAACTAAATGGGTCGTAGGAAGTACAAGATGTTGGAAACTCTTTCCGAGCCGAGCCTCCTTTAAGCTTACGAATTGGGATGTTCCCCCTTATACTAGCAGTCCTGAATAGGGATCATAGTAGAGGGTACTAGAATCCCTATTGAGGACTGTTCGTATAAGGGGGAACATCCCAACTTACGTCCTTGTAGATGTTCTACAAGGACGTGTTCTTTTGACGTTGGGGAGGCTCTCTGGCTTCAGAAGCAGCATCGGGGGAGTGTGATCGTTTCAATTCTCTGTGTCGCATGCCTCCCGAAAGAAGATGAGTGGTTTCGAAGCTCCGCTGTCAAGATTTTCATGAACGGTTTGTGTTCTAAGCTTCTGTCGGAACTTTGGGGATTCTAGCATTTCCAAAGGAATGCGGAAACGAAGGGTTTTGTTACAACATTGTTGGGCTCGTTGAACATTTTTTGATTTTTTTACTGAAAACTCCCTGCGCCCCCCCCCCCCCCCCCCGCCCCCCAATGCCCGACAATTCTAAACGACCCCAGGAAATTCAGAAAGGGAAGCGTATTCACCAAAATCAATTGTTATGCGTTTTTCTCTTGCGAACACATATACAGCAAAAAATATGTGTACACATACATACAAGTACAATGCATGCATACATGCATGTGTATGAAGGTCTGTATGTCAGTCATGTCAAAACCATGATGCTGGTATCATCTTGTACTGAAAGCAACATGGAACACGTGCAGCTCCAGATGCAAGCTCCCCAATAGCTACTGTCGAGGCCTGCAGCGTGGCATGGTGATCACGCGCTGCTTGCGGCACAGGCTCTGGCACTTGCGCCTGCGGCTGTAGTGCTGGCTGCGGCTTGGGCCTGACTTCTGCCGTCTGCCCGGATGGCCGAAGCTGTGGTTGCTTCGGCGCCGGTTGCGGGCTGTGCCTGTTGGGCTGCCGCACAGGCTGTGGCGTAGATCTGTCTTCTATCTGCTGCCCTGGTGGTGCCAGGGGTTCGTGCGGCTGGAGTGAGTTTTGGGATTCTTGGCTGGGAGGTGGAAGTGTTGGCTGGGTCTGTGGGTACGGACCTGGCTGAGGCACGATCCCAATACCTGCCTGCTGCCCAGGTGGTGCAAGCTGTGGTTGGGACTCGTGCGGCTGGAGTGCTGTTTGGGATTCTTGACTGGGTGGTGGAAGTGTTGGTGTTGGCTGGGTCTGCGGGTACGGACCTGGCTGAGGCACGATCCTACCTGAGTGCTGCCCAGCTGGTGCAGGGTGTGGCTGTGGTTCGTGTGCCTGAAGAGCTGGTTGAGTCTTTTGACTGGGTGGTGGAAGCGTTGGCTGGGTCTGCGGGTGCGGACCTGGATGAGGCACGATCCCAACATCTGCCGGCTGCCCAGGAGGTGCAAGCTGTGGTTGGGGTTCGTACGGCGGCAGTGCTGGTTGAGATCTTTGCCTGTGTGGTGCAATTGTTGGCTGTGGATACGGACCTGGCTGAGGCACGATCCCAACACCCGCCTGCTGTCCAGGTGGTGCAAGCTGTGGCTGGGGCTCATGCGGCTGCAGTACTGGTTGAGATCTTTGCCTGGTTGGTGGAATTGTTGGTTGGGTCTGCGGGTACGGACCTGGCTGAGGCACGATCCCAATACCTGCCTGCTGCCCAGGCGGTGCAAGCTGTGGTTGGGACTCGTGCGGCTGGAGTCCTGTTTGGGATTCTTGAATGGACGGTGGATATGTTGGCTGGGTCTGCGGACTTGGCTGAGGCACGATCCCAATACCCGCCTGCTGTCCAGGTGGTGCAAGCTGTGGCTGGGGCTCGTGCGGCTGCAGTACTGGTTGAGATCTTTGCCTGGTTGGTGGCATTGTTGGCTGGGTCGGGGGGTACGGACCGGGCTGAGGCACGATCCCAACCTCTGCCGGCTGCCCAGGTGGTGCAAGCTGTGGTTGGGGTTCGTGCAGCTGGAGAGCTGGTTGAGATCTTTGCCGATGTGGTGCAATTGTTGGCTGTGGGTACGCACCTGGCTGAGGCACGATCCCACCACCTGCCTGCTGCCCAGGTGGTGCAAGCTGTGGCTGGGGCTCGTGCGGCTGGGGAGCTGATCGTCGCCTAGGTGGTGGCATTGTTGGCTGTGTCTGTGGGTATGGCCCTGGCTGAGGCACGATCCCAACACCTGGCCGCTGCCGAGGTGGTGCAAGCTGTGGCTGGGGTTCGTGCGGCTGCAGAGCTGGTTGAGAATTTCGACTGGGTGGAAGTGTTTGCTGGGTCTGCTGGTATGGCCCTGGCTGAGGCACGATTCCAACACCTGCCTGCTGCTCTGCAGGCTGGGAGTGTTGGCCGACTTGTGGAACTGTTGGCTGAGTCTGCGGGTGCGCCCCTGGTTGTGGCACGAGCTCAGCTGCCTCGGGGGGGGGGGGGGGCACTGGTGGAGCGTGACCAGGCACACAGGATCCAGAAACAAATGCACAAAAGGCACGGTGACCATGAGACTTGGACACCCAGATGCATTGAACAGATGCAAGACCTTATGAACGTGTTTGCGAGCCATGCGAGCCTTCGACTTATTTCGCGGCGGGGGTGCCGACGTGTCTATGTGCGCCTGCCGTGGGGCAAGCACGGGCAGCATCAGCACAGCTGAACGAGGTGTTTCAACTGGCATGTTTTAGCACTTCCTACTGCCCACTCCCATGACTAGTATGCATGCCAGCGCTCCTCACCACTGGGTCTGCGTGGGTCTTGGGAAGCCTTGACGCAAATCTTCCACTCTGCTGCTCGCTACAATGCGCTCAGCACGGCAGTGGCTGCACCAAGCTGATGAGATTGGACTCGTACGATTAGCTGGCCCCTGATGATCTTTTGAGTGCTCAGGGCTTCGCCCCAGGATGAATGGGCTGCGCCGAGGCCGCCTGATACAGTATGCATTTGAACTGGCCATGCTGGTTGTGGCAACTTGGCACTGAGACAGCACTTCCTCTGGCAATCAGAAGTGGGTTGGGTCGGCCTGACCAGCAGGGGCAACTTCTGCTGTCTCGGGCGTTCCAAGGCTGTCCCATGCAGCCTGCAAGACACCAGGTTGACCAGATCGTGGGTTCAACAGAGTGTGTTGCTGTGGTGCCGGAAATGGAGCCCCTTAAGAAGCCCTTAAGAGCTTCATCATAAGCTACATCTTTGAAGGAACAGCATGATACTCCGAGAGGCCTCGCACCTAGACTATCCTAAGTCCGATATGTCCTACTCCGCAAAAGTAAGAACTCAACTCAAGCTCTGAAGCAGCCCAGTCGCATCTTCGTAGCACTCCTCCTCAGCAGCCACCCACCCCCACACACACACAGAGTCATACACAGACACCAGTCGCAAACTGACTCAGTGGCTACGATCAGCACTTTGCCCTCATGCCCAATGGCCATAAAATGGCCAGGGGACTAATGCCCGCATCGCCAACGAGCTTTTGCGTCGCTTTTCGAAGGACTCCTGTGCAGCACACCGTGGAGCTGCTCCATTTCCATCACCGCACAGCACCGCAGCATGGCCCAGGAGACTGCATGCGCATGGGTGTGTGCTTGCTCTGAACATGCATTCAGCTGCTTGGGGTTCATTTCACAGTTCAAACTTCGTGTCGTGGCCTCCTCCTGGATTTTTCTCTCCAAGCGCGCCTCGCTGGTTGCAATGCGAGTTCCAGGTCAAACATCTGGTTACAGAGCTTGCAGTCCGCAGTTCAGTTCAACTCACCGTCGCCGACACCATGCTCACTCTTCACAATCCGAACAGAGTCTCAACACGCATCCACAACATTCGACAGCATGTGTGCACCACATAGGCGCTCATATGCAACCTCGCGGCAAGAGTCCACTCTTCGCTGGCCTGCGCCTAAACAGAGCAAAGCTGCACGAAAGACGCAAGGGAGCTACAAACTGTCAACTAAGGCCAGCACGTTTCCTGGAACGGTTTGCTCAGGAGCCTGGGGTTCAGCGACGGCCGGAGCTGCTTTCTTCGGCATGCTCGGCAGCTGCATCCTCGCACGTTCACCAGAGATTTTTCCGGAGGCGCTCTCAACGACTCCAAGTGTGAATTCAGGGCGGCTGGGGACAGGGGAAGGTCAATGCAGAGAGGGACGGGAGGGGTTAACAAACAACACTTATCAGCCCATGAAAGTACTTACACACCACCCCCGACGTGGACGCTCATTTGAAAGCGTTAGACATGAGTAAGAAGATACGAGTATTTGAGGAGAACGCACATGACATGGACAAAGTTGGAAAACATTTCGTTAACAAGCACAAAGCTTGCCGACGCTGACGTTTTAAAGCACCGTGTACATATGTGTAGGCTATTCTGGCATGCATTCTGAAAGCGACTCCTAGCGAGATGCTCGATAATTTCGACATTACGTTCGTCATTGGTCAACTATTTCGAGATGCACTTGGCGACCATTTCATTGACGCCCGCGCAAATGATTCAGCTTTGCCGGCAAGATTCCCCAAGTCATCCCAGTCAAGCTCATAGGTATCGAGGTCGCATGGCTTTGTCGACCCCCTCTTCAGCACACTGAGCTTCCCTGCCTGGTGCTGATAACGGGGGGCTTCAGAGCAATTTAGAGCAAAATCTCAGCAACACACTGCAAAAGACTCATGGCAAAGCAGCCCTTGCTGAAGCATGTTGAGCTGAGCAGCTGCTGAAGCCTCCTCCCAGTCCTCAGCCTGCCTCATTAACCTGGCTGGCACTCTGTAGTCAGATGTACCGATGTGCCCGAGACATGCAAAGTTGGACCAAGAGAAGTTGCTGCACTGTGGCCTACCTTGTGCATGCCTTTTGCAAGGACTCACCAGTCAAAGGAGCCTAAGTCCTAACTCTGCTCTGGAGTGCCGGTGCTGCTCTGAACATCTCTGAGCAAGGTATACCTGAACTGAAAAGCCGAGCCACTCTTGGTCGGCGGAAGCAAAATGCGGACGCCCCACAGTGACAGCACCGGAGCGCTCCCCCGGTATTGCATCGGCCATTCCAGGCAGGTACTAAGGTACTAGAAAATTTCTACTGCAGCGTGAGGCTGACCTGCTGCAGCTGCTACCTTGCATGTCATGTACTGTAGGAATCTGTAGGGCATGAACAGAGTGCCACGTATGACTCACTTAAGTCGAAAGGAAGTTGCGGGTAAGTATACTTGTGTACTTGTGGAGAAAGGATCGGCCACCAAACGTGAGCTCAAGAGCTTCAGAGTTTGCTTGAACAGCAAGCTGCGGAAACCAGGTTGGTGGGCTCACTGAGTGAGTCTTGGACCCAGACCCTCAGCTTGCCGGTACATCTGATTACAAACACCAACAAACTCTCCCTTTTGACGAGAGGATGTTTCTTAAACCACCCGAAATGCTTAATGGTTCCCTTTGCCCGATGGACCCTGAAATTCTGAGATCTTGGGCTTCAGCCCCAGGTTTGATCGTCTAAGAGATTTTGAGCAACCGCCCCTGCGCTTCTAGCAATGCTGGGGCGACTGCTTCCTGGATTCTAGTGGCCTTGCTGCTTCTTGTTGCTTCGCGTTTTCCCAAGATGCTTTGACCATGCTTTCCAACCCATACCCCTTAAAGCCAGCGGGCCCTCCCAAGCGCCTGAGAATCTTCCGACTCACCCGGCGGCCTTGGCTTTCAGAATGTCAAGGATGACTAGGACGAAATAGAGCGGTTGGCTTCTTGCGACGTTTGAAGCACCGACTCAAAGTTGGAATACTGTCGCAATCTTTCCACCGTCCTTCCATCAGCCCTTGGGCGGCCTGCTGTTGTGTAGACATGTGCAGGATGACTGTATCATAGCTGCAGACTGACTGTAGGTCAAGGTTTGTCTCGAGATTCACACGGGGTGTGGTCTCGTAGTTGGGGCTCGGTGCCAAAACTTGCTGGAGGAGGTTCTACCCCATGAATCCATGGTGGGCATTGCTAGCCCGAAGGTGGCGCTTACCAGCAGATTCGGTGAATGACGTTTGAGTTTAGGGCTTTAGGGCTTGCTGCACCTTCACCCCTTGTTGACACGAATACTTGTAGTCAGAAGAGAGAAGAATTCATCACCACGTCATCACACATCCTTTCAATACTTTGTCACGCGCGCTCGGCCTTCATTCGCGCCGCATGAATGCAGCCAAGAGGCCTGCCAACATGCACTCTGTCTCGTCTGACTTCCGAGCCTGAACAAGCTGCAGACTTCTATTTGTTCAGCTTTCCACAGCTCAGGCCCCGTAGCCGCGGCACCCTTTCAGTGCAAAGCGTGCCCAGCAGACTTAACCTACCACAAGCCTACCAGCGCACGCAGCCCTGCAACTCTAACTTCAAGCAACTGGCTATCCTGGCTATCCTCAGTTTTGTTCCCCGACGAATCTCATCCGGGTTTCCTGGAAGTCCTGTACAGTCTTGATCCAGGCAAGGACTGATAACGGTGTAGGGTCTTTGCCCAACTGCATTCACATTGCATTCATGGGTGGCTGTCATGCGCTCGACACCATCACCCGTGCATTAACTGACACACCAGGAAGGGCATCGCAAGCTTGCACTTATACGAAGAGTCCTTAATAGGGATTCTAATAATCCCTATTAAGGACTGTCAGTGTAATGCAGCTTGCAGAACAACGAAAACGGCCACGACCGGAAATGAGCACCAGCACGGTCTTGTTCACGGCGAGCTTGGGTGATCCTTCCTGTGTCGGGTTGCACTACTTGAAGGTCTCGAACCCTCCATATCCCTCGATGGACCATGGATTACAAGTAACATGCTATTGCGCGGCAAAAAAAGTGTGCTGTGGTGATTCTGCTAGTGCGGGTAGCACATCTTCATACTGCAATCGTGACAGCAGTCTCTGCAACATGTGGCCGACTGTCCTTCTCAGCTCGCAGACCTCTTTCACCTCGGCTCGGGCCCACGTCTGAGCCGAAAGCTGAAGTCTGCCCTCTCTCTGAACTTAGCGTCTGTCATCGGAGTCTCTGGTCTCCAGAAGACCCTTCACCCTAGGCCCCTAGACCTTCCTTCTAAAAACTCACCCGGATCAAGGGACCCTTCCCATTGCGGAGCCGGGACCCGGCGTGCAGTGCGTGCGGCCGCGTCCAGGGCGCCGAAGCCATGGAAGCGGCGGCCCAGCAGGCCATGCTGCCCGAAGATCACCTCGGCTTCGGGTGCTGGTGGGTTTTGGGGGCTTTTCTTGCGGGATTGTGCCTATTACGCGATCACAGGTTCTTGAGGCCCAAAGGCCAGCAGGCCTCCGGTCTAGCTGGGTCCCATGCTTCTCCTGGTGTCCTGGTGGTTTTTTCAGGGTGACCGGCTCATGGAGGTTGCCTGAGCACACCCTATACCCCGAGTGCCTGAAAGGCAAGCTCGTGTGCCTCTCACAAATCGGACAATGCCTGTGTCAACTAGGCGAAACTTTAATTTCTGGACTTCCCTTCCCGAATTCCCTGGAAGCAGACCTTGCTCCCAAACTGCCATCGCCGTACCCGCCACAGGTTCCATAACTACACGTGTAAGAAGCATGAACTTTCGTGTAACAGGATGTGTCTCAACAATACTGGTGTGGGGATACCTCAAGAAAGCTGAGCTGCCGCGTGCAGTTTGGCATCGAACTCCTCCGTGTCGCCTAGCGCAGGTGCTGTGCAACATCACGGACAGGCTTTGCTTGCCTTTCTTGTGCTTGATAATATACTCACATCTCTTTCAGGGCTTGGCCTCTACAACGTTGCAGCAAACCCATGGTTGCATGCCTCGAACTGTGCTGGAACTCCTCTCCCGTTTGCCAAGCAGCCAATTTTTGCCAAGATATCCGCCTTGTCCTCCGGCCTTAACTCTCGCGGCTCTAGCACGCAGTGAGTCAAGGCCCCCGATTCTAGTGAAATTGCGCATGTGTTCCTGATCAGGCACGCGCTGCATGATGTTGGGACATGTTCACACGTTGGCTTGCACTTCCCATCGCCTCGAGGCAGAGCAATCTCGCACAGACAGGGTGGCCAACGTGGCATAGGCTTGCGTGTCGACCTTGCTGTTTGCAGGGATCTAGCCAAGCCAATGTGTCTTCACCATGAAGCTCTGGGCAGATCCAAACAATCAAACCCTGCCGGGGCACCGAGTAGATGTCAAGCTCTGACGTTTTGTGCACCTCTGGAAGTCCGCATCGGCAAAAAGGGACATTGACCAAGACTTCCGGAGCCGGCACAGCAACGAAATGGTGGGCGAGAAGAACCTGCCTGGATGACCTGCTGCATGTCCAGTCGGCTCGCCTCGACGAGCTCCGCGACGCACCAGGCTCCTAAGTGCCGGCTAAGCGACGCACATCGAAGCACAAAGAGATACAAAGAGGCGCGGAACATCGCCGAACCGTGGTGACATCGCTGCATTTGCAGCCAAAGGCTCGGTGAAAAACGTCCAGCTGTCGATCGACGGCAACCACCTGCCGGAAGCCGAGCACGCTGTCCTGCATGGGAAAGGTGGAGAAAACTGGAGAAATCAAGATCGTTGACGCTGGGTTTTCTGAAGGCAGTTCGCGGGAGGGCACGTGAGTTCTGTGTTGCGGGCACACGGGCACGTGAGTTCGCACTTCTGGGGTGCCAAGGATCATGGAGGACCGTCATCATGTCGTCGAACCTCGGTGGAGTTTGGAGTGATGGGGAGACGCGCGATGCATGGCCCAGTTCCTTTTTGCCGTGCAAGTCTAGGGTTTAGGGTTTAGGGTTTAGGGAGTCTAGGACCAGGAGACGAGAGACAGCATAAGAAGATGGCAGTAGCACTTAATAGCACATGCTCTTTGCAGCTCGAGGGACTTGTTGAGCTCACACCGCGTCGGGTCCTGAAAGTGGGGCTCCGATGGCCCACGCGTAAGACAGAACTGCTCAGATCAGGTGCAGTCATGCTTCCAGTCACCAGGAGACTAGACTCAGAGTTTGGAGTATTATGAAGAGCTCTGAACATGAAGCCTCCTTGAAAGATTCTTGTCCTAACTGCCGAGCAAACGGTTATCTTCCACCGATGTCAGTGCCGACTTCGGTCCCAGCCTTGTTGCTGAACAGCTTGGGCTGACAGCAGCTGCAGACTGGCAGCGGCTCTTTTGTCACGGAGTCATGGCGCGATGCCCACCACCTCTTGGACTTTTGGACTGTTTATTTTGTAGAGGCCATTCACTTGCCTGACCAGACTCACCAACATCGCTGGGAATTGAGCGTACTTTCCAGCCGATGGTTCCGAGAATCTCGGCTAGGAACTGAAGCTCGACCCACACTTCGGGGTGGAGCAATTCCGAATAATTTGCACGGCTCGTACCACCACCACATGAGGGAATATTTGGCAACATCACAAGCTGTGAACTGGTTCAATCCAATTACCCTTTGGCCTTGCAAAGTCGCTGATGTCCTGGCGCGGTGGTGCTTCCGTGAAGCCGTTGCAAATGCTCGCGTGTTGGTTGACGCAGAACGCGCAGATCCTTTGCTTGTCAAACTCGAGAGGATCTGAAGCTGAACTACGCAGAAACGGCGCTCTCACAGTCATTCAAAACAGTGGTAAGCGTCCAGTAGCGCTGCTCTAAGCCACGCAGCTTTCGCAGCAGTCCTCAGGGACTGTCTGCCAGTGATGCAGGCACACGAGGTCAACAGACAAGATCAATGCTGCCGGAGGTTGCCTTCAGGACTCTGTGAGGTGTTGAGCTTGTTGGCCACACGCCAGTACTGATCCTGCGCTCGTCAATCCACATGAAGTAGGGTTAATATTTCTTGTACCCCCAAAAGGACACCAGGGAAAAACACTCACCTTATATACACTCACCAATAACAGTAATATAAACCCTGCTTCACATGGGTCGGGCATAGTCGGCATCTCTTTGGAAGCGGTCTGCAGGGTCCCATACAGCGTTTCCCCCCAATTCCCCTCGATGGCGTTGGCCTGCATGCCGTTTGCGGTTTAGAAGCTCACAGCTTGACTCCAACGGAGCTTCGTAACAAAAGCCTTTACACTTGGATGCCTCCGCTGGGCCTTTTTTTGGCCAAGGCTGCACCTATAGCTTGTGGCTTCTGGATACCCTACGCAAAGGCCATCCTTGATAATGAAGACGTGCGTGAGCAGACATGCTAACCAACTCAAGATACGGATTTTATGACGGAATTTTGGTAAGCTCTGGAGAGGTATTTTGGCATTATTCGGATTTTTGGGGAAAGTCATAAGAATGACACGGCAAAACAACGGCAAAACAAAGTGGTAACTTTTATTTGCAAGGCGAATGATCACAATTGAAAGCTGCCTTTATTAATTGAGTCATTTGGTTCTGTTCAACGCATGTAATCTTCATTCATCGCTAATTGTTGCGCGTAAAGCACGGAGTCCCACATGTTTCATGTCCCACAAAGGGGGGCCCTGTCCATGAACTTCCACTTCCCATGTTGCAAGATGAGGTGCGCCCGTGCGCCCAGGTGCCCAGGCGCAGGGGTAGAGTTTAAGGCCTTAAGGTTATGTTGGGATGTTCCCCCTTGTCCGAACAGTCCTTAAAAGGGATAATAATAGTGTCCCCCCCCTGGTATAATCCCTTTTTAAGGACTGTTAGTATCAGGGGGAACATTAAGGTTTAGTGTGGCCGGCACCAGCAGAAATCCTTCCCAACTTCATCTGCCTGGAGCCGGCTGATTGAACATATTTGTACAACATGATCTTTATACTGGATGAGATGCAACATAATTTGTTTTTAAGCCGGTGTTGGTTCATATCCTCCAAGCAAATTTTTATGTGCCAACAAAGATAACAAACGCGCTTGTTAATCAAAGAAGCCGCCACCTGTTGAAACAATACCTGAACAATGCAATTCATGAGTAGTAATGGTCCTTCTTTCCAGCATCAGCTATGATCGCAGCCACCTTGACTCACACGCTCAGCTTCGTCTTAGGGCCGCGCCTCATGGCTGCTGTGAGAGGCAGTAAGGACCCCACCAAGTCTCTGAAGTTGTTACGCCACGAGTGTGTGACCTTAGCAAGCCGTCACCATGAAACTTTGGACATGTGGACACGTGCATGTAGCTTCTCGACGTTCTCTGAGCACAAAGTAAAACAAAGAGAGCTTTAGCCTCAAGTCTTACGCAATTACGACGTGCGCCAGATCGGGCATGTCAAGACCTTATCAGTCATCGGTTTGCTCTCACTGCTTCTGTGAGAAGGCATCTTTCGACAAGTCACCATCGCATGGGGCAAATCCGCTCCGGTGTTAGTCTGCAACACCTGCAAGACACAGCTCGTGTTGAGCCTACTTCTGCAGAAAAGCCGAGATAAGTGCGATTTGCTACGGCAACTTCTCTCAAGTACAGCAAGCAAGCACACGTGAACGTGCAAAAAGGCTTGATGAGAGCAAGACCATGACGACAGTATGGCATCAAATCACAGGACTCAGGAATCAAGTCGATTCAGCAAGTGTTCTCACTGCTCGGTGCCGATGGCCTGCGCTAAGGACACTCCACCATCATCAACGCGCGACATAGGGATAATGGCCTCCGAGCAGTGAAGTGCATCGGTACCAAGAGATGACGGGAGCAAGGCTGATCAAGCAGGAATCCCGAAGGGGATAAGAAGAACTGTGCGACATGTAATGGCGGAAAGCAGTGAATCCTGTGCAGAATCAGTTCGAGCTGGTGACCCCCTGCCAACCTGTCGAACCACATCGTTGGTGGTCGAATAGTCCTTGATTGATCTTTCAAGTGAAGGCATAGTCCTGCGACTACTTCCTACCCCGATCTCGAATAATCGCACTGCTATAGAACCCAGGAGGTGCGGACACAAACATGGCGCACAATCCTCTGCTCGGCGATATGTGTAGTCTACGAGCATACATGACTGTCAGCTGTACATTCTGTACAAATGCACACGCAGAGTTTCTGATTCAACGCTGTTAACAAGCCAGGCAGCTGCGTCATAGTGTGGCATTGGTCCTGCATGTCGTCCGCGGGACAAACGAAAAGGTCGCATTGACATCATGCTACAGAATGCTAGCGCTAAGCCTTTGAAAACACCTGTGGCCACCTCCTCAACTTGAAGGCGCATACTCTTGCCACTGCTGCTACTGCTGCTGCTCTTCCAAGGCCGATTTTGTTATGTCAGCGGCAAGCCGCGCTGGGCACCAATTAGTGCACTCAGTACATTTGACAAGTGAGGGTATCGAGTGTGTCGCACAAACGCTTACGTGCTCCTCCGTTCAACCTCTGTGGCCACCTAGAGAAAACAATGCTTTCAAAAAAAGGTCGGCCCAAGACACACGTTAATTGAACCGGTTTTCGACTTTGACCCACATGATCTCAGCTCGCCCGGAGCCAGCTACGGCTGCACATGGCACCTTTCAGCTTCCAACCATTGGCTTTATTCGGCCTTTACTGGATCCTCTCTGGTGTGCAATGGTCCTCATAGATGCTGTTGCAGTGACGGCCGCAATCAATACCGGTTTCGGTTCGAGTATATAAGATCAATATGGGGATTTACGAAAATAGGGGACCATATAAATCCCCAGAGAATCGGGCTCCCTTGTAATGAAGAATTTAATAAGGTACCATAAGGTACCCCCTAATTTCGGAAACCCCCATATTTCGCTCCTCCGGCATTGGAGTCATTCGACCCCAAGCTCGCCCAGAAGCGGAGCAGCTGCTGGAGGGAAATGCTCCTGCTCCAACTTGGCGCGTTTGTTGAAAAAACTAGCAGAGGAGGGTTTAGGGTTTAGGGTTTAGGGTTAGGGTTTGGCCTGGAACCCTGAATCGTCCTGGAAGCCAGTTCCCGCGCTGTGGCCCACCATGCCTCGGTGTCGCTGTCCAAGCGATGCATCCTTCTTGATCCTGCGAAGTACAGGAGTGTCTGCAGCCCTCTGCGTGCAACAAGCAGAGTGGCGGAGCATGTGTGGGGGCATGACCCCGTCAAACTCGCACTCAGAGCCCTAAAACCCTCAGCTGCTCCTTGACTGAAGCGGCGTGTCTGTCTCGCCTCCTGCCGGTCACACGACAGGTCTAGGGATGAGGACCGAGATGGGTCTTGCGAGTTTATTGAATGCATCATCTGCAAGCCAGGCTGCAACGCGGATGTCAGGCGGCTTGTCGCTGAAAATGCCCAGGAGGGCAAAAAGCGATATGATCTCAACCGAAACAGCTCCAAGCTCAAGCACTGGCACGACCTGAGGCTGTGTTGCTGAACTGGCTTGCCAACTTAAAGCAGTGAAGTGGCTAGCTCAGCTTAGAACTCTCAACGCAAACCGCATGCACACATACTTGAACATGATTGAACACTACTGCGTATATATATATATATATACATACATATACCTATCAAAGTACATGTCATCACGCTGCTGCGCACAAGGGACCAGCTGATACGCGATGAAGCAGCGATCGTCATCCCTGGAGCCTCGAAAGATTTGCAAGGGCTTGGCAGGACCATTCTACTGACATGCGGCATTGCGTATGCTTGTGGATTCGAAGCTGTGCTTGGAAGTATGGGTGGAGTTGTTTTGATGCTGCTGCTGATGATGATGATAGTTTGATGATAATCTTAAAAATACCGCGCCGGTTATGATTATACCATTGTCGATACCGTTGTTATGCTACTTTGGTTGTTGTGTTCTGTCTATTTTTCTTCTCCTTTTCGTCGCCGTGGTGTTGATGGTCGAAGAGGTTGCTTCTGGTGCTGCTCTTGCTGCCGCTCCATTCATAGTCATCGTGGTTGCCATCATTGTAGTTCTTGCTGTTGCGGCTGTTGCTGCTGTCTGCTGCTGCTGTTGTAAGTGCCAGTAATCCGCCCGGGAGCACATCTCCAGGATCCAGGGGCGGAAGATGCAAAGCAACGCCGCTACGGCAGAGCTGAGGCATGTCAGCCTTAGCCACGTGGCTTTCTCAAACTGACCATCAACTCATATCAACTCACTGAACCCTAACCTAACCGACCTAAACCCGAGCCTCATCCGTCTTAGTGAAACTAGGACTCTTGCACCCAAAGAGAGAGACACACCCTGTTGTGAAGCAGAGGCCACCCTGGCAGCCCTGAGGTGTCATGCATTTATGGCTCGTACGACTGACTTGGGCATGAGACCGAGGCCCGTCATGATGTGTCTCCGTACATATCTGAAATCTGCATAATGTTTCTCGGATCGTATGGTGTCCCAAAGCCAAGTACTGTATCACCCTCCGAACGCTTTCTCGCACTTTCGCAGAGTCCAAGGAACAGCACAGCCAAGCGCGCATTTCTCAACTCAGTTTTCGCCCAGGCTGCCTTGCCGGGCTGCTCGGTGCGCGCAAGACACAACGAGTTGAAGACATCCGACTACAAAAGGTCGCAGTGCAGTTGTCCTTCTGACGACTTCTACTGTACCTGGGTCCACCCATGACCGGCTCGGTTCAAGGCCACACGAGTACTCCTAGCAGAACTCACGAGCTGATGCTGCACTCTTCCAAGCCTCGGCTTTGATGTAAGCTCCAAGGTCTCTCGATACCACAGCAGGCTGCGCTGCCTGCTCCATCCTGCGAGCTTACGAGTCGTGAAGAGTACTGCAAAATGCTATGGGATGCTGTGAGATGCCATGTCCTCAAGACATGTTTCCTCGTCCACGGCAGGTAATGTGGAGATACCAAGTGATCTAGGTGACTCTTGCGTGAGGTGTGCTAGCATGTTCTCAACGATGTGGCAACCTCGAGGCACATTCGCTAGATTGCTGGCCTTGCCAGCATTTCCCACAGCCAGTGTGCCTGAAACCGCTTGCGAGCATTCTTATTGTTCAAGCCCAACACCTCTGAGGGAACCCTCAATGAGCCCTCCACGTGATGTCAATGAAACGAGGCGATGGGTGCCATTATTTGACATTTCTGCGAAATATGGAAGGGGCGTTTGCCAGTCACCTCTTGTGTAAACAGAGCCGGTCCTCTGGAAGGCCTGAACCGTCACAGTACTCGTGATGCTGAAGGAGATGAAGACAAGGGATGCGACAAACTTGTCGTGGCCTCAACGTGCTGCTCTCTGACCGGGCATATCGTGCGACACCCATCCACAAGATGAACTTGCCGACGTGCAGCTGCCTAGCAGTACAGTAGAGGCCTGCTCATTAAGTTTTGCAAGAAAGTGGCTCCGAGTGCCCTGAGCTCCGAGATCCCTCTTGCTGATGAGAGCCTCAGTGGATCTGGGCTCTTGGTGCATCTTGGTCATTGGCCAACCATCTTTGCATCTGACTCTCCTCCTGCCTCCATGACCCTCACACATTGTTGACACTGCTGTGCTGTGCAGGCCCACTTCCGTCAAGTCAACGTCCAAGCGGCTTGAAACTCTTGATGGAATATCCCGCTGGCCACGTAGCTGCTCACATGCCATGCCTTGTTCTTCAATCCGTCACTACCAGTCCGTGCCCTGAAAGCCCATCCAAACCTGAACGTCGGGCTGCGCCCCCCCGCTTCCCAGATATTGACCACCTGCCACCAGACCTGGAGGCTAGGGCCTAGAGATGCCTAGAGCCTTCGGAGCCAAGTGTATCGCTCTGACAAATTCAAGCCGTGCTGACGAATCTGACGAGCTGCTGTGGCCAACATGGCCATGACCACCAGTGTGTGAACCCAGCATTTGAGCCATTGTGCACCTGAGGCACATGCACGAGCGCTTGTTCGTCAACCATGTTGTCAACAACTTGCAGTTTGAATTCAGATTCTGAGCGAGCGTGCAGCTGCGCTATAATGTAACATAATGTAGCAACAGCAAAATATAGACCCGCAAACAGCGTTCCCATACTTCATCCAGGGAGGCCAGGGGACAATCTGGAGTGCATGTGGGTAGACAAAAGCAATCAATGCAACGACAAGGATGACGAACAACGGCGCTACAACAGCGTCTCTCCATGCTACTGGCAGGTCTCTGCGAGTTTCCTTCAGCCAGTGCACCCAAGGGATTTCCGTAGCCAACTTCCAGAAGTTGCAGCCGCAGCTTCACAGACCTTCCAAGTCCCCAGAATCGGAATCCAGCTTGCGTGGGTCAGGGGAGGCATGAAGGACCAAACTACGTGCTTCCCCGGATCTTGTGGTAGGAACTCTGGCCCGCGAAGTCCATATGAGCAAGCAACCTTGACTTGACAGTGAACCTATGAGTCCTATGAAGCCATATGCAATCCCTTGTGTAACTTGCAACGCTGGGCATGGATTCAGGGCTTAAAGACATCGCTCTCTGGGGACTGCAATGGGCAAAAACAGTCTGGTTGACAGCTGTGCCTAGGGGCCTAGGACGTTCTACTGTTGCAGATGGCACCAACCGCTGTGGCTAGAAACAGTGCTTTGTGCAGGAACCGTGTCTGCCTTATGAAGGCCGCTACCAGCAGCAGCAGTACCGGCGTTGTTGCTACGTTGAGCACGAAGCCCAGCTGAAAGCCTCGTATTCCTCGAGCAAGGTTGCTATTTTGAACCATGTGCGCCCATGTCTAGGGTTTATTTTATTTTCATCTTACGTCTTGCATCTGGCTCAAGAGAGCACAAGGGGCTTGCAAAGGCAATGGGCAGATAGTGACTTAACATTCTGCTCCAGCCCCGAACTATGATACGAAGTTGCGGAATTTAGGGGTTGACGAAAATAGGGGACCCCCAATATAGATCCCTCATAGTATGATTCCCTTATAATAAGGAACCCCCACAAGGTACCCCAAACTTCGGAAACCCCCATTTGGCCATCCCTTGGCCATCCCAAAGTCCTGGCAGACACCAGGTTGCTGCGCAGCTGCCCGCAGAGAGCATGGCCAGTAGCCAGGACAGCGACAGCACTGTGCAAACTGAGGCCTCTGTGCCTGGAGTTCTGCTTGCAGGGCAGCTGGAAGGGAACATCGCTTCATTTCAGTGCAGAAGCACAAGAATAGAACTACCCTTGCTGCTGGAGGGAGCACAGACTTGACACGAGGAGCACGACACCAGCCGCGTGTACTTTGCAATACTGTCGGTCAAGGCGCTGAGCATCTTGCTCTGCCCAGAGGCCGAAGCAAAGGTTTTTCGCATCCGCAGCGAGATGAAGAGGTTCGCGGCGATGTTGATAAGCGCGGAGGAGGCATACACCAGCACAGAAAATCTCATTGCACGCTGAATGCCGTGAGCTGCACCTGGTCATCGCAGCTCAGCGGCAGGGTGGCAGGGTGTGCTTGTCTTATCTAACTTTGTCCACCCGGCACCCGCCTCCAAGATGCTTCCTTCGGGCCTGCACGTCGCTTCTGTTGCTACACTCATGGCAGCGATTACAGGCATGGAGCATGGCACAACCATACTTGCGCATCTGCATGAAACTCCTTCAGCATACGTCGGACATGCACGATGTCAGCGGAAGCCAAGCACGGCTTTCAGTGTACCCTAATCCCTACGGGTCTTGTCTACAGCGTTGTCACTTTAGCAGCAAACCGGCAACCGCCACAGCCTGTATAACATCTGCGCAGACGTTGGCGCCACCACTGAGCCTCAACATTGAGGGCTACCACTGGACCACAACATCAGCAACGCATAAGTGGGTAACTCGTCTGTTGCAGGACCTGCCCTCCGTCTCTCACCCCATGACATTCTGCAGAAGACGCACTCCTGCACAGCACAGCACCTACAATCACGGGTTCCTCTACTACCCCCTCAATGCTACCCCTTCCTAGGATGATTAAGCCTAGTTAAGGTTTTTTAAGGGGGGAACCTAGGGGTAGCATAGACGGGGGTAGTAGGGGAACCATGATACAACGGCTCCACACAGGCATATGTCATCTGCAGAATTTCCGTCAGTGGGCTTTCACCAACTCCTCGCAAGACCTGTTGAGACTTGTCTTCACGCGCACGATCCCACGCGTGCAGTGCGGCCATGCAGCGTTGTGAACTCAGGGACGAGCACTGGAAGGAGCAGCAGCAATTGAAAAATTGCCTCAGACTGTTGGCACTCTTGATGTATGTGCATGAAACACTTGCTACAGAGCTGTTGACACAGGACTTTCATTTCAAGGCTCAAGGCGCCCATGCACAATCAGGCAGCGCCGCACGCCAAGTCAGAGCGGGGCCATCGCCCTGCTGTGGAAAACCTTACAAGAGTCAACGCCGCAAGGGAGATGTGAGTGGGGTAGCAACAAGGCGAAGATTGAGGTTCCTTGTTCGGCCGCAGTTCAACAAGCTTTATGTACACATGTAGCAGTTCCATCTGGATGCCGCCAAGAAACCCCTGGAAGATCTAGTAGGGCGCTTGTCGAGGCTGGTGCAGCCTTGACCGGGGCCGAGTCTTCATGTTTCTTATTCTCACGATTCAAGGTTCAGGGTTTAGGGCTATTATATTTATTGGATTTGATTTTTTTAAAATACATGTGAGTGTGGCCAGATTGCAGGAGAATTTGCATGGGTGTAGTCGAGCAGCGAAACCAACTGCCAAACCGCCCCTGAGCTCAAGCAGGTTTCAGACAAAGGACTCGACATCGTCAAAGCCATCTTCAATATGTTTTTTCAGCCACACGTCATATGCAGTCCCAGCAATGTGAGGAAACATCACTCTTCGACAGCGTCATACGTCCAAGTAGCAGGTGCCGAAACTTCGGACTCCTGTGTGTGGCATCAGCATCCACAAGCTTAAGTATCTTAAATGTGCAGAAGTTGCTCGAAGCATGATTTTTGCAAACAGCAAACATCTTAGGCAACTTCGTTTAAGATCTCACTGACAGTTACGACAGCAGCCCCTGCTCGGCTCTCATTGTCCTCAGCCAGGGAATCGCTGGAGTCACCAAAGCTCAAGTCCCCGAATGAGGCCTGACAGCCATGCTTAGTGGTGGGCAGAGGCACTGTGGTTAGGGTTTAGGGTTTAGGGTTCAGGAATTAGGGGCTTAAGCGCGAACAGTGAACGAGGTCTACGCTCTCTCACTCCAATTCATTCGCCCGGGCCTCACTGGACGAGGAGCTGGTGCAGGATTCGCTCATCCTGTACTGGTTCTTACCCTTTCCACCGTTGCCAGCCCATCGCTTCCAGCGTCATGGCTCAATCGTGATGGTTCCGATATGTTCCGACATTATGGTGTCAGCAAAAAGCATTGAACCCTCTCAGGGCCAGCGTCAGTGCGGAGTAGCAGGCAAAAGCAGTGACCGACAGCTAGGCACTTGATTGGATCGTTTTCGGAGCCTCAATTTTTTCTCTTGGCATCTCCATTGAAGTAGACGTCCTTTACTTCGGGGGCCGAGGAGGGGGCCCCTCTACAGCAGAAGGAAGGGGGGGAGGAAACTTTAAGCCGGTAGGCTGCGGGATGCTGCGGTCACAAGGCAGCTGCAGACTCATTCTGGACTGCAGTGACTCTAGGGGTTTAGGGGTTCAGGGCGTAGGGTATTTAGGGTTTCTAGACTGCAATCATGCATAGACATGTAGACATCTCCCTGTAGATGCGTTGCCTCCTGGCACCGATGAAGGCGAGTCCTGGCTTGGCATTTGGGATCACCTGCTCTCTGGTCACTCTGGAGTCCGAATCCCCTGCTCCTAAGTTTATTAAACCCCTCCACCCCCCACCCCCTAATATTAAACGTGTACTCTGGTATAGGTGCAATGGGGGTATGTAATATGAGAGGGGGGGTTTAATGTTCGGGGGAGGGGATTAAGCAACTGCACCTTTGATCACCCGCAGGTCCTCAAACATGCGCCCAGGGGGCGCGAACCGGGCGAGGGGATCGACCTTCCAGTTTACTAGGTGTTGCTTAAGGAGGTCCCAAAGACCCTTTTGAATATCTTTTTATACAGGGTTGGTATCTACCTAACTTGAAATAACTGAGGCATAAAGCTGGAGGCCAAAGGAATTTGCAGGAACAAGGCTTCTGTGTGTGTGATGGGGTCCCGTCTGGTGCGTCGTCGTGAGCGGCGCAGCGTCAAAGGAAGCCGCGTCCAGAATTACGTCCCGAGAGAAATAAGTTCTTTTTTTAGATGAAACGCTCCGACGATGTGTGGTGAAACTTGTCGACCCAACAAGAAGCTCATTTCAAGCCCCTGGGCAGTGAAACTGCTACCATGCGAAAACAGGCGAAGATTCTTCGTGTCATCGTCTCGGTCTCTGAATGCAAGAAGTCTGCAAGAAGTGGATGACTTGCTATCTGAACCTTGAATGGTTGAATAAAAGATCTGCAGTGCTCCTGTAAGCGCGCTGGAGCATGGCGCCGTGGGAAACTGCTGCGGTGCACAGGTGCAAAACCCAATTCTCACTGCGTTCGTCCCCATCAGGCATCGCTGTCCTCGGCTTCAGCTCTGCCGGACATGAGGGAAGCTTGGTTGACGGTGGTTCTGTTCTGCTACAAGTACCCTGCACGCTGCGTTACGACCTCTGAGATGTAGAGCGCCCTCTGTGCCTCCGTGCGTTCAACTCCAAGCGTCTCCGCGATTCTCATCCATACCAGGAGGCTTCCCTGTGAGCAGAATGATCGCCTCAGTTGCTACGTCTGGCAATCTGCTCCACAGGGCTATTGTCGTCAAGATTCTGCTGAAGATGGAGATCTTCAGCTCGGAAGCTAAAATGGCGCGCTATAGAGCTGCATTTATGCAGACAGCTACATGCAAGATAACCTGCAATGCACTTGGCATGCGCTCATCTTGCTGAGAGGCTTAGCCTGATTCCATGCTTTTCGACGCCAAGGTACCATACGGTGCACAGGAGCGTGCTTTCCGAACCTCTGCTTGACCTGAGTCTTCACGACAAGCAGCGTGAGCGGAGGCCTCTGCAGCCTCCGTGCCTCCTACAGCATGTCGGAGACTCTGCACCATGAACTCACGTGTGATCGTGTGATCTTGAGGCTGTGAGGTTTTAATGATCAATCGCCTGAGTCTTGCTCCTTCTGGCGGAATCTCTGATTGTGTGTTGCTCAGTCTCCAACCCATCTCCGCACCTGACTCAGCATGCATTGGATCATTGCTTGACATCCAAGACTCAGCCAACTCACGTCTGTTCATGCCCAGCATCGAATAAGATCACTGTGGACCACGGTGGACTGTGGGCCCAAGTCACTACAGCGGTTTAGGGCGGCCTCGGTGTCTTCCAGGCCATCTGGCACTCGACCGGTGGCCACGACGGCAGGAAGCACTTGGTACTGCAGCGGCCTAAGCTCATACACACACACTATACATTATGAAACAACCTTAGATGACTGCATATACATCTTTACAAATAATATACCTAGTGCAGAATATATAGGTGTATACACGTATATATACACACATGGATATATTAATACATAGTACACATATGTACACAATATAATTGCTCGTCCCAAAGATGTCTTTAAGGTGCTAGCAGGCCGAGCATGGTCTTGGTGTCGTTCTTGTCACCTCGGAATGCTGGCGCAAACTGCAACTCGAGGCATGATTCCTGCCTAAAGCTCACATCTTGTTGCTTGTTGCGGCCAAGCAACGCAGATCCGCCTCAGCAGCCAGTGCTCTGATGCAACTTACACCCTGCTCTCGCAAAGGCACCAACCCATATAAGCCCTTTAGCACATGTTGCCAAGCCGCCTCTTCTTCGGTCAGCTCCCAAATGTGACCGCTGGGGCCCAATTGTGTCATTTGTGGCAGCTCGGCAGCTGCGCGTTGCAGGAGTTCCTGCTGCGGACGCTTCACAATGCACTACGGAACTTCATGGTGGTGCTGAAGTTTTGACATTGACTGGCCTGCCCACCGTCGTCAACCCACGCATGACACCCACACGCACATACGCCTACGCACGCATGCACGTCACGGGCACCCACACCTTCGTCAGATGCGCAGCACACTCATACCCCCACGGAGGGGGAACAAAGCACGCGAAAACAAAAGTGTTGCAGCAAAGGTTGCTCAGGGTCCTTGGACACGGCGGGCTTTGGGCTCGCCTCTTCTTTGCCCTCCTCAGCTTGGGGGGGGTCCACAGTCTCCGCACCTCGGCTGACGATTCCGACACCTTGCCAAAGCAACTTGGAGCTAACAAAGGTGTTCCATTGTGCGTCGTCAAGGCTGCATGGCGACAGGTAACCAAACAACAAGTTCGTTTAAAGCCATGCTGCCCGCGTCCGCTTCTGGCGGCGCCTGCAGTCAAACATAAGCAGCATCTACTTTCCACGGACACGAGCGCTGCACATGCAAAACCCCGTATTTGCGTTGGCTCCCTGAGACAATGAGGAAAACTTTGCATGGACACTTGCTGAAGTGTTTGACGACAGCTTTGCTTGGCCCCGCCTCTTCTTGACCCTCCTCTGTCTGGAGGGGGGTATCTGCATTCTCTGCGCCTCGACTCGCTTCTCAAGCCCTCAAGCCATGCAACTTGGAGCTGTTTCAGGGTTTGCAGCTACAAGTACCGCATCTAGGCTTTACCCGTGTGCAATGCGTAACTGCTCAATACACTGTCAAGTCCAACTGAGATCAACTGGGCCATGGCACCCGCATCTGCTTCTGGCAGCAACAAGTGCGCCTGGACTGAAAGGAACCCAACTGCTTGCAAGGTCCGAAGCCATAGGATATTATTAAGATGGCAGTCAGAAGTCACAGAGATACTTTTCATCGCGTTTTGAAGCGTGCTTGACGTACGGAACTTGAGCTGAAAGAGCCCTCACAACGCACCAAAAAGAGATGGCCTTGCCGCGTGCGTTGAATGTCAGCGGGAGGAAGATCTCCGGCGGCAGGGAGCCTGCTGCCATGCAGCGGCGCGCTATGGATAGGCATGATTGCCACTTTTCGAAGCATACTGCAGTCGTTACGCTTCTTTTTTGGGGTCTCTCGAAAGTAGTGGTACCCTAGTGGGGCCCTTATGATAAGGGGAACCTACTGTTTGGGGTCTATTTTGTGGGTCCCCTTATGTTCCTAAACCCCTTAAGTCTGCATGGGCAAGCCGATGGAAGCTGCTGGCATGGCCTACTTCACCAAAAGCTGCCAGGTTTTCTCTTGACAGCTTCTCTGTGTCCACCGCATCCTGGCGCCAAGGTCAAGTGAATGTGCGCGCTAGGCGCACTCAGGCTTGAAAAGTGTAGAGCTATCTGAGCAGACCTTTTTTGGGTGAAGCTGTTGTCCATTGGGTTTCCTAGCAAGCTCCACTGCAAGAGCTGTCTCGCGTTATGGTCACGAACCAAGAAGTCCTTGAGCTCCTCGATGCTGACCTGGTCAGAGCTGCGGATGTGGGTAGGGTGAGATTGCACTCCTCGCTCATCACGTGGGGCTTTCTAGATTCGACGGCGTCTATTGATTATCTATCTCAGATTGCCGATATTGTAGTACTGATTGCTACCAAAACAAACAGCGGCATCTTACTCTGCCCTGCCTTAGTGGAGCGGTCCCGGTCGATCTCTCCAAAGATCTGTTGCAGCGCTTCAATCTGGGGCCAAGGAGGAGAACAATTGTGTACCCTAAACCCTAAACCCTAAACCTTAAACCCTAAACCTTAAAACAAAACTGCGCCATCACGGAAGCTCATGCAACAAGAGCTGCACGTGAACCAGCAACATCTTATGCCCTTTGACTTCTACATTGTTGTCCTCTTCGTGCATCAGTGCCTGCGCATTCGTCTTGTTCATCTGTTTCATGACGGCAATATCTTTTTCCGCAGCACCTTCCTCAGCTCTTGCCCCACGTCTCAGACGGATCCGGCAGTAATGCAGGCACGGGTACATGTTGCAATCATCACGGTATGTCACGATCTACGGCCCAACAGCTAGGACACGAGACAGCTGGCATCGAATGTAGCAGATGGCAGTCCAAAATGGCATTCGACTCAAGTGTATTCTAAACATGCTTGCATGTCGCTGGTTGTATGTCAGCATTTGCTTCTGTCAAACAGATGGCCTTGCCACGCGCGTTGAACGTCAGCGGGAGGAAGACCGGCGGCAGTGAAGAATCTGCAGAGGGCCGGAGAGAAGGACAGCTGTGGCGAAGGTGCGAGAAACCTAACGTTATCCGGCATTGTCCGGCAAGTCTGAATGTGAAGTGCATTGTCACAAAGAGCCCGAGGGAAGGGACACTTCTGAAGTTACACCGTCCTTGCACAATGCTGCTAAGTGATCTCGGTAACCTACTTGTTCACAGAAGCATTCGAAGGACACTTGCTGTTCTGCAAAAACCTTCAATGAAGCCACGGTGCTGTTAAAAAATGATGAGAGCGCCCACTCCTCAGGGACGACCTGGAGGGTCTTGCACCACGAGATTCACCACAAGGTCACGCCCATCTTCAACTAACTGTTCTCTTTGCTAGTGTTTCCGCAGCTGCTCGTTTTGATTGCGCGGCTGTTTACTACAAGCTCGAACCCTAAAGGCCCTAAATTCTAAGCCCTGAACCTCCAGGCTCTCCATGGACAACGGGCGCTGAAGCCAGGCATCCTCGGCACTGCCAGCAGCTCCTTCGTCATCCTCGAAGACGAGCCTTGAGCTTCGCACAAAAGCTCCAGGCGACTCGAGACACCAAGAAAAGACGCGATGGGTTTTAGTTAGGCCTTACATTAACCTGTTGTGTGGATTCTATGGCTTGGTGCATCCTGGCGGCGTAAAGAAACTTCCTGACAGGATGGCAGACTTCAGCGCATCGCGGAAGAACCGCTTGAAGTCCTCAGCTGCTTTGCATGCTCCTCCATCTTGGCTTAAGGGGTTCAGCACTTCTCAAGATTGTGAATTCAAACTTGTTACACCGGCAGAAGCATCTAGCTAAAAATGGTCTCAAGATGATGTGCCAGCTGATTTAGCTGCTGAAGGGACGTTAGCGGCCATGCTCCGCCGAGCTACACGCTGGCGCTTGTGCTCTAGAGCGCAAAGCCGCAGGCTGACACACTGCATTGTGGGGTCGTCAACCGCGCCTGTGAATCAAAGCAAGCAAGTTGAACCAGCATGGACGCGGCCCTCATACCGGCACGTCATAGAATGTACTTCATGTACTTCGTTGCAGGGCCTGATTCCAGGAAGCTCCCCAGCGCCGACGCTGCCGAGCTTTCTGCCAGCACCAAAGGCACAAGGTTGTTGCCCAGCGCCTGAGAACATGAGATAACATGAGCTTTGGACATGAGCTTCCAGAGATTTCGACCGCGCATGGGCCTTTGACATGCAAGAACACACTCCGAGACCTCAAGGGCCCTCATCTGACCCTCACACCTCCCGCAGGCGGCTGCCAAGGGCACAGTTGCCGGAGCCATGGGGCCCCGGGGCGGCTCGCAGCACCTGAGTTTCCCTACGTTTTCGCGACTCATTCAGCTACAAATTCCACAGGCCTCTCGGGCCTATCTTATGATTTCGTGGACGTGGGACCCACCAGGGCAGTCAAGATGCGTTGGCAAAGCCGCTGCCACTGGTAGCAGAGCCTCATGCTGGCTTCTGCTTGTGACAGCTCTGATTCAGGCCAACGGATGGAGCGCCAGTCGTTCACACAGCATAGCGCTACAGTATGCCGTACCCGCTCTGGAAGGTCATTGATGACATTGCATGTCGGGGACGAATCAAACAGAGCTTGCTGCTTCCCTAATTCTGATCCATTCAGTCGGCCCGGCCCTTGTGGGGACAGGGCAAGCTTAACTTCAGTAGGCAGCACCTACACCCGTACAGCCTTTACGTGAACGCACCCTGTGATGGCAGATAAACAGCGCTCTGGCACCTTTTTCCTGAAACAGTCTCGGCAACTGCGAGCGGTGCACCAAGGAAGTCTACGAGTCCAACCAGTTGGTTACTAAGCTGCTTGATCTCTTGCCGAGTGACCTCGCAACAGTCGCGCAATGTCGACAGGAGGGTCTGCACACACCATCCCCATGTGACTATATGGATGCTACTCGAGTCGCCAGTGACAGGGCAGCACGCCGTGCTGGATGCACCTGGGACCTGCACAGAAACCCTGACCCCACCTTGTTCTCGTGACTCATCCTCGCGAGGTGAAGACTACGAGCTGGTCCATTCAGAGTCATGCCTGGGTTGAGGGGATAAGGCAGAATCATGTCTGAGGTGCGGTTTAGGGTTGAGGCTTCTGAGGCCTCTGAGGACCCTACACATTCTTTGAAGTTTTGGCTTCGGAAACCTGTTCGATGTCTTGATTTATGTGGTCCTTCCCGCGAGGTAGCCGCATTGACATGAAGGGGTCGGTTCAGCTTTGCAGTTTACCCCATAATGCATTCCCAAGCACAGCCACCAACAAATTCTTCGAGAGTAATTTCTCCGCTTTCCTTTCAGCACAGGTTGCAGTTAGCCTTGCTACCGCTGAGTGCGTCCAACAAAACAAGCAATCATACGACTCCGTCCGCTCATTTGGACGAGCTCTGCGCAGCAAACGCGGCGGCTACATTGCGCAAGAGCCGCTGCAACCAAGCTTCATCGGAGTCGATAACCATGAAGAGTGTCCAGACATCCTGGAGATTGGAAGACCGGTCATTGAGCAGGCACAGATGGGATGACTTGGCAAGGTCTAAAGGCCTTCGGGCACAGCAGTCGCTGCGGGGTCCTCTGTTGAGATACCCAAAGATTCCATGAAGCTGGACAGCTTCTGCGTGTCCATTGCGTCCTGTCCAACTTCATGTGCATTGTGAAGTGTGTGACGCACTAGGCGAAGCTGTTCTGCCTTTGGCCTCCTACTTGGCCCAGCTCCACTTCATGTTCATTCGGAAACAAGAGGGAACTGGATGGAAATAGGGGCTCTGGGGAGGGAGAGGCCCGATGTAACTGTTATTCTTGCTGCTGTCTTGTTTGAGATGTCTAGACGAACTCAGGACATCCAGCAAATCCCCCGCCGTTGGGGGGGAAGCGTTGGGAGCCTTTGTGGCCTTTGACTTTGGCCATGCCTTGCAAGCTACGAATCATGAATAGACGCTGAACCTCACATCGATGACGCCCTGGTCTGTCACCATGCTTTGTTAATGCGATTGTAAAGATGCAGGTCGTCCTTAGCCTATCTCTGAAGACAATGGAAATGGATTTGAAAGATGCAGCGAGCAAAGATCTGGCTTTCGCGCATTATGGATTTCTGGTAGTTCTGAAATGGCTCTCTGGTATCCCTGTTTTTGCTACCAGCACCTCCCTGCCTAACCTACCGGGCGGGCTCGGGCGGAACTTCTCCGTACGGCAGACCAGCGGAGATTGAAGCATCCTAGACAGAGAGCCCTTCATGTGCAACACTTGACGTGGTACTCGGGGTCCTTAAGCTCGTGGATGCTGACCTGCATCGAGTTCCAGATTGTGCGCTGCGGTTGCGCTTGCTTGGCCTTGCCTTTCCTGAAGATTCATTCTACCATTAACAAAAGACAAATGCGGCGGTACATGGCCTCGTGATCGTGCACATGTGTAGCAAAGAGAAAGTCATTTGCTTTCAAGCCAGATACACCTGTTGTTGCGGAACGCTGCCTTGTTCGAGCGGTCCCGGTCAATCTCTCCGAAGATGTGCTGCAAAGCTTCAATCTGCGGCGTTGGTGCGACAGCAATCAGACGATGGGGCAAAGTCATTGTAGGGTGCGCGCTTTCGTGGGCGTGTGTAGTTTGTGTAATTATCAATCAATACCTTGCGGCAATACAATGGAACAAAACCCAACAACGCAAAAACTCTGGGCACGAACCTCACATGACCCAAGAATGCATCAAGAGTGCATGTTGTGCACCTAATGTCCCCACGAATCCAAACTCCTCTTTTGCCCTGTGCGGTCTTGCATCTGTCGCCCTTCTGCCAGGCCTGCGCATTTCTCTTGTTCATCTGCTTCATGATGGCAATGTCTTTGTCCGCATGGGCACTTTCCTCAGCTGTTGCCCCATATCCGAGTCAAAGCCTTCTTCTAGTGTGGAAGTACGGCGCGCAATGGCAACAGTTCGATTCAACCAAGCGAACACAAGCGGAATGGCACGATCCGTGCAGCATGTCAGATGCTGGACGCGGTCTGCGAGTAGGAACGACACGCGCTAGGTCAGGTTACTATGAGTCATAGCGACATAGCGACTCACGAAAGGAAAACTGGATGAAGGGGTCTGCATCAAAGCAGCAATCGCAGTATTGCAGAACACGCCTCCCAAAGAGCATTTCGAGATTGTCATAATCACAGCATGGGTCATGTGTTTATGCACCACTCCGGCCTGTCACTACATTGAGCACGGCAAAAACCGTGATTACCACATAGCAAATCACACCTGAGATGTCCAATGTGCTTTTGCAAGATATCAATGACGCTCGACTCTGTCATGCAACTTGCCCGCACTCTCGTATACTGTTGGTCCAGCGGCATACCACTCCAAAAGGCGAGAACTGCTGCAATGGCTGTAATGCCTGCAACGAAAAGGATTACAGTTTGTCTTTTGGCTATCTACCCTAAACCCTAAACCCTAAACCCCACAGCCTAAACCCTAAACCCTAAACCCTAAACCCCAAACCCCAAACCCCACAGCCTAAACCCTAAACCCCTACAAAGGCATCTGAAGCCTCAGTCCAGCTCAGACCACCGCTGACCTTGGGTGATGTGGGGTCCGGGAGGGGATCTGGCTGATCAAAATGAGGGTTTAGGGTTTAGGGTTAGGGTTTAGGGTTTAGTTGTGAGATGTTGTGAAAACCTTGCTGTTAGTGTACCCAGGCCATCAGTAGACGTTACAACCGCCCCGTCAGATTAACTCCTCTTAGTGAACTACTCTACAGATGCAACACGCGGCCGGCCACACGGGTCAGGAGGCCTCACTGCCCATTCTTTGGAAAAGAATGCCTTACCGAGTGACTGCCATGAAGAGCGTGAGCATGCTCACTGGCACGGATCTCCAGTGCCTTCGATGAGTCCATTGTGGCGCTCATAGAATTCAGAAGGAGGTTACCAGATGGCATCCCCTTGTGACTTCTTCAGGTGCAGGGGAGTATGAGCCTAGACGTGCCTATGATAAGCTACTGTATCCTACAGCAATTGGTTTCAGACCGGGAGGTGCTAGGTCCTACTAGGTGATTCAGCGAAGGCACACATGTAGTGCACCTTCGCACACAGGCATAGCATTGACGTCATCCATGGCGGCTTGCTGCTGGGTTCGGCAGTAGTCCGTTGCAATTTGTGCCAAGATCACGCCAAATCTGAGATGCTCCAGGCGACTCGCATGAGGGTCGTGCGATTGGTACGCGTTGTTGGTCATGCTAGAACAAGGGGAAATTTTTTCTCAAGCACCGCCAAGACACAAGTAGAAAATCATGACCTGTCGGCCACGGCCATGCCCGATCATACGAGCTTCAGCTAAGGATTAGGAGTGCAAAGAAGACATCTATCAAGTTCAGGTTGGTTTAGTGTTTAGGGTCCGCTTGAGGCTTCCGGGTTTAAGGAAGATTCGGTTTGTTGCTTTGCAACGTACCGGCCAGCAGCAGCATCGTCCACAAAAGGCTTCCCATAGTGCTGACGATTGAAAACCTTGGCACACCAAAAAGGTCACGTGGCCCCCCCGGCATTGATGACATGGGACCATAACGTTGACCTCAAATTACAACTCCCTCCGTAACTGCAAAAATCCCAGCACTTTATTTTCACCCATCGCCCCTGTAGCTATTTTGTTGCACAAGCCTTTCGGTCCGAGGCCGAGGCGGGTAGAACAAAAAACCTAGCAGCTTTACTGTTGAGGGCTAAGGGATAAGGCTTCAGGATCCTCCAAACAATTTGGAAATCTTCAGCACAGCGATCCAGGCGATTCCAGTCCTCAATTCCATTGAAAAAACGATGCCCCAATCTCACCCGTTCTTCGTATTTAAGAAGCCCCGCCCCCGGTAAGAAGAAACGCGTCCACGGGCGTTTAGAAAGGGTTTCAGAGTTGGGATTTAGGGTTTAAGTGTTTCGGGCAGAGTTTAGGCTAAGCGTTTAGAGAACAGGTTCCTGTAGGGCTTAGACTCTTAGATGCTTAGTGTTGAGTGTTTAGGGAACTGGTACACAGTATGGCTATCGACTTCATGCCTTCCTCAAGGCTGCTCATCCAGGCTTCCTACAGTCAGCCTGCTCTTACACTGACCGCACTGGCTTCTAATTGCGGAGCCCCCTGCAACCATGAGGGGGGCGGGGGGCGGGGCGCGGGGGGCGAAGTGAACATTACTATGGATGTCAAACCCTCCACAAACATGAGAGGTATTGTCAAGAGTTAAGCAGCACAAGCGTTCGCAAAGCACCGATGTAGTGAACCAGCCGCATCACGCGGATGCTGCGTAATGCACGGGCCACTCGCAGGAAACGTAGCACACGTAAATGCGCAGAGTCCACGGACCTTGGGAGCTCGTGACACGCAACTAAAAAAAACGCTTGTAGGTGGATCGGCCTGCTGTGCCAAAACCATGCAGAACACGGTCTGAAGCTAAAGAAGCTTAGGCAAGCTTCGAGGATGTGAGGATCAGGAGCTCGATCAGAGTCTCACCAATTGACCTTTTGTACCAGCATCTACAGTACTTCTAAGTCATGCTGCTGGTATCGGCTGTTGTGCCTATGACATAAATGCGACCATGCGGCACTGAAACGATTGCAAAATCGAAAACGTTCCAATAGCATTCCTTTCCACGGAAGAACTCTCGTGGCCCATACGCGATGATTTTCAAAACGATTTCCTTGGCTGCTTCGACAAACTGCATGAGACTCTGGCACACCTTCCGCACCTCCGCATGATCGCAGAAGTTGCTCTCCAAGGCAGCAACCGAAACTCACTGGTGAGCCGAGGCTCAAGTGTGTATATCGACACAATGATAATGTTCACGATTGCAAACCACGCTGGCACCTTATAAGGGTTGGAGGCAATGAACATAATGGTTTTTCTGAATTTCTGAATTGATATTCTTGCTATGATTGAATTATGAAGAAGAACAGTTGTTCTTACTATAAAGCACTTAAGAGCACTTCGTACAGGTGCTGCCAAACTCGTTATAACAGCTGCAATGACCAGCCGCACCCTGCCTCATTCTGAGGGAGGCCTGCGCTGACATCGACCTCTCAAAAGTTCCACGTATTCAGTGTCTGTCACACACACATGCACTCGTGCAAAAACCAATCAACCAGAATCTGACACGCACTACCTACTAGTTATTAGGCAGGGTCAAACAATGTGTATTGACAAACTATTATAATGCACATTGCAACCCGTGACCGATGAACCGACCTCGACGCCCAGCAGGATCAGATTGATCACAATCAGACCAATAATTCCATACACAAAGACTCCTGAACAACAAGGTTGCATAAACAAGTCTGCGGTCACAAGGGCAGAGCATGCTTTCACCGAGCATGCTTCGAGAGCACAGCTCTGTGGCAGGATGCCTCCGTACAATGAATGTAACTCACCTTCTCATGGATGCACGTGCAACCAAGTGTCTGGATGTCACCATACCCTTCGCAGTCGGCAACCAGCGAGTGTGCGTGATGGCACCTGAGCTGCCGAAAGCCCTAGAGTCCTAAAACACCGAAACGCTAGTCTTGCACACTGCCCAGAACATGTGTGTATGCTTGGTCTGCAGTAACGTTGGCCTTGGCGTTGCATGTATGTTTAAGACCTTCTTCTCAGTCGAAAATTCTTTGCGTGTTGTCGATTACATGTACGTGGAAATTTGGGAGAAGTGACAGGGTGTTCCGCAGTCTAAGGCTTAACTAAAACACATGTGCTGTGTAAAGCTAGAAAACTTGTCAAATCAAACAAGAGTGCACGCAAGCATCAATGCATGGTCAAACTATTTTACTATCAAATGCTTTTGGACATCAACTGTCACATTTGCACATGGGCTAGATCGCGTTCCTTGTATGTGAAATCCAAAAGTTACTTAAAACGATAACAAGTTTAACGTCTAAGAACATCTGACAGAAACAATTGTTCGCGAGTTAAACCGGTGGATACGTACACCTCGCATTCCATCCATCATTCCATTCAGATCAGCGGCTGGCTTGTCGCACGAAGCGGGCGGCAGCTGCAGCCTTCTCTTGGTGATGACTGAGCTTGGCCCGCACGAAGGTGTGCCGGGAACTGTCGCGGTTTGACCGTTTTGCCTTCCTTTCAGTTGGCTCAGGCTCCCAATCCTCAGCGAAAGCCGCAATGTCCCGGATGTCCTGGCCGGTCTCGCGCTGAAAAGTCAGCGTCTGGTGCTTCTCCTCAGACTCATGGGCCTCATCGAGCTGCTGATGTCTGGCCTCCGCAACTTCTGCGGCCACGCTGGCCGCTGCGGAGTGGTTCAAGGAATTATTCTCTGACTGCATGTCAGCTCTTTCACTGCGCACACCACCAGAGGCCAGAATTGTGCGTGAATGCCGGGCGAAGTGCTCAAGGTTTATGCCGGTTCCCGACGTCTCGGAAACCATGTCCAGCTCCTTCATGGGATGGTGGACTTCTGACGGGGGTAGATACTGGATATAGACGATATAGAGTCTCTCAAACTCGAGTATGAGCAAATATGTCAGAGCCCACGCCAACCACCTAGCTTTGCATTTGGGGGAATACTCAACCCATAACAACCTTGACTCTAAACCCTAAAGCCCTAAACCCTACACTAGAAATCCTAAAACCCAAAACCTAAAACCTAAACCCTACACCCTCTAAACATCCCTAAACCCTCCTTCTGTTCCCCCTCGGGTGGCCGCTGTACTGGAGCCACTGCTGGAGCCAGATTCTCTGCAGCCGCCGGGAGCCGGATGGGCCGCATGAGCTCCTGAAAGCCGGGTTTAGGGTTTAGGGTTTAGGGTTAGGGTTTAGGGTGCAAGCTTAAACACGCTCTGGACTCCGGAGCAGCCTGTACAAGGGGCAGCATGCCTGTCTCGAAAAGTCCGTGCGTTCGCAACTACACCGTTTCACAACACCCATCGGTCCTGCAGCAGCACCGCTTGTCGACTAAACTGGTCCTGCCCGGTGCTTGCAATGCGGGCATGAGCAACTCAACAAAGGAATTAGGACAAAGCTGACAGCTGCACTGCCCTCCTCAATGAAGAGGTGCAGCTTCTGGATCTCTTCTTTCCATGGCGGATTGGACATCACGTTAGCTACACTCATGGCCCGCTCGCTTTGGCAGACCCAGGGGTTCCCTTTTAGGGATCCCTGAAAGTCAAAGGGCGAGGAACGAAACAGGGGCCGACACTCTCCGCAAGACGTTTCTTAAGCTACAGTTTCAGCTACAGTTGCAGTTGAACTCCGAACAGCACACGGTACCAAAAGCCATTTTGGCGCAGACCTTTTCTTGAAAAGAGAGCTTGAGGTCCCACCGCAGGCACGAGTCCTTCTCGCCTTCGCTAGGGGACTCGTATTTTCCAATTGTTCCAAGCCCTGGGTCGAACCCGGACCCTGAGCCAAGATGCACATATCATATGCAATGCTTGTGACGGCCTTACAAGCTGGCGGTTGGGCATTGTAGGAGATGCCATGTGTGCCCTGACCGCTCTGCAAGCGGTCTCTTCGGCACCAATGTTGGGCTCGGGGCCTTTGCGCCGCGAGGCAGAGGCAGTTGCAGCGGCTGCAGCTTCTACCTTCTTGCGCATGTGAGCAGTCCGAGCTGTAAAGCTTGCCGCCCCTTTGTTGCATTTTCTCCATGCATCCCTATGGCTCTCTCTCTCTCTCTCTCTGACACACATGGCTGTCTGAGCACGCATGCTGCGGACGTGGCCACGCCTCTGTGCGTAGCGGGTTTCCGTGAAGGATCCTAATCGGCCAGAATTGCTTTATGCGGACTCGCGCCTCACGCTTCGCAAAACTGTGTGCTGGCAAAGCCGCTCTCGCAACTCATGGCCCTTGATGTGCTGCAAGATATCCACCCAACGACCATCAGACTTCTGGAAGCAGTTGTAGTGAAACTCGCCTTCCGGACAGGGTCGGCTGGCTGTTCAATCCCTACCCTCGAGGTTTCCTTGATGTTTGCCTCACAGGAGCGGGCCGATCGAAACGACCGAAACGACTGAAACTTCAACAGGCTGAAACTTCAAGTGTTGAACCGCACCAATGCGCCTCAAAAATCAGTGGCTTCAACAAGTACGGAAACCCATACATGCAGGTAAACACAAGCAGGAGGAGGTATAGAGACCTACATTGACCCTAAACCCTAAACCCTAAACCCTACATGATTACTCCCATCTCGTGGACCCTTTTCAGTGCAGGCCGTTCCTTGCATCAGGCGGCCACCATCCCAGCGGGAGTCGAAGGTGCCCTCGCCATGAAAGGCTCCTGACGGTTCTTGGGCTTGAGAACTTAGGGTTTAGGAGGGTTTTTGGGCTTGGGATGGTTTAGGGCTTAGTTGCCAGGACGCTTTTTTTTGTTTTTTTTGCAGCCGTGGAACCTTGGAACCAACTGCCCTCGTAGGAACTGCCGTCGGCCCATACCTTAGCAGTGTTGCAGGGTTTGCAATAGGTGAAGCCGCAAGACTCGCCCTGCAGCTAGAGCTTGAAGAGCACTCTGGCGGAAGATGGGGAATGGGGAACAATACTCTTCCTTCCTGAGTGCAGGCCCAGGCTACAAATCGGCCTTGGCCGTGCATCTTCCCTTGCTCGAAGTTGCCTTCGTAGGAGCTGCCGTCGCTCCTGGGTTCAACAGGACAGGCAAAGTTTTTGCGCACGATGGTCTAGCGAGCCATTTTCTTCCGTCAACTCTTGCTGGCGGTTGCCTCTGTCGGCTATATTCAGTCCAGATGCCACCGATAGCTGCCTTCACCACAGGGCATGTCTTCTTCCCAGGCACCTGCAAGCCAGGATAACATCACGCACCCTTCTACACTCGGCGAAACGATGCCCCATGCAATTGCATTTAAGACCCGAAGTTGGGAAGCTCTCGAAGCCCTACGCCGATGATGACATGATGTGTACTGTACCGGTACCAGAGCCTTCGTAGATGCTCAGAATCAAGGTCTCGAAGGCAGGGCGCTGGTTGGGCCCCAGCCCTAGCGGCGTCACCGCCGTCGTGATCTGCCAGACTTGGGTAGGGTGGGCTACAGTAAGCGACACCGGCATGTGCTGAAGGCAAGAAGGCAGTGCCATGTACCACAGCTTGATTGGACTTTGATGATCCATGAAACCCCGCCTGCTGCCCTTTTCCGTGCCTGATCCATTGTCCCTTGCGCTGTTTGTAGCCTGCCTCATAGTGACGAATCACTTAACGGGCATGACGGAAAAAAAGGCCTTCTTTGGCCAATATCTTGCTCATAGGAATGACGAGAGATGTGGCAGTTTGCTGAAGCTGTCTTGGGAAGCTTTGCTCAGCTGTTCACGCCTTGACCTCACCATAGAACAGCTGCCCAGGAGCCCGGAGACACCTGGACATCGCACATGGTTTCCTTCTTTGATGCAGTACTAAGCCAAGTATGACCTGGATTTCATTCCTGGCATCCTTGTTAGAGATGGCGTTTCGTGCAGGATGCAGGCAGGGCACTTTGTTAGAATCTCGGGCTCTTCTGGCTCATCCTGGAGCTCTGCGGTTGCAGAAGGGCAGCTGAAGAGCATCGTGCGAGAGGTTGGAGTTTTCCAGAGGCTTGTTGAAAGAACGCCGCAGAATTGGAGGGCAGGTGCTGCATCAGCCCATGCCCTCGCAAGAAAACGTGCAGTCCTCTGATTCCTGCACCACGACCTCCTCCTCGCTTAAGCGAGGCTCACGAGTGTCACTGGTCTGTCAAAAAGGTTTCATGTGGTAAGCAAACGCTCCTCCACTGGCTGCTCCTTTTTCTTCGGCGCCATGCATTTCCGGCGCCTGGCAACATGTGCGCCAGCATGACTCTCTTCCCTGACGGTGTAGTCTTTGCACAATTCTCAAAGGAGCGACTCTCCGACGCAGTAGGTGCAGCTCCGCGAGGGCAGCAACATGTGGGGTGCCATGTGACTTCTGCTCAGAACTCTATTCAATGTCTGGGGTCTACAGCTCAAAATCAGGCCGGCGGCACTTCAGTCAGCCAGCTGGGACGCGGAGGGCCGTCTATATTGCAATGCAGTTCCAGATAGAGCCCAGAACCAACCGCGCATGAACTTAGCATTAAATGGCACTACATGGCACACTGTGCCGGCAAAATCGGACGCATGAAACCTTCTGGCTATGGCGGCGCCACCTCTTATCCTTGTTCCCCGCTCCATGCCGGCTGTGCAATCCCATCAGTTCTTTCCACAACGAAAGTAGGGGTAACCTTTTGGGGGGTCTTGTTAAGAGGATTCCATTCTATTTGGGGTATAAACGGGGTACCCCTATTTTGGGAAATGCCCATATCGACCGGCACCCTGTCTGCATGAGAGAACCATCACCGATAGCAGGCACTGCGGCCTCTCGTACAGGCTCGGGGGCCGGCAGCTTTGTCAAGTCCTCCGAGCAGATTGCAAGTCTCAACCGCCTCCCGCTTGGCTAGATCTAAGGCGGCAGATCCCATCGTCCGAAACGTCCGAGGCCTCTTATGACTTTTTTTCAGCAAAGTATGCCACCCTTTGCCCCCTAGGTGGGTGGCAGGTCCTTCAGCTCCGAGTCCAGCATCCTGAGATACGGTGCGCACTTTATCATTCTAAGAGGGATGTGCTGCACACTTTTGTCTCACAGCCTCCCTGAAGAACTTGCGTCTCCAAAGCAATGCAAGCTTCATGTAGGGTTTAGGATTTAGGGTTTAGGGTTTCGAGTTAGCCTATCTGCATATGCCAAAGTTTGAACGTTGATGGCTCCGCCTGTCCATTGATGGCCTCGACATGCTGCGCCAAGCAGTCACCACGGCCTCTCCAAAGGAGTCAAGGAGCTGTCCCGGGCGCCCTGCAACGTCCCAAAGGAGGAAGTCACTAGGCCGGGCCTGCAAGTCGGCTCTCTCGGAGATCTTTTTCCGGTATGCCAGCGAAGACTCAAAGGCCTTGGCCGTAGCTTTCAATGTTCAAAGCATGAACCTTACATGGACAGCAAGGTTCATAAACCATCGAAAAACTGCTCTTGGGCAGCGGACCACACGACGCCGCGACTGCAGCTTCCAAAGAGTGAATGCCACCTTGGAGTCATATAAGGACGCCCCTGCACACTAAAAAAACCAGATCCCTGTTGTCGGGGAATCCCTACTGGCACATCCCGTGCACTGTACACTCCTACGCGAATAGCGGATAAGTTCACTGTAGCCACCGCAAATCGGAACATTGCGAGGATATCCGCTTCAGCATTGCTGTTCTCATGCCGGCGCCGGCTATGGATCGCCGAGCTGATGACATGCAACGAGCCAATCTCCTGCATGGTAGATGCAGCTTCATGCTGGGTCTCAGGTTCTGCCAGGTACTGCAGGTGCTACTGCCCGATCCCAGGGAGCCGAGCCTAATGAAAACGTCTCTTTACAGGAACATGCCCTCACTCTCCCTCAACTAAAGGCTAAAATCGCAAGGTCTCCATTTTGAACTAAGGTCCGTTCCAACAAAATCAGAATCAAGGGCTGTTGCGCTCGCTGGCTCCTTGAAGGGAGGCGATACCAGGTTCCGGAGGCGGGCAGCGGCCGCCCGCGCCCGCTCCTGGCGACTTCTGACAGCTAAACTTTGCAGGATCTTGATGGATCTGGGCATGGAATGGTCCTTATGGTCCTATCTTCACAGAATGTTGCCCACTACATGCATGCTGAGCTGAGTCCCCTTCAGCCCAGCCCAAGAGGTCTGGCCTGCTGCAGCAGCCGCGAGACTCGCAAGGAATCCTGCTGCTGCTCAATCATTCCAGGACGGGGCGCTGCCACCTGAGACGTGCATACGCAAAATATGCGCAGCATGGCATCATGACTCGGCCCCTGATGGCAAGATGGCAAAGGGGTAGATGGCAAAGGGGTAGTATACACGCAGAACAACGACGGTTGCTATCGTCGAGCCTTGAGGATCTTCACTCGTGGCGTCAAGAAACAGCGAGTGTCAGAAACGCGCATTCTACGTATTCTTCGCACCTTCTACATTTGCGGTGCTTTTGCCATCCGCCGAGGCCTCAGGCCGAAAGTATATAGGTTGTGAGAACAGGCACCCCCCTCCAGATCCGTCCCCCAACCCCCCCCCCCCCCCCCCCATCTGCCCCCTTCCTTTTTGCTTTTCGCTTTCGTGAAGCGTGAACCCCAAACCCCGCAACCGGAACCCTAAACCCTAAACCCAACCCTCATTGCTTGGGGTGCCGCGACTTGGGCGCTGCGGAATCACGATGCTCACGCGGATGCGCTTTTCCGGGCCGAGGCGGGGTCGCGTAGCGTGAAAATTATGCCTTGCCATGTGCTTTGCCTCCGCCCGCAGTTCCTCGAGCTGGTCCTCCACGCGGGTGAGCGTAGCCATCTGGCAGGCTGGAAGGCTCTGAGCATTGGCCCTAAACCCTAAACCCTAAACCCTAAACCCTAAACCCTAAACCCTAAACCCTTTTTAACCCCTGGGCTGAGGCCGGGACGCGCGTATCATCCATACACAGGCAGAAGAAAAGAACAAACCCTAAACCCTAAACCCTAAACCCTAAACCCTAAACCCTAAAGAACAAGGACATGCCAGGAGTCCCTCAAGTGGATTCACGAGACCGCAACGCCGCAACACCAGTGCCATAATAGTAGAGTCAGTTGAACGAGAAAACGATGCAGTCCCGAATCCTGCCTCCACATCCTTTCTACACATGGTTTCCACTTAAGCTCGTCTGGAAAGCCAAGTAAACTCCCAATCTGAATGGGATGATGTCGGATGTGCCTCGCGGCCGAGCAAGGCCTGCACTTCCGACACTCGTTCTGTCAGTTGGTCGAAGGCTGCCGCCTGGATGACGAGAGTGACTCGAGTGTCTCTCTCAAGCTTTTATGGGGCCATGATGGGGCATGGCTTCGTTCTTACATGGCACACTTCTGTGTCTCATTGTCGCAGGGGTTCTCGTGGGCCCGCTGCAGATCCCTGCATGACTCGTTGGTGGCCGACTCTCGTGGACTCTCTCTGGTCTAGAACCGTCCTCCACAGATCCGTGAAGAGTGTGCAGCCCTTCGCCCAGCTGCTGCAGATCTTCGCCAAACTGGTCAGGAGGTACGGGCTGAAGGCAAGATACGGTACTGTCAATGGGACACATGACACAAGCGCTTGGAGGGCCTGCCAGCTCCCTGAACTTTCTTCCATGTACATGTGCAGTTGGTCAGAGCCTTCTCTTGGTGCACAAGCAGCGTCGACTCAAACTCAGCTTGCAGTCGCTGCTGGTCCTTTGGCGCGGCACGCATCAGTGAATTGCAGGGAGCTTGACTGCTGTCGACTATAGCTTCACTCTTTGGCTGGAGGCATGACAATGAAGGCATCGATAAAAAGCAGGGACTGATGGTGCTCGGTGAGCTCATCGCTTGGAAGGCGCCTCTTAACATCTCAACATCGCATGAGATGCTTGCAAGGTCCTCCATCTGCCGGCTCATCAACGTGTGCCGCTCCTGGCTTGGGCTGTGTGGCGCTGAGCAGCACCATTGTTGCTCTATGTTGTTCCCGCCTCGTCCCTTGAGCAGCCGCTGCAAAGTGATCCCCCACCGGCGTCCACGGCCGCAGCTTCTGCCTGTAAGTGTGGCCAAGAGCAACCGCAGCTATCCACAGTGGAGTTGATGCACACTACCTAGCGCTGAGGCGAACACAAGCATCAGCTACCCAACATTACACAGCCAGAGCAGAACTGCTCGTGGAAACCAATGTCTTCTCACAAAATAGCTCCTTTTTTGGTCCAGCTCGAAGCATTGCGCCGACACGCGCATATGTACAACGAATGTACAACGAATGTAGAACGAGTCAGATAGCTAGATTTGCCGGCCTTAGACATTTTCGCAGATCGGCATGCCTGCGCTTTTTTCAGTCCTTGACAAGCATGTCTAGAATCTGAGAGCAGAGCATCCGGACTGATACACTGCGCCCAGAATTACATGCACAACCAACACACTTATAAGAGGATGCTCCACCCAAACATTCGCTGAGAGATGCCGAGAGAATTTCTCAACCAGCATGTATGTGGGTGAGACCTGGTCGGAGACATGCAGCCGAAGCGAGAGACTCAGCAGAAAGTGCAGCACGTAGATCCAACGATGGCTTGCTGTAGTTATGATGGCCATGATACGATTCTGGCCGGGGCTTGCTTGAATCACGTCATCTCTTCACTCGGCGCTTTACCCACTTTTTTCTTCTCTTCCCCTTGAGAGCAACTTTGCCCTCTGGCGACTCCTCACCACTCTGCTCCTCCTTGCTTGGTACGTGCCTCGGCAAACGAACTGCTCATTCTGTCAAGCATTTATCCTTCCTGTTGGGCCTTTGCAACATGAAGACTGAAGGTGTGGCAGACGCATGCAGACACAGTCACACCCGTGCCACACCCGTTTGCAGCGCACGACACCACGCGCTGCCCATGCCTTCATATGCCAAGCTTCGAATCTGGAGGCTCCTCCGCAGCCTCCGTCTGCAGACCCACTCCTTGGGCTGTCTCAAAGGCCTCGCGAAGGGAATGCAGGGCGTTTGTGGAAGGTGTGCTCTGGGGAAACCTCTGCGGCATGTCCCAAAAGAAGACACTCCACTCGCGATGATGCAGAGCCTTTCACGGCATTCACATACCCTGACAGTAGTGGCCGGTATTCGGTGCCTTGTGAGCAACCTCCCAGTCCACGGCCAGTGCCCAAACCTAGGAGATGGTTTTCATTTCACGCTCACACCGGCTTCCTTCGAATTTCGTCGATGTCCGCTCTTCGGCCGGCTGGGCGAGCGGCACTCCCCTCGTGACCCAGGATCTGGCGCTCGACGAAACCGTCTCTGAAGTCCTCAAGAGCTTCATTTTTAGACTTATAGGGGCCTGCTGAACTGCCTGGGATGAACATGAAGGCCCTCATGGCATCTGTGCAGCATGAGCCAAAACTGTCAACAGCCCGCTTGTGCATGGAGGTTCTCATTCAATTCCTCATGCAGGCTAGGGATTCCATAAGTCTTCAAGGGCCTTTCACCCTAAACCCTAAATCCTACACCCTAAACCCTGACAGCTGTCCCAAACGAAGAGGGAGTTGTCTCCTGGTCCAGCACCTGCCGAAGGGCGTGAGCTAAGGTTTCAGGCTTCCAGGGCTCCAATGAAACACCCTGATACCGCACAGATACTTACATAGGCGCATGGATAAATCGGGGAGTCTGGTCTTTTGGTGCACGCTCGCGTATCGTCTTTGTACACAAAGGTGCCAATCGAACACTTTGTCTCAAAAGCTGTGGTGAGTACAGCCCACGCTGACTCACGGCATCTCAGAGCCCAGCCTGCTTGAAAATAGGGGGCAGCCGTCAGAACTTCACAGGGGGACGTGCAAGGGACCGCGGTCCCCTAAGCACCTCGATGAGTACAGAAGTGGACTTCCTTATCTTCTCCATACCAAGGAATGAGTTTTGGGATCGCGCGGTCGCAAAATCTTAGAATTAGACCTGTTCGCTGAGGCAAGAAGATCTCAGTGGTGCCTGCCCCTGCATTCACTTTTAACTTGTTAGCTCTGGTGTTCAGTGAGTGAGGGGGCCGGATCTGTGATGTGAGCACTTCTCTTGGTGCTCAGACTCAGCTGTGCTCAGCCAATACTGTGCACTCAGATTGATTGCCCTTGCTCGTTCAGCGCTCCTTTGCGACCTGCTCTACCCTCTTAACGATTGGTAGCAGAACTGGTCCCACGTCCTTCTTGGCCAGCTTCTTCTCTTCTTCCTGTTTCGCGCGCTCCTTTGGGTCTGAGGTGGCAGTGTTAGCCACCGGTGGTTCCAGGTCGCTGGCACTGATCAGACGCGACATGAGGTGTGCCACCATCATATCTGCCGGGCTGTTTGCAGAAGACAGGTCGTCTAGTTCTGTGCAGGGCTAGCCTGGGAGAAAGCGGCGGCAGTCGAGTTGGGTGACGAGTGTGATGGCTGAGCATGGATCACAAGTGAAGCTTGCACGAAGCTGCTTCAACTAGGGCCATGAGCATCTACAAACAGACGATAGATGCCTGTGACCATCCTCCGGCCCGCCCAGTCAACGTCCCTGCCACGAGTTTTCAATGAGACCGAAGCACACCAAGAGTGCCACGGTCTGCAAGGTACTGGCAAGAATGCTCAAGGTGGTTGCCAGTGGTTCCCCACCATGCTTCCAAACAAGGCAGCAGGACATGCACCAGACGCTGCCCGGATGTTTCTCGAACTTTTGCAAGGGCTCGGCGACCTCCCAGACCAGTGCGAGCAATGCGCGGTATTGCTCGACGCTGATCGCACGAGTCACGAACCTCGAGGTCCCAGAGGATGATGCTGCGGTCCGCGGAGCAGCTCATGCCCTGAAACCTCAGAAGCCCCATATCTGCGCGCTACGTGGAGAACGTGGATGCCTCATGACTCATCCACGAAGCTGAGATCAGACTAAGCTAGCGGCGTCGGCCAGTCTACACGAAGGTCAACAACTTGACGGCCGTGCTGGAGCATGGCCCTGCGCATTGTGTGCTACCCTCAACACCTCCCTCGCCTCAGGAACGTTGCGCAATGAGTGCTCCCACATATACATATACATATACATATACATATACATATACATATACTTTTACGTATACAGAAACATATACCTGTACGTGTACATATGTGTACATGTATGAGCATACACACACGTATATACGGGTATATGCATATGTATATACACATTATATTATACAACCTGTACATGTACTTGTACTTGTACATGTACATATTAGTATAAAATTGCAGATGTACTTTCTGTGTATGTGTATATGTATATGTATATATATATATATGTAATATTGTAGTTTCTACGCGCTCGACCTCACATAGACATCTGTATGACCAGGCCTGACGCAAGACTTGCTTCTCAAATCCCAGACCATCAGGTGACGGTCGAACGCACCGGTTACGGCCTGTACGCAACTTTTCGTGAGGGCTACTGAGGGCTGCGAGGTAGCTGTCATCTGATATGACTTGGGGTGACCTGATATGATGTTGGGTGATCTCGGGGATCTCTGATGCTGCGAATGCTGTTTTCGTGTGACTTGAGTTGATCTCGTATGATTTGAGGTGATCTGCGCCTGCCTGAGCACAGATACGAAATACACGCATATTTCGAGCGTGCCAGCCTTGTTCCCATCAGGACCCAGGCTGCAACACCAGACCTTGCTGCTCGCAGGCGCGACTAAAGTACAGGCAAGGCGACGAGTCTCCGCAACCACCAACATCCACCAACCTGGCCCACCTGTTTAGCGTCAGGCTGATACAAGCACTAGTGTTGGTCCGGTTTTGAACTGACCCTGACAAACTTCTTGTTGTCCAGAGCGGAAAACTAAAATGGTTGGTGCATGATGATGCAGCGCAGTGCTGCAGACAAACAATTCCCTGCAACGGCCGGGCCGTGAGGAACTTTACTGAACCCATGCGCAAGCCGTATGCTGGGAGCTGCGCCGCCCCGGTGTGGCCCTCCAGCCGTGAGATGCAGCGGCCAGTCTCCAGGTCCCAGCTCCTGCTTGGGCAAGCTTCAGGGCCTTTCTTTTGAGGGAACTCAGGTTCCATGGTAGTGAGTGGCAGTAGACCAGAAAGAAGCAAGGCAGCAAGGCCACTGCAAAAGAAAGCGCCTGACGATCTGATCCTGCCCCACGGAGATGGCTCGCATCAGATCCCACTCAGCAGCTACGGAACACCTGAAGGATGCACGAGAGTCTACACTTACCCGTGCAGGAAGTGCAGAGCCCTTGCTAGGGAACTGGCACAGCGCCCGTGTGGTCGGAGAGGGTGGCCACCTGGTTCCCAAGCCCTTCAACTCCCAAATGCTAAATGACATGCCAGCTGCAAGCCTTACAGATGGCTGAGAAGGTTACAGACTCCTCCGCGTCGAAATCCCAGATTCGAACCTCTCCGTCAGCAGCTCCAGAAAGTATCCGCCTGCCCGGAATTACATTTCAGAAGTGACATGGCGTCTGATGTTAAATCTCTGCAGTCGTCCCAACATCGCAGTGAGCACATGCGGCTTTGTAGCCACGCACTTTTGATGGCGTCCGTGCCCTTTCAGCACAAGGACGATGTCGCTGTTGCTGCACTGGACTCCAAGACAGTGCAGGCATTTCCAGGCAAAGGCGGATCTCAGACGCATTCAGACGCTGTAGACCTTGACCTTCTCGGTGCCAGAGACTTTGGACGGAGCTTCCGTGCGTGCGCCCGCAAAAAGCTTTGCCATGGAAACCACCAAGGATACCACAGCTACGGAGAGGGCCACTCCATGCAGGGCAGCCCTGCTGGCGCTCTTCCGGCGCTTCGCCTTCTGCGCCTTCTCATGGGCCACTGCATCAACGAGTTCCTCCTCCATGGTCCACATGCTGGAGCACATGCCCTCTTCATGGGTCGGTGGCTTCTTCCATGAAGCAGCCTGCACGTGTTGGAGCATCTCCTCTTCTGTGGCGCCAACTGCCTCGCCAACCTCTTCTTCAAAGATCTCCGGCCTCAACGGGCTCGTGGTCCCCGACATGTGAGGATATGGGCACTCGCGGGGGTGGAGGTGATGGAGCCACTGGGCAAAGAGGCGTCCATGGAGTGGCACCAGACCACCGTGGTGCGCCTCGATTTCCTGTAGGCGCCGCTTCAAGCTGGAGGCCACGGAGGCATTTACAGCGGCTAGGATGGCCTCTGCAGTGGCCTCGTGGCTCTGGAGAATCTGCTCCAGTGAGACAAGGTAAGCATCACACTCGTCGATGCAGCAAACGGCATAGTAGCCAGAGGATGCAATGCAGTTCGAGGGACCGAGGATGTAGTTCGGGATCACCACTCGGATGGCATCAGGATCCGACTCATCCAATGCACCAAGTTGTCGGAGGTAGGACACACTCTCACTGAACTGCCACTTGCCACCGTGCAGTGCCATGCCGTAGAAGTCACTGAGACGAACTCGGCCGGTGTTGGGACGCTCCTCGCTCTGCAACAACTCGTCTTTGAGGGCTGAACACTCGTGGGATTGCCATCGGCCATACCGCTCGCCAAGCGCTGCGACAACCTCGGACATCTCCTGGAAAGACAGTTGCTGCTTGCTAGGGAGGATGTCCTCACGAGTTTGCTGCAAGAACGACTGTGTCGCTGGCCAAGTTGGGTACTGCTCGGCAACCTCACTCAGCTTCTGCAGCATGTTGTCGGGCTGAAGGTGCTGCATATCTGCTCCAAGGACGAAACTGGCCATGTAGGTTTCCAGCACTTCCGTAGCTTGTGTCATGTTCAGCACCGACTGGAGAGGCTTCTCCTGAGCATGCATCGCTGCTGAGAGGCGGATGTCCGCCTCCGCATGGACCATGTTCTCCAGCATGGCGGCCAACACGGCCAAGTCGTGAAGGTCCAGGCCGTGGTCTGTGAGCCGACTCTCAAATAAGGCAACCACATCCTCCGGCATGCGGTTCCCCAAGGCAATCGTAGGCGATGAGCTGTCCCATGTCTCTCCGCGTGGTTCCAAACCATGGAACTGCCATCCATGACGTTGGACGAACAAGCGGTGGAGGGCGTAGCGTGCAGCTGGAGGCCGCACGGCACCTCGCGCATTCTTTGGAAGGGCGGCGAAGGTGCTGGAGAGGGCATCTTGGAGACTTGCGATGCGGGCTTTTGTTGAATCCATGCTCGCAGTCTTCATGACATCCTTGAGCTCTGCGAGGATGGGCTGCTTGGGATGTGCGACTGGTGCTTCTGTGAGAAACTGGGCACTGCAGCCGCCCAAAGCAAGCAGAAGGAAAACTGCACAATGTGCAGAGTAGGCAAACGACTTAGCCATAGGTACGAGGAATAGAACTGTCTACGGGCAGACTTTCTTGTGACCGCGGTGTGAGGTGACCACCACAGTTAACAGGAAGCTCGAGCAAATTGTGGCAAAGGGCATGCAACATGTTTGCTTCACACTCGCAACTCAGTTTGTGGGTCGCCTGAAATAGATGGGGCGCAAGCTCTGACACATAATGAGGTCCACCATGCTTCTTTAAGCTAGCAGCTACCCACCTTCCATCCCAGTCCACGTCGACAGACGTCACCCAGTCTTTGTGGCCTGCACAAAGCTTTCGTCACACACAGCGCTTGTGTTCTTCTTTTGTGTGTATTCGCGGGCAACTCTATATCGAAGGTCGTATAGCCTGTGACCTGCATGGTTAGCGAGTTGTCACAAAAAGAAACTCCGTCCTGGTTTGAGACTGGGCATCTGATGAATGTGCCCCTCAAACCTCCGACCAAACTCCATGGAGATGATTATGTTTGAAGCCAGGGCTTGTAACACCAAGGCTGGTGGGATCGCATCGGTGCATGCACAAGTGTGATTGCCATGCGCGATGGAGCGGGGCTGCTCATGTTTTGTTTGTGGCTGTGGTGCTGCAGGTGCGTGTGCCTGTGCGCGCGCGGGGGAGTGTGGGTGTGTGTGATTGTGACAGAGAGAGACAGAGGTGCGCAGGCCATGTCCTGCTAGGGGAAGCGGATTCAGCGGATGAAAGAAACATGGATCGTTCTCTGTTTGGCAACCTAAGACTCTGAGAGCCTCATTCAAGCACAAGATGCGCTGAGCGCCGGGGGGCCTCGGTAGAAGCATTGGAGCGCCTTGTCGTCAGGCACCTCGTCGTTCACATCCCAGAGAGCCTCTGCTAGCGCGGCTTGGTGCAGCTATAATCCTCGCTGCGCTGTTACACCTGCTATCCCCAAATCATCCGGGGTGCCAAAGAGTGATCGCCAGAGCCGGTCACCTCAAATCCACCCCCTCACTTCTTCTGATCGCCGTGTTCGTACTGCGCAATGATGTAATGTTGAGTGGCGCATCAGCAGAAAACAAACGAATATCCGATACGTACTGGTGGAGCCAGGGCCAACGAAAGCCATGATTGGGCCGGAAAAGCTTTTCGCAAGTCTTCGGTTTAGGCATGTATATATATATATACACATACACATATACACATGCAAGATACTCAGGGGACCTTTGCCCATGTACGCCCGCGCTGTGCCATGGCACCTGGCCCCGATTTCTTTCTGATCTTTTCGATAAACTTGCCACCAAATGGCTTTGTTTCTTTTATTGCTTGTTCTTGTTCTTGTTCTTGTTCTTGATCTTGTTCTTGCTCTTGTTATTGCTCTTGCTTTTGTTCTTGTTCTTGCTCTTGCTTTTGTTCTTGCGTTGTTGTTCACTCCCCCTCCCCCACACCCCTCTTCTCAAAAAAACCCACTCGCCTCGCCGCTTTTCAAAGCCACACCGCCCTCCTTTCGTCCCACCCGATGGCCGTCGCTAGCTTTCATGGTCTGGATGCTCCACAGCTTTCCAACAGAAACCTCTTTTTGGGTGCAAGGTCTTACAAAGAAGCGCAGGCAAACTCGCCAGTATGGCAGCCATGTCTGTGTCCCAGTCCACACTGAGGCAAAGGATCGCCGCCTCATTTAAAGTTTAGGGTTTAGGGATGGTAACTTACGGCTTGTGGCTCAGAACTCGTCTCTGGGAGAAGAGCAACATTGGCTTTGACTAATGACCAGGTATCTCTGTCACAAACGCATTTCTCGATCCTTGTGGCGCCACCAGCAACGCTTCTCGTCACCTGCGCATGCATTTCTGGCATCTCTGGACGCCTAATCGCGCAGACCTGCGGTCGCCAAGCATTCTTTAAATTCAGCCAGCTGCAGTCTGCCAACCGCCCTCTAGAATAGACGTGCAAAGTTCCTTTCGTCTGTCATCAGCTCTGCACTGCAATGCCATGATGTGCACAGAGTCCGAACATGTCCAAACGTTTCTCCGAGCCTGTCTTTACATCCCACTGTCGCATTGTCTGGTCAGTCGACACGGTGATCATGCGCGGATTGCAGCCCGGAAACATGGAACGCCTCGGCACGGTAGACGCATTCTCGGATCTTGAAGGTACTGCTGCGAGAGCGGTCACAGCATGGAACCCATGCAGTACACACATCTCACATTGCTGGCCTGTCACCCTCCAGGAGTAAGGTGAGGTCATCGTTAGCCATGATTCCTTCGGGACGATTACCAAGGTGCGTTCGAATGCTTGCGGCTTTCGTCACTCCTAAAGCCTAAGAATGTCCTTCGATTGTTCTGGCCAGTTGTGGCAGAACTAATTAAGCACAAAACATGGAGCATAACAATTAGAAACAATTGTCGTTCATACCAGGCAAATACGTGCCTCACAGTTGGGGCCGCAAATTGCACGATGCGAAGCAGGCTCGTGGCTGCTACGATCCAGTCCGCGCCATTTGGGAAAGCCCCTTGAGGCCCTGGGGGCCGTCAGGCGACTTGAGATACACGGGTCTAGCCACCTTCCGCAGCTTTGCGAATGTGTGGCGCCTGGGCACCTGTAGGTCGTCTAGGCAATGCTGTGCCCCTATTTCCATAGCCACAGTGTTGAAGATGCTCTCTAAGCTTTGGCCAAAGATTTTGCAAAGACTGCGTAGCTGTGTAGTGAGTGCAATGATGCCACCACTTGGCTCGGGCAAACAGCCTTGGGATTCCCGGTGTGGCACTGTCCAATGGCAGCAAAGATGGAAAGATTGGAGCCCTAAACCCTAAACCCTAAACACCCTAATAGTGGGCAGCTGGCGCAGGGCAGGGCAGGCATGAAAGGCAGCTGCTCGCGGTCTTTCCGAGTTTGCTGTGAAAAGCTGGGCTCCCAAGCCTTTCAGTGCTACACTGCTACACAATGCAAAGCAATATATGTATGATTCTGTATGAATACTGCTTTAGATTCGATGCCCAAACAGCATTGAATTCGTGTCTGGACTCAAAGCAGGAATGAAGTGATATATGAAGCCATCGGGTCTTTTCGCGCCCATCTCTCACTCATCCTGGGCGGCTTCCTCTTCAGCCTCAATCGCAGCCACTGCCGCCTCCAGAACTGACAGGGTTTTACATTGCTATGGCTATGGGAAGCAGGTCTTTGCAAAGGCAGAAAGGCTTATTGCAGTTTAGCTTTACGCTCTACTCTGCCTGTAAGCTGAGCGGCTACATGCTACATCCCCAGAAGCTTTTCTTGCGAGCCATACTCACGGCCCTGTCGCACGCACGGCAAAACCACTTTCACGAAAATAATGTCACGTCCGCATGCCATATGTTACAACTGCAAGGCAGCAAGAATTGAAAGCACTGAAAAGGAAACTCTACGGGCAGCCCTTTCGCAGATTTCTCCACAACATCCAGAACTTGGCTGGCTAGCTTCATACATGCAGCCCTCTTAGACCCTAACTTAATCCGATATAATCTTACAAGTGGGTGTTCTTGGATGCCCCACACGTGCGTCAACTAATTCCATCAACTAGGCGCAGCTGCTGTTGGACTTGACCTCCTCCCAGCTGCAAGAGTCCCTGCATGTCCCTGCCCTGTCTGTCTGTTACTGCGACTATTACTAGCGATTACTAGTGGGTCCACTACATTTCCCTGCGACCGATTTCGTAAGACGGACCTGCGAGGTGCTTGCAATGCTCTGCCTGCGTTTCGTCCAGCAGGGGCACCAGCGAGTCTGCCGCACCACCCGGGTAGTGTTTGATGAACACAGGCACTGCCTCATTAGAAAAGCAGGGGGCTCAATGCAGTATCTCTCAGCCTAGGTGCACGGGGCTCTGCAAGCTCAACCGTCAAGCCTGCCGAAGCTTTTCGAGGCTGCCGTTGCAAGCCTGCACTTGAAACTGCAAACACAAAATACACCAGCACGTGAGTCGACTAGCCAGTTAGTGATCTTCACGATTTAGGTCCCTATTAGCCCATGGGCCTCTATATCGACTCCGCCAACGCAATCAGCCTCGAGACAGTCAAAGGCTCGCTCGGCTTCTTGACAGATTAAATACAGTAAGCGACACGAAGGAATGTGATTGTGAGCAGCATGAGCTCTACAAAATGTGCCGAGACAGCGGCTGCAAGGGTGTCGATCGCGCCTGGAACATGCCGCTAATGATCGCTGCTTCGCATGGCTACAGTTTTCTGCAAGAATGTTGAAGTCGGAAACTTCGTCTGCACCGACTATGTGCACTCTCTTAACTTCCTTGCAGACCCGACATTATCAACGCGCCTCTCTGGGGGTTTAGGGGTATGATGCCAACACTAACCGTGCCCAGGCGAACCAGGTACCAGCGTCGCTTGCTCGGCGATGGCCTGTACGGCACGATATAAAGTGGAACACGGCCATGCCACAGTATTGCGTGCAAGCACTACTGGTAGCTGCAAATTTTGATAATTGCATTAGCAAGGTGGGTTATGGGGATTATACTAGGGTTTCCAGGGGATACAAAGTAGACTGAGTCAAAAGTTCTTCCAAGCAAGCACCTCCAATCTGGCCAGGTCGAGGCTTGCAGGCGTCTCGCTGGTTGCAATGCAGGACGTGGATGCCTTGGCAGCGTCAGCCCTTCGGATCATCAGGGTTTAGGGTTGAGGGAACAGCCCTTTCCAGGCCTCTTTGAGGACATCCTCCAGCTGTGTGGACATCTTCAACACGCATTCCAGGATATGCCTTGTGAGGGCTATATACATGAATGATGCACTGCTCAATGGATGCTATGGCCAGAAGGTCAAAGAGCCAATGGAGAGTTTTCTTGACAGACTCTGTCTTTAAACAGCAAACAACGTCAGCCACCGATACCCAGCCCGGGAGTTCATCTTCATTTTTAAGCCTTTTGGGCATCTTGCTACACTATGTTGCTTAAAGTTCAGGAGTTGGGCGGCAATGTCACCCAAAAGCGTGGTAATTTAGGTCATCGGCTTGCACCCCCCACCGCCTAAAACTAGGCGGCTTAAGATGGCCAACTCCTGCTGCACTGCGCATCCTGGCAAAAAAAGACTTCCTTTGGACTCGGGACTCTGTCCCTGCAAATGGGTCATCTATCGACTGAGCCCTCAACATGCAAAAGGGCGGTAAAACCCTAAACCCTAAACCCTAAACCCTAAACGGTTACGTCTGCTCAATACTCCATCCTCCTGGTCCCCCACCTCTCGGCAGGGAGCATGGCTTCCTGAAAGGCGCTGCACAAGTCGTCCTCATCCTCCAGCAGCTCCTGTACAGGGACTTTCAGCACAAGTTCGGGGTTTAGGGTTTAGGGTTTAGGGTTTGGGGTTTTGGGGGTTTCGGAGAAAGTTTTGGGGTTTTGAAAGGGCTCTTGGCTACGTCGCCTCGTCGCCACTGATGACTTCCACCGCGTCGGGTTTCTTCTTGTCGGCATTTTCTAGCTCCTGTAGAGCTGTTGGCACATGGTAGCTTACCCTCTTCACGTTTCAGAACGGATGGCCGCAAACCTGGTCAAGCCTCGAAAGCCCAGAACTCGAGCAGGTGCCGCTGCAAAGAGTGCTAATATGCGAACTTGGTGACAAGTGCGGCTGTTTGTCCTCCTGCATCTCACGGTTCGCATCGCGGAGCATCGCCAAGCTCTTTAGCAATCGCCTGGCGTGTTTGATTGGACACCTTGATCCACACACTGTGCCTACAACATCCTGCGGCGACTTTTACAGGTCTCGAAATCTGGCACACTTGTCGCGCCGGGGCAACTCTTTCCAACACATGAGAGACCTATGAAGCGCCCCTGCACATCCCGGAGCTGAACTCCTTCAGCAACCCCAATGTGCCTTCTACATTTTCACAGCACACACCGGGTGCGTGTGCATGTCCGTGTGCGTGCGTATGTCCTCCTACATCGTTCAAAAGCAAATACTTGCAGGTGCTCACAGAAGCACCGTCCTCCGGATGGCCGCTCGGTTCTGCGTGGAGATGCGCTCAAAGTTACTGGCAGTTTGCAGGGCCTGCAGGCCAAGGCTACAAGTAGCTCCCGATGGCCAAGCCACACTGCCGCTTGCATCACCCGTCCCTAGATCCTAATTGCAAGGACACCTCCGTGAGCTCCAAGCTCCTGAAACAATCCATAAGGGAACCACACGAGAACATTTCTAATGCTACCTATCCAGATGAGGGCCTTCGCTGCGCTAGCGGCAAGGCCCGGAGTCAAAACAGCCTTGCCCAGTGCCTCGAGAAGGGAGCTTAGAGACTGTGAGAGGGATCGTGACGTGGGATCATGGCTCAGGAGAGAGCGGGTTGGAACTGATGATCCGACTTAATTCAGGGATTCCGGAGGCTCTTGCGTGCAGGCATAACGTGGGGGGCCAGGATGTGCATAGATGTGGCAGCTGAAGGGAGCTCACAAAGTAAAATTTGGTTAAGCGCCTCCAAGGCGTCTGCCAGGCCACCCCCAGCATCCTTCAACGCATTCAGGGCTCTAGGGGTATCAGGGTTTTTCTTGCCACCCGCACTGACAACACCAATGCGCCACTCCGCAGGGACTTGTTGAGGATTCAGGTTGCTTCCGAGGTACCAGCTCTCCGATTCCCTAGTCTCATGTTTAGGGTCTGAGGGAGAAAACAAACTTTGAGCCATTTTGAGCCTATGGATGTGCCATCGATGTGACGGCTTTTGATGGCCACAAACACCAGGTGAGCTTGCTGAAGATGACGAGGCCAGTTTTCTTTTACAAAAACATCTCAGCTCGAATCGGCGAGAAGAAGTGCAGAATAGAAGAACTGCTGAGTGAAGTCTCACTGCAACGACTGACGGTGCTCTGCCTTGACCCCGGCCCGAGCCCGCATCACTGCGGTATGTTGGAGGCGTCTCTCACCCCCCCCCCCCAAAAAAAAAACACACACACACACACAGACCATCCTGGAGTTCTGCTGCCAAGCATTTGCCTGCCAGGATCAAATCATGTCAAATGACATCAAATGTGAAGCCTAGGGGCCTAGTGCTAGGGTCGAGTCGGTATGTGTAGATGTGCCAGGGCATCAAGGTCCGACACTGCGTGCGTAGGCACAGGCAAAGACAGGCGTGATGACTGCGGGATAAAAGACGTGGCAACAAGACCCGCCTGCTCCACCAGTCAAGGACATCAAGGTTCCCGCAGCGGCGGTGTATGCTTTGACCACCTGCAAGACGTTCAAAGAGTCAACGATGCCACACACGATGCCACAAACAGCCGTGCCATAGTCCAGAAGCACGCAAGGTCATCATAGGTATTCATAAGTCAAGGGTAGCATTCTGCTTTCAATCTTAAGATGCGTGCAAAATCCTGCAAGGCTTTTCCGGCAGTTAGGACAGGCACCTCCTGCGCAATTGGTGTAAGACCTTTCTGCGCCTCCTGAGACCACAACTGTAGCTCACTACGAGGTTCATCGCTCCCTCTCGCACATGGCACCCTCAAGTTTGTAGTGTAGTGCAACGTTCAGGGGCATATGAACGCAGATTCCATCTATGTAATGCTGCCAGCTACAGTGCAGTACCACTACTTCAGACCGTGCAGCAAATGCGGTAGTGACAGATCCGCCCAGGCCGCGGGCCATAGGTCTGTAGGCGTATGGGTAGCACAAAGCAGGCACCCCACGTCTAAGCCCAAGCACCTTTATTTGGGATTTTTTTTTGCCACGCCCCGCCCCCCCCCCCCCCCCCCCCCCCCCCCCCGGACCCGGCCCCCCGCCACCCCCTCCCCCCCCCCCCCCCCCGCCACCCCAACCCCCCCAGCCGCCTCCACCTTCCTGCCCACCTTCTGCCTGTTTCGCTAGCTTCGAGCAGAACAAGCACCTTGCTGCTGCGCAGGTCCCGGCCGAGGCGGGTCGCGTAGCGTCAAAATCACCAGTTGGCCACCAAGCTGTTCCAGTCAGTGATGAGCGACATGGATCTCAAATAAAAGTGGCCGTGAACGTGCAGAACAATGTTTATACATCGCGCGCACATCCCTCACAGAAGATGCGTCCTCTGCATTTGCAACAGCAGTGGCCGACGCACCAAATTTCGTCAGCGTGTGTTGCAGATATTTGGACACCTGAGCGGCAACAGTAACGATATTATGACGTGTGGCCACAGTGCAAGTTTTGCTTCTACTCTGCGAGCGCGAGCAGAGCATGAACCCCGCCTTCTTCAGTTCGTCCACTGGCAGCAATGTGCCCTCTTTCGGCTCATCAGCTGCCTGTAGGACAGGCTGATTCTTATCTTGGCCCATCCCGACATTCAGGCTTGACTGTCAGTCCTTGATGTCTGTCGAGACTTCTGTCCAAACCTGTCGAGACAGAACCAAAGCAGTGCATCACAGTGCATCACTTTGAATTGAGCTGTGCTTGTTCGGCTGAAGCTTGGGATGGTGCCCGTCTTGCCGCCGCCAACAGGTTTTCTGTTGCCATGTTGGGCAGATCGACAGAGGTTGTCTCTGATTTTGCCTCACCTGCTAGCCTGCAAAGGTACTGGGTATGTGTTCTTTTCTGTTGGGGGGGGGGGGGCAGGTCGTGTGTGGGCTTGGCTGTCAGCTGTGTTGCGATGCATTTTGTACAGGCTATTTGACGTGCTCCAGATTACAACTGGAGAGAAACCGTGATACTGTTGCACACATCGTGTGTCGACTGTCGGAGCTTGAGCCGGACGAGCCAGCATATGGAGCTTGAATATGCCAAGGCTGCTAAGCCAAGCATGTATCAATCTGGAAACACTTGCACAAGTGTGCCGACGGTGCTCACTGCAGCTCCACAAAACCAGAAGGAATGGCCTTCAAAAGTTGTCGGCGGCAAACTGTGCAGAATTTTATGCCTGCAGTGGCCGCACAAGATTTCAACAATCATCGATAATTCTCCGCTGCTGTTCTCTTGGACCCAAAACCTTTTTTACCCCATGATCGATCATCCACTCACCGTCTACAAATGACTGACAAATGCACTTGCTTGTCGGACGCGTGCCTGCTCGTTCGCGCTGGGATGCAAAGGCCTTTCCCAACACCTCTCACAGGAACAGGCAGCAGAACAAATGCTGAAGTCCCGCCAACCCGGAACCTACCGGCTCTCTATTCGTTTAAGACTACTTGGCCGCAGAAGCTTTGCCAATCCAGCCAGTATTTCAGAGCCAACACCACAACCACAAGCGAGACCATTCGGATTGCGGATCAGAGTATCGTTTGCAACGTCACTTGCCTAAACTTGCCATTGACTGACCTACTTGGACGTCATCGGCTGGTCACAAGTCTGGCGCCGGAAGCCTGTCGAACCAGGCCACGTCGAAGGGCCGGCCTAACAGGCTGAGGTACCAAGGACAGAACCAGACTAGGGGTTAAATGTTGTTGCCGCTCGCATAGCCGAATGGCAACATCCACTTCGCAAGGATTTGGCAGTTAGTGGGCGCAAAATTGTCGGAGCAGACCGTAGGGTCCAGGGTTTAGGGTCTAGGGGTTAGGGGAATCAAGAATGCACCCTGCCCAATTGATGCCCGAAGTCCAGTTTACCTCCATCAGCTCGCTTCCATGTGCTCAATGGACGGGGCGCCTTTGAACTTGGCAGCTTTGGAAAGTCTCCGACTCGGCAGCCTCGTGGTCCAAAACAACAGCCGTTCTGCTGGTGTGGCTCTGGAAACTTATAGGGGCTTCTATACTGAACTTGGAACCCTACTGTAGCAAACATCAGATTTTTTGCTGTTTCTTAGGAATTATCGTGCCCAAGAATCAAAAAAACCCCACGTGTCCTGAAGGTTTTTCCACTTGGAGTGAGAATTCTAAGGCCTCCGAGGTGGCCAGGACCGCGGTGCTTAGGCAAAGCAGCACGCAGTACCTCTCTCAAACCAATCAGGGGGTTTAGGGGTTTAGGGGTTTAGGGGTTTAGGGGTTTAGGGGTTTAGGGGTTTAGGGCTTTAGGGGCCACCTGGGGGCTTACGATCTCAGGGGTGCCATATTTTGGGGTCCTTCTTATAAGGGGGTCCTATTATTTGGGGGTCTATTTTAGGGGTTCCCCTATTTTCGTAAACCTCCACATCGCTAAAGGAAACGAGGGGGCACATACAACACATCACCGGCAGACCCGTCCAGCTCATGATGACAGCCAGGTGCATGTACTCCTGACCATCGTGTTCATGTTGTGCTTGCAGTTACTGCATTTTCCCCGAGGGGAGAGTAAGCAATCTGAACGCGTTCCACATGCACACTCTGCCAAACAGGATTGTGCTCCATGTGCCGTTTCCGAATCGCGGCTGCCAAGTGACAACCTTTGTTCTCATCACACTTCTTCCTCTCGATTCTATCAGAATTCACAAAAGTCCGGGTGGTGCTGCCTCTTGCCGGAATGGATCGATTTGCCTTGGCCTGTTGTCGCATCCCTCAGAGCCTGACCATTGAATTACCTCCCACTTGTGGGCCTGCCGAAGTTAACTTGTCACAGAATCCAGGCATACAAACCGCGACCCGTTGCGGAACTTAGAATCGCCTCTTCTGCTCTCCCCTCTGCAATCCTGTTGCTCGTGTACCTTTCTAGAAAGATGTTCAGATGTTCACTCGCCCCGCGGTTCATCGAAGCCTCAGCTTCCATGCTGTTGATAGTCTTCGTCGACATGTTGAACAAAACACGGCGAGCAGCGAGCCTTGAGGTCCTGGGAGCAGTCCTGGTGGAGTGGTCGGGTCAAGAATTGTAAGAAATGCATCACATGCGCGCATGACATGATGGCCTGCAACGATCTGTACAAATCTTCGGCCGCAGAAGGCACCCCGTTCGCGTGCCAACAAGACATGCGCCATCCATGAAGATCGGCCTCAGCCTGCCAATTCCAGTAGGTTCCCAAGACCGCCCACCTGGAGCGAAAACAGCGGAAAACAGGGCTCGACGGGCCTCAAAGACTGAGACCATGGTACGATCCCGGTAGCTTTGTAGGAAGCTGTAACCATGAACTTTGACAACACATGCAGCAGCTCGAAAAGCCACACAGGGAACCAGGATCAAGCTACAAATGCCACTTTGGCACCGCTGCATACTTCGCCGTATACTTCTGAAGTCTGAACTTCAGGTGCATGAGGCACAAAAGTCAACGTTTAAGGTCCTTTTCGTAGCAGGGCGTTCCAAGACTGCACAATGGACCATGGAGCGAGTTTAAATATTTCACGCGGTGATACGGCTGCGCGAAGCAAACTCACTATCACTACCATCTTCGACCTCTGCCCTGCAGCTCTGATCGACCCCTGGGTGCCCAGCGCCAGCCCGCAGCTGAACAAGAAACAATGCAGCATTGCTTCCTCTTGCAAGGAAGCTCAAAGCATGGCACGTGCAGGTACGCATAGGGTGGTTCAGTGGAAGCGCGTTTGATCATGCCTGCAAGCCTATGGCAAAGCTTCGCCTGCACGACTTGGAGTTGTACCAGTCTTCATGGTTCGTACTTTCCGGGCAATGTCCAACCAGCCTTGCAAAGCCCGCTCTCCGCCCGTGGGTTGCCTGTAAAGGCGGTGTATGCCGGTGAAAGGGAATGGCAAAAGTGAAGGATATGCTGGGGCCTGAGAACTGGTGCAAACACATCACGAGCAGCACGACGATGGGAATTGCCATGAAACCATAGAGCCACCTGAGCTCCGAGATGCTCCAGAAACCAAGCTACACGCTGTTCCTTCGTTACGAAAGCCAAGGCCGGCGCTGGACAAGAGGCTGGTCACATTCGGCAGTAAGAAGCCACGAGAATGCAACTCCTGTCATTGAAGCACCACGTTCCACATAGGCATCATGAACGCACTTCAGCGCATGACACCCCAGCCTGTCACTACCGCTGGACACAAAAGCACCTCACTGCAACTCACTCAGAATATGTGTGTCGTTACTTTTGCTCAGGGCATTCGGTCTGAGATTTTTGCCAGCAGCCCAAAGACTGCGACGAACAGAAACCTTGAATGGCAGGTGACTGCGACTGCAAAAATGCACAGCTGTTTCAGCCATGCAAGCCATCACCTTCGGTCTGAAACCAACCGGGGATTTCTACAATCTGAAGGTGCCCACGTGCATCCCAGCAAGAACGCCGGCAAGTTCATGAGCACCTGCACGGGAGCATCGTGCACAGCCGTATGGTGCTTCTGAGATGACATATTCGCAACTCAGGCCGCAGCAAGCGAACTCAAGCTCTCAACATGAATCGCCCCTACACGGAGGATCACTTTATGCCATGTTTTCGGGGTTTGAATGCCGTGTGTCGAGTCTCTTTTTTTGTGTCGTCTTGCAGCTGCTTGGCCCCCAGTGGGAGCATGTGAACCGATGAACCACAGTCAGGTTTACGATCGCATTTTAGACATGTCACTTGGCGCTTCCATGTTGTCTACAGCTTCCTCAGCCTGGTCAGCAAATGGCTGATTTTGGGTCCGCCCCCCCCCCCCCCCCCCCCCCATCCCGCGACCAAGCTGTTTGCATGACAACCGTAGGGTTCCGTCCAAGGAGATGCAAGCTGCGGTCCAGCATTTCCCAGCCACAGTAGAATCAGCCAACAAAATGTTTTTTTGATGCATCCGCGCTGTCATTTGGAGGTTCCTCCGCAGTAACCTGATTCACAAGGTCGCTCAAGTCATCAACTGTGCGAACAAAGCTTCTTGGGCTCCTCGCCCCACGCGAGTACCATCAAAGCCTCAAACCCTAAACCCACATCAACACTTGCTGGCCAAAGTGCCGATGAGGTCTTTGCAGCTCTGCACCATGCCGGAGGTGTCTATCGAAGACTCGGTTTCCAGAAGTGCCACAGCTGCCGACAGCAGCGACTTCCCCGCCTCTTCTGGCCACATCGATAGAATGCAGCGTTTCCATCAAAGTCCCCTTCCCACCCCCACATCCCTGGCCCTGCTTTTCGGCAGAAATCCGCGGATGATGCTGGATGCATTCTGTTGGGAGAAGCCGATGTTTCTTTCTCGGTCAGGCCCCTGGATTCTTGGATATCCACAAGTATAAGGTGTCAAACAGATTAAGGAGCCCTTGAGCAGAGGGCAAACTGAATAGGTCCCAAAATTTCTGCATTGCGACTGGGTTCCCACCTCGCAGTCCTCCCCAAGTACAAAGAACTCGCCGGCAAGCTTGTAGTATGCCCCGGCATTCCCGTCTTGCTTCATGTCGTAGACACGCTTGAGGACCTTCACGGGAATCTCATCAAAGTATGGTCTGACGACAGACACTGCACCAGCTCCAAAGATGGATGTGCCTGCGCAATCGTCGGAAAGTAAGGGCGGAAGCTCTTTCGGTCCAGCTCACCTTTCCCAAGATGGGAATCTGACAGATGTTGATGGATGATGACCTCAGGCGCTGCACAAGCCTTTGTTTCATTGCAGTCAGCATTTTAAATCTCCTGAGCTGGCGAGAACTGAGGTGCTATGCACCTGCCTGAACTGTACAAGTACGTCGGGTCTAAAGTCTTCTTGCCTTTCGAAGGGACAGCGGCATTTCTATTGGTGCATGGTTGTATCCGCGGCTCAGGGTACCGAACTATTCTGGACAAAGCGCGACTTCCGTGAGATCGAAGGCGTCTTTAATTGCCTTCAGAGTGGAACTACCGCAAGAAGAGCACTCTGAATGCGGACATCATGTAGGTTGAGCGAGTCTACCCAAGCAAAGGCGCAAGAACGTGGTCTCTCCAACTCAATCTGGACATTGGAAGGCTAGGAGCCCGCGAGAGGAGTAGGGAAGAAAAACTCTCGAGCGATTCGTCAAAGCCCAACACTTAGAAGTTTTGGTTCCCAGAAGCTTGCCCTCTGCCATCAGGTCCTTTGGTCTGTATACTGGCTTCATTGAGAACACCTATGGGATGCCTTGGGTATGATTTGAGCTTCAAGTTTTCGCTCACCTCCATCATCCAAGGATAATGGTATCACATGGGGTCGCTTAAGCTTCCTGCTGTGACTCTGTGTTGTGCTGGTGTCCTGAAGGCTCTGATTCTGCTAAAGCTGGCTACAGCTTTGGACCTCCCCACACCTCCAGCTTGTACGCGCTGTGGAAGGCACTTCGAGCCTCAGGCCACCGCTCCTGCAACGTCTCGCTTCTCGCTCTCAAGCAACTGACTAGGACTAGGAGTCAAAGAATCAAGAGTTTACTCGTCACTTGATGGACGCATCAAGAATGATCTACTCGTCCATGTGTATCTAGCCTGGCCTGCACGTGTTTCATATGAAAGGAAGACAGCTGTGTGCTTCATGGCTGGGATTTGAGTGGACTGCGCTTCATGGCGCAGACGGATGTCAACGGTTGAAGCCCAACGGCTTCTCGGTGGTCCAGCGATCACGAGACTTGACAGACTCTACTTGAGCCCCTAACAGACCGACAGCACAGCAGTGTGTTGCTACTTTACTAGCAGAACTGCCTTTATCATGCCGTCCTGTGCCATGCGTATCTCGCCCAATCGCTTGAAGGCGCCCGCAAGCAATGGGGAGTCTTCACCTGAGGTGGACTCGAAAAGGCGGACGGCCTCCTCGAGGGCCGGCAAGGATGATCAGTAGCCCGAGAGAAGCCATCAGTATGCCTACAATGAAGTCCCTGCTGCTGCTATTTGCTGTCTTCTTGGGGAGTCTTGACTCTAAGGGCTGGGGTTCACCTTCCCCGACTTGCTCAGGGGTCCTTGGGAGTATGTGGTGTTACAGTTCTTACATGTAAACCACTGCATCGTACTTCGGTCCTCAGTTCTCTTCTCGGCCTCCTCCAAGTCGCCGAGCTTCAGCGCAAGTTTACCTCTGTGCAGCCGGGGCATTGAGCTGCAGCTTTCTTGTGGTGGCAACACAAGCGGGTATCGGGGATGCTTTCATGTTCAGCCTGCTTGTCTGAAAATGCCAATAACACTGGCTAGGGCAGTTCATTGATCTGACGCATGGATTTCAACTATAGCATACAGGCCGCTCAGGGTCATGGCAGCTTTGGCTGTTAGGGATGACTCCCAGCCGTTCTTGCTGTCCCGCTTCTTGTACAGGTCGTATGCCTGGAGCCAGCAAAACAGGAAGCAGGCAACCGAAGTTTCTGCTCCCTTGCCTGGCCTCCTGTGCCGATTCGCGGGCTTCAAGCAACTTGGACTGCTTCTCCCGCACTCCAGCCAGCCCGAGCAGGACGCCGCCTGCCACGGTAGTTATGCCAAGGCCCCAAGGCACAGCAGGCGCCACGCACAATAGAAAGCGGCTAGTCTGCAGCATCAAATCGCTGGAAGGCAGCGTGCGGTTGGCTGGAGGATGTCTTTCGAAAGGAAGCTAACCCGCTAGTATTGTGTCCCTGCAGCAGCCTTTGTTGCTTTTCTCCATGGTGGAATTGGTGCTCAAGAACATGAGAGACTGCACGAAGTACATCTCAGCTTCTGCGGGCATCCCCAGCCTAAGTGGCAAGCATGGATGAGGACATAAAAACCTTTGTCTCCTTCATAGAAGAAACGATGCAACAGAGGCCAACATGGTCAACCATTCGGCCAAGTGGCGAGTTGTAGGTATGCCCGATGTTCTCGCACAGGGCCTTATATAAGATGCGAGTCTTGAGTGCTGCGAGAGGACTCTGCCATGCATCTTGAGAGCTTTTGTCAGTCAGGTGGCGGCACTCTTGCCTAAGAGCCCCTCCATCTGATGAAACCATGTCAGAGCCTCCTCAAGAGAGGGCTTGGAGTTCCCATGTAGTTGGTGGTTTGAGGCACCCAATACCCTAAGCTTGCTGGCTTTAAAAAGGAGCGGATTCATGCAATAAGACCCACCCCCCCCCCCCCCCCCCCCAAACGTCAAAATACTCTATCCATCTGCTGAGCGCGACCGGAATTAGCACGTTACGTGACTCAGTCACACCCATAACTCAGGGGCTCATGGACGCGCCTTGAAGCGACCCTGCTTCCAGCGCGTGAAGGCCAGCGCCTGCGCCAGAACTGGCAACTTGAAACGGACATCTCCTGTTCGTCTTTTCTTGGGGGGGGGGGAAGCAGCCTGGATGGCTTGGATGGTAAGATCGTCCTGCCGCCATTCGCAAGCTGGGAACACCTCCTTCAGGGCTTCATCCGCCTTGTTCAGGCGGTAGAGCATGATCCAAAGGTCGAAGAGCTGAAAGAAAACTTCCAGGGTTCTTCGGTCGTTGATCCCAAGCCGCTCCCGATAGTCGAAGAACTTTGCCTCCAACACGGCTTCTTCCAGGATCTGGTCCGCTGCCAGCTCGGGACCCTCGTCGATCTTAGATCCATTGGTCGCCAACACCAGCCAAAAAAGCAGAACCCATGGCGTCATGCATTGAACTTCGCAAGGGGTATGCCGATGGATGATGCAGTTGGCAACATGCGCTACTCTCTAAGCTTGCATGTTTCTTTGCCCCGTCCTAATCCATGCCGCCTTAGCTCGTATAGAACTTACACGCATGCCACAGTGAAGGGGGGAGACATAGGACTATAGTTGCCTCTGCTCGGTGGAAGTCTTAATGAGCTCTTCTGACTCTTGCGTTGCACTCACAAGTCTCTGGCGAGCTCACCGAGCCCAAAACGAAAACTCATTGAGTATGTCACCACCCTCCGAGTTCAAAATGACTCCTGCCAGACCTTGCTTGTTCTTGGAGTGGAGGGAGAGGATGTTACCAAATTTCGCTCCCGCAGAGTCGGACGAAACGTGCAACACATCATTAGGAGGAAGGAGTGAGTCGACTATTCACATGCACAGTTTGTTGCTGAGTGGGGAACAGAAGCTGGCTCTGTCAGTCGAACACGACTAGTAGTGGAGTTGCAAGATGAGCTCTGGACAAAAGGCTCCGTTTTCTCTTTTTTCCTCTGGCATTTGTCGCTGCCTGCATGGTCTGAAGTAGTTCGAGTTTCGTTAGCCCGACTCGCAACAAGGCCGCTCTACGAAAGGCCTGCGCAACATCAGCACATACAGTTGGAGCTGAACTGGCGTCTTCAGCCGCCAGGCTAGGCTTGTGGACTCGAAGCTGTACAAGTTTTGTGGGCAATGTGCTCTACAACTCAATGACCTCCGCGCGTACGAAGCCTGGTCTTGGCTAAGATAGTTATAAGCTTGCTAGTGCCGCGCAAGTCGTTGAGGCACCGCACAAAAACATCCACACAAACCCGGTGGCACATCTACCGTCCATCCAGGCCTTGCAGGAGGCGCTCTGGAGCTCCTGCTGAAGCTCACTGCCTGGCTCGCAGCACTTGGTGGCTGGAAGGCATTCTTTTGCACGTGCCTCCGAGTAAATTCACAAGACAGCTTTTAAGGAAAACCCCCGTAGACGAGTCTCTAGATGCCATGAGCAAGTGCGGTGGCAAAAGGCAGCTGCGCACAGTGGGCTGAAAGGCTTTGCCAACGCCGTTTGGCGACGTCGCGGCAAACCAACTTTAATTTGGAAGCATGATGAGTGAAGCGCTAATCCAAGGCGGCGGGATCTTGCAATGCTGAATGATGATTGTTTGTATGATAGGCATTGCTGCCTTGCTGCCTGATGCGCCGTACTGAGCTGCATCTTGATTGGTTCAATCACGAGCAGTGTCCCAGCTCCTACAGTCCTACAGCAGAGCATTCTGCTGGCCAGCTTGAAAAGAGGCCTGAAATGCGTTTCAAGGTCCCACCGCAAACAGCTTTGATTCTTGTAAAAGCCAAGGACGAGTCCTTGGGGCTTGCGCTTGCCTGCACCTGCCGTTCTCGGGCAAGCGCAGCTCAACTAGCGCAAGCAAGCTTTCTCGTCTCGGGAAATCCGGGAAATCAAGGACGCTTGACCTACATACACCCACATGTCAAAAGCAGGTCGAGGAACATCAACTTTAGCATTTGGCCAGGTGAAACACAGCTCTCGTTCCGTAGACTCTGCATAGCGACCTTCACGCAAGCGCGTCCTGAGAACAGTGCACTTCGAGGTCCGGCCAACTTGCGCATTAACACACACACACACACACGGAATCGAAGCTCATCGAAGAGCTGCTTCATCCCAAGCCACAGCCCTACTCCCATGCTTTAGCTCCATGAACCCTACACCCTGCACCCTAAAACCGAAACCCCAAGTAAAAAGAGTGCTAAAAAGCCCTGCCAGAAAGGTGTGGGGCATGCTGACACGCACATGTCCTCAGCCAGCGAGGATGGCCTCCCATTTCCTGACAGAGTTCCAAGATGGGTATTATCAACATTGTTGATATTTCTAATAATATTGATATTGCTGATATCATTCATGTTATTAATATTTTGAATATTATTCATATCATGAACATTTTTAATCTTATTCATAGGGGCACAGCATCCGACTCGCAAAGGGCTGCAATGGGGGGTATCTTTAGCACTTTAGCAGCCTTCGGAGGCGGTCTTCGAGCCCGTCGAGGGCATTGTGACACTTCGTCTCCTCGTCCACAGATTCCTCAGCCAGCGATGGGTCTTTGCACAGTCCCAAGCCTCTCATTTTGGTGTGCACCCGCATGCATTGACGTAGCTGCATCTGCCTTCCGCATGTACTGTGAGAATAGTTAGTGTGTTGACACTGCAAAGAATGATGTTCTCTTGTTGTAGCATGCGGCACTCTAGTGAAGCCTGATATGGTATACTGCAATCCTTGACTGCCGCTGACCGAGAACATTCCAGAACACATTAACGCAACTACTTGAGAAGTGATGCTGTTCAACGACTACAGTACCTGTGAACGGAAATTGGATCTGTGAACAACTTGGGCTGAACCGCCACTCAAACAGCCACCCAAAACAAAAGGGAGCAGCCGTCTGAATGAGTCACAGTGCCTCCAGACCCCGTGCACTCCCACCCACCCACCCACCCTCACAGTGCGATCCCTTGCAACCTCACTCCACCCCAGGGCACGGCTAGCGACGGAGGCATACAGTCGAGGTGTACTGAGAAGCAAGCGCAAGTGGCAATCGGCTGCGGCTGTTGCTGCTTGGCTTGTCGCGCGAAGACCTGACAGCAATCAGCGGTCGGCGGTCATAGCAAAATAGAAGTCACACTGCACCGACCTCGTCTGACATTGCCAGCTTGACATGCCTCACAGCTGCAAGACCTGCTGACTCAGAGTAGGGCCATGATGTCAGTGCTTGTCTTTTCGAGAGTCTCAGCGGATGCGCGTCCTGCCAGTAGCAGCATGGGTGACATGCTGGGACTGCTAGATACAGTATCTGAATACACACAATGTTTTCCACAAGCATCTGAACAGCCGACACGCGATCGCGATGAGTCATGCCCGAAACGAAACTTTGAAACTTGTCTGCTTTGGAAGCCGCAATGGTCTGTGGTGACTACGCACCTACAGTAGGCAGGCGCTTCCTCACCTGCTACCGCATGTTTGCACACTAAACCTGCTCCAAGACGCAACTCGACGGGCTTGTTGCAACGAATGCATCTTGCAAGGTAACCCACGGGCCGAGGATGGCTCGGCTCACGTCCCTGCAACCAAAGCCCTGCGGCAACATGATTTTTGACAATCCCTGTCTTGAGGCAGTCGGGGAGGCCATCTTCTGCTTCGGCTTCGGCAGGATACGGCCATCCTCGGCAGCATTCTCAGGTCGTTAGTGTCTATTTCCAAGCTGCAGGATTGGCATGACAAGGTACGTGCCACCAATGTTCATCAAGTTCAGTAGTGCCCATTGCAGCATTTATCGAATGCTGATGCAGCATCTGGCCTATTCTCGGACGGATGATGCCACAAACTGCCAGGTTGCAGCGTGCGGTCTCGAGGAAGCGAAAGACGTCTGGCTCAGTACATCCTCGGATCGCGAGTCAAAAGCGAAAATGAGGACTGCTTTCGCCTGGACTAGGCGATGGGGTTCATCATTTCAATTTCTGGGGCGTAGCCACAAGCATTCTCGGACATGCGGCAACCTGCAGCAATCGCCACGCTCTCAGCATACTCTGCATGCCAGGCCAAGCGTCTGCCTCCTTGGTGCTGAAGGATTTCGCCCCATGGGTTCGGCTCAAAGCATCCTGAAGCCGTGAAGGCCAAGGAGATCCCATATGAGCAATCCCAGGAGCTCTGCCAGAATGCATACTTTGCATGGTAAGCAAATGTATGGGCTCCAACATGCGCCCCAAAAGACGTAACACAGTCCTTGAGAATTCCGGAGGGCTCTGTCTCAGCTCGCTCACGTGACGCGTCAAACCCGAGGTCGTTGGCCTCGATTTTGTAAAGGCCATGACGCAACCTCTGCGAGGTTACTGGGCTTTACTGGCCTGACGCAAACTACACAAAGCGGGTCCTTCGCATAACTACGCTGCAACTCCTGCCGCTCCGCCGCCAGCCAGATCCATCAGTGAAGCATTCGGGAAGTAAAAGCAGATGCGTACCACCATAAGCACAATGTCCGGGAGCCCCCCTAAATCCTGAAGCCGCTTTCAAAGTAAGGTTGGGAAGGATGGGAGAGCCCCTCCGGACAGGTCACGATCGACGTCGGGCTCTTCAGCCAGTCTCGGACGGCAGCGAACGTTTCGCTTTCGTGCCACCTGAGTTCTCCAGCGGTAACGAGGCGGAACGTCCCCTTACTTTACCTTCGGCACCACAGTACGCAGGCGGTGGAATCATATGGAATCATGGCACTCCTGTACTGCTGTCTGAATTTGTGGCTAGCCACGATGATGGGGATGCTTCCTTGCCACCCAGCCGTGCACTCGAAGCGGAGTCCTGCCGAACAATCTGGAAGGGGACGAGAGGGCAGCTGTCTGCTTCGGGACAGCTGATTTCACTGATATCCATATGATCCCTCAGGATAGTTCGGACGATTTCGGAGCTGTTTTCGAACAGTCTTCAAACCAAGACAATTGAGCCGAGATAGAGGATGGCCGAGTCCTTGCTTCCCGCACGACTGCATATGCCGAACCTCTCAGAAACGCGGAGCGCGTTTGAAGGGGGGGCACTAGAGGGGGGGCGCATCGCCATGCTTTCTTTCGCTTTAGTTAGGCGATGCTTCTGGCGATTCACCCGTTTGCATGGCATGACGATGAGGCCGAGGAGCCCAAACCCCAACTGATCAGGCTGACGCATGTGGAATGCATCTGTCTCCTGGCAGGGTCTCGCATCTCCACATACAGCAGCAGCACGCAGCAGCAAAACAAAAATGCCCCCCCCAGCTCTTGCAGCGCTTAGGCTTTTTGCGAACTCTATGCATCTCCTTCGTGGTGTCAGGCAGCCCAAAGTCCAAGCCCCGCTTCACTTCCGCAGGGGTGCCAAAGTCAGATGCTTCCTGGACACTTGCACGCATGGCTGATAGGACTTCAAGCATGTAGCATACATCGCAAGCAACGTGGAGATGGGCAGTGGCGCTTCGGGTCTTGAGCTCGATAGGAGAGTGCCGGTGAAGTTTGATCAATTACAGAGAGCCAGTGACACATGTAGTGTCTCTTGATGCAGCTTTGGCCTCAACGTGCCAAGAAGGATTTTGATTTGGGTCATCTGCATACCCAAAAGCCCTGGAGCAAGGTTGGCGTTTCTGCACTGAGTTCACGATCCCAACCCCACAGCAAATACGCACATCCCGCACTGTGGTGGCAGTGCATGCAGCCTTGCTGGAGCTGCGACTTCCCCCCTCCTGCACAATGCGGTATTATGCTGCCATGCGCTTTCTGTGCATGGTGATTCCAGCAGAATACACAGCAGTTTGTCTGCGACATGTCCAGATTGCTCGGGACCGAGATTTCAGGGACAACAGTATCTGACTTGCGCTTTGCGATGTCCTTGATCGAGGTGGGGGTGTGATCCGACCTTGCACTTTTCAAGTGGCTAGAATCTCGGAAGGGATCGCATGCAGCCACATCCACATTCGCAAAGTGCCGACAACTGCATGAAGAACAGCCAATGCTCCAACATGCTCCAAACAAGCTAAGAAGCCAAGGCATGACGGAGGGCTTCGGCCGTGGTATCTGCCAGCGGGGCGTTTGGTACATCTTTTTTGCTCTGCAGTATCCAACACAAAGATGAGATGCTGTTGCAGCGTGCCTGAACAGTGGACGCAGAAGACACGGAGTGGTTGCTGCCTGGGTGCCGCGCGGACATATTCCTGCTTGGGGATTGCTTGGGCAACTCTGCGAAGATCCGCTCGGCTACTCATAGCAGCGCTCAGCGCAGGTCTGAGCTGGACTAGACCGGTCATGAGTCAAGCCGAGATTTGGGTTGGCAAGGGAGAGGAGAAGAAGAAACGATCCAAGATCTCACTTGAGCTCAGCTGCCATCACCATCAGAGTAGCCTGGTAGGTCACACACCACATTCCCTACGCTGTCTCACCGATTTCGCAGCCCACCTCGATTTCGAGCCCCCACTGGCGCCACAGAGAGGGTCGAGGCAGGAGACGCGGTGTTTGGGCTGCTCTCTGGCAAGACCTGAGCAGACAGCCAAGCTCGGGGCAATGTTGGCAGAAATGGGCGTAAAGTTCTGAGCAGACGTCAGGCATGGTCTCGCATTGTTGAAATACTGATGCCACGAACAGGCTGAGAGCTTTTGCCTCCCAAAACCTCCAGCCATTCAACTAACCGCGCAGTGCCGAGCCTCCGCAGCGTTGGAGGTTGGAGGTCGGCCCCTGCAGAGCCAGGAAGAGCACATCATCAATGTTGTTATTACTATTGTTACTATTCATATTATTAGTACTGCTATTATGATTATTATGATTATATTAATATTGCTACATTGGTATTATTAGTATTGTTATTATTTTTATGATTGATTGTTATTGTTAGGGTTCTTCTTCTCACTCTGATGCAATGAAGCTTTTTTGGGCCTCGACTCGCTGTCGACGGTTACCTCCTTTGTGGCGGCGACTGACTGCAGAGCCTCCAAGCTGATGGGCACATACCGACACAGCGCCTGCTTGACTGCAATGCACTTCCGCAAGCCTCAGCCATTTCCAACCGCCTAAGGGATCCTCTGCTTACTGGATCCAGTGATGCTCTTATGTGCTTCTCAGGTGCTGTCGGATTCCAGCTTTTGAAACTGTACTGTAAGCCACCAACACATGCCCACACATTGCTGTAGCCACAGGATAATCCCTTCCCCCTAATATTCACCCGGGGTAGGGGAAGGGATTGCGAGGTTTGGACTTTGCGATTTTGGGCCTGCAGCCGTGCGCCCCAAAGTAGTTGGAGGATTTGGATCAGGGATTCATAGGGATTCTATACTACAGCTGAAGCCCCAACCGTGAAGATACGCAGCAGTCTGAGGTTCACCAAGTGCTGGGCCATGGGCAGAGGCGAAACTGCTAAACCCTAAGCTGCAGTAAGCCAGGACGGCAGGCCCCCTCAAAGCAAAAGCTCTGAGTTCATGCGAGATGGACAGTCAGCTGGCCTTGCTCGGCGTTGGCCTGCAACTTCATCGACTCTAAGGGGGATTTTGGCATTCTTCAACTCATGCAAGTTTGTTACCAGCAACTAGTACGCGCCGGGCAGCCTCCGTGAGGTGTAGTGGGCTTTTGCCGAACAACATGTGGAAAAGGCATGCGGAGCAAGCGCAGAAAGCATGAGAGCCACAGCTAAGAACCCCTCAACCTCTGCCGAATCCCAGTTGCTTAAATTCTCTGCTCTTTGAAATCACTCTGCACAAATAAAACCTTACAGTAACATCACAACATATTCTGCTAAATGTAGAATTACACATATGCTATTGAAATCCCCTGGGAAAACTCCCAAATGATCCGCGTGCTTATTCCGTGCTTTCAATGTGCGCCTCGCCGGCTCCAGGAGCTGCTTCAGGCCAACGTCAGCAGTGGACTGCCAGGGGCGTAGTTCGCTCCGCCGTTAAGAGTGATAGTAGTAGTAGTAGTAGTAGGAAAATCACGTACGCGTGCTACCTAATACTAGAGACAAGAGCAATAAGAGTAGGTACTACGGTAATAATGGTGACATTCGTACTAACAGCAATTATTTTGCGGTAGTTGCAATAATGTCACATCGCAACGGACAGTGACCGTCGCTCAGGGAATGCAACTCTGCGGGCAACGTGAACCAAGCATGGACAAGATGCACCCTGGTGAACTCAACCCTTCCCCCGGAAACATATATAAACTCGTATCGCAAGCCTTCGTGAGCTCCAACGATGCACCAGGCACTTGGAGCACAATCCAGTTATGCTTCAGAGCATCCTGGCCGTGCATCGCAGAAGTGCAGTAGCAGGCGAAATCAACAACACAAGCAACATGGTCTGGAGATGTCTGGAGAATCAGCACTCAACATCCTCTGGCACATCGCCGAGTGCTTGTTCGAAAGCACCCGGCACTGACTGGCAAAGAACTTAGAATATCCCAGCAGTGCCTTGAGCCCAATGCGCCTCAGTTCACAATTAATTCCATGCTGCGTGATAGGTTCGCAGACATGACTTGCAGAAGATCTGGCAACGATCAGCTGCTGTTCATGCCAGGATACTTCGCGGGCTCACGAACCAAGAGCTTCTGCATCAAGTCAGCGGCTAGCGGCGGCACGTAACCCGGCACCTTCCATCTGTGTTCCAATATCGGAGTATACTACGGATATGTTGCAGTTGAGAGGTTGACATCTAAGACCGATGTAGAATTACAAATCAATATACTAAAAAGTGCTATAACTTTCAGGCTGCAGTATATACAAGTGCCTGCAGGTCCACTTTGCGAATTCGGTCAGTCGCCTTGGCCGGGCCTGAGGTGTGCTGAGGCATGTCAGCTACAACTCTGTTTAGGGTTCAGGGTCTAGGGTCTAGGGTTTAGGGCTTAGGGTTTAGGGTTTAGGGTTTAGGGTGGGGGGGGGGGGGGGGGCGGGGGGGGGGGGGGGGGGAGGGCGGGAGCGGAGGGGGAGGGGGGTTCCTGAAATGAGGGGCACCCCCCAGTTTGCCCCTCAAGGTGCTAGAATCCTTTTTTTGAAGCCCCTCAAAAAGGGCACACCTTATCCCATGTGTTGTACTATTCGCGCACTTAGGCCAGCACTGCCTAGCGTCCATCACGCAATGCTCCAACTAAGTCACCATTTCTATACCTACCACAAGAACAGACACACATACAAGAAACTTACACACATTTCTGCACTTTCTTGTGCAGAGCGGTACGTGCGTGATCTTAGGGGCTTCTGCTCACATGGCTGTAGCATGGGAGTTGCATGCCGTGGTGAGCCCAGCATGCTGTCCCCTGTCCACTAGGGTATTGGCAGGTCAACAAAATTCTGACGAACCTAGGAACAAAAAAGGGTTGCTCTTGTTGGTTTAAAAGGGTTTAGAACCCAAACCCTAAAGGAAGGGAATAAAGGGCCTGCTCACACTCTGTTTCCGGAGCCCCCCGAATTCTTGCCGGGCATCTTGGAGCGGAAAACGGAGCCCTGCCGGTCAGCATCTCGAAGAGAAGCACGCCTGCATGGCAAGAACGGATAACGCTTGATACCGCTTGATGAAGCAAGATGCAAAAGCCTAGCGCTTGCAGTATATGTGCGCTTTTACATGTGATACCATGCCTGTGGCCCAAATATCCACTTTGCTGTCATGAGGCTGGTTCTCCACCTTGGCAATAGACTTAAGTCCGGCAGGCTTCTGACTAGAAAACGTCTTGCATTCTCGATTGAAAAGCACCACCAGCGACACAGCCGCATGTTATGTCGGCACATGCTAAGTGTTTGCACCATCTCAGGGGAGAGGTAGTCCCACGTTCCGCCTTGGATGACATGTTGCTCAAAAGTTGTTCTATCCGAGAGCCCACAAGGCGGCATGAGCTGAAATCTGGGGGCAGAGTGATCCGTAAATCCGGCGCCAAATCCACTGGATCCAATTGCCCCGAGAGTCAAAAGGTATTCCGCGGCGCGCCATCTCGCGACAGTTCCGCACACCAGCCGAAGTCTGCGAGCTTGGCCTGGCAGCCAGATGTTGCCAGTGCTGGTAATTTAGCCGAGATGCAGGGATGTTGGCAAGCACCGGCCAGAGCTCTCACGCAGGACGCCACTGAAATCAAACGAGTGCTTGAAGCGACGGCAATGGGCTTGTGAAGCTAAAGCGTGCAGAGGTAACATTTCTGAAGAGCCCTACGACTACCACGACGCATTGCAAAAACTGATGCTGTGTGCTTCCCGTTGATCAGCGTGAGGTCACAGCAGCATCGACATCTTAAGCTCTCGCCATATCACAAAGCTGCTCTCCACATGCGGACCTTGCCTTTCTCGGAGGTTCCCCACACATGAGGATGTTCTCGGGCTTCAGGTCCCTGTGAACCTGAGGAAAGTTAGAAGCAGCTCGGCCTCCACGGTTACGAGATGTACCCTTTGCCTCTTCGTTCCCAAGCAAGCATGGCGTAAATCAAAGTCCTATGTCTCAAGACTGTCTCACTGCGCGCCGGCTGGATATTGGATTTCCGGCAGAATCTAGGCCCTTGCTTCTTATCTCCCTCTCCCTTTCTACCAAGCTGTGATGCCTCTTCCTGCCTGAAGGCTCAACAAGAAGCCCTCTCGAACTACCACACCATCCACTCTGTAACCGGAAAAAACTCTGTGGCAGGACGCAATCCCATACTTGTGCAGGTGCATGAGAGCCATGGCGACATCGACGTAGTACCTGCCAGAACTTAACAGGGCCACGCCTTTTTTCTTCCAATACACAAAATAGTTCCGCAACACTCAGAGAGGCACCTCGCCGCTTCAGCCTCAGGCAGCTGCCCATGTTGCCTGGGACAACTCTGAGTTTTAAGAGCCGCAAAAAAGTTTTGACAGAAGCATGGACTTCTAGTGGCCCACTCTTTCGTGCAATGCATTCAAGACGGTACACCTGACAAGCTACCTCGGCAGCCTTGCTGAAACCGCTGTATCCCATGTTCGTCTTTCGCGCCGGGCATTCGCAAACAAAGGTATGGCTATCCGTTATCCAGGTTCTCCCCACTAGCAATCAGGCCAGCCTCAAGAGAGAGAAAAGGGAGCCACCATTGGCGTACTCCAGTAACAAAAGCACATGGTGCTCATCTTCAAAGTAGTAGTGCAGCTGCACTATACCTGAGGTCTCCGATGCAGCATACTGAGGCTGGGCACACCCTAACGAATACATGCATCCCTCCGCATGTTTTGCAATCTGGAAGCATGGATGGGTCAGCTGCATCTGTGTCCGGATTTCCCGCATCAGGTAGGCCTCATGGGGGTCCCTAGGAAAAGTGCGGTTCCTTTCGCAAGAAGGGGGGATTTGTCAGTAGCATGTTCTGACCGAGTTTTGGGGCGTCTCCCTTGCCAAGCCTCCCTGGTGGGCAGGAGTCCATGTAGATCGGCTTGAATTGAGTACGAACCACGCTCATTTCATGATGTCGTGGCCAGGGCTGCTGGCACCCGCTCGCCCACTTTTGCATGCCCAGCTCCCCCCAAGAAGCACAACCCCACTGCTGGCTCAGCCGAGATTCTAGCATGCCCTGGTCGCGGATCTTCTGTTTTGGAACTGCTTTCATCGCATAAGTCCTGGGACTCGCAGGAGATCGCGAGAGTCTGATTGACCCTGTTTAGTGGGGAGGTTCTCAATGAAGACAAGTTCCGGGCGCAAGCCCAGTAACATCATGGGAAAGACACCGGAGGGGTCCTCTTTAAAGTCTATCCGAGCGTCCTAGGAATATTTCCAGAAACACCCCTAGCGGGCATTGGCTGTTTCATGTCAATAGCTCAGTCCAATGGTCTCGATGGTCTATGCTGCTTGTTCGAGCCTCTGCACATGAAGCAGTCTCCGCCAAGAAAGCAGATATACTAGCTTGCCAGGTGGCTCGCCGGTTTTCTTGTGGCGGACCCTCGTGACTTGCCCATAGGAGCCTTTGTCAGAGAGCGGCCTACTTGTACTAAGTTGTCGAAGCACTGCTATAGGACTGCTAGGAATGTGCATACTCTTTATCACGCAAACACACGGCCGCATGTCTAACCAAGGAACCGTTGCCAATGGGATCTCCGATGGTTTGAAAGTTGTCAGCACTCTCCTGTCTCCACCTCTGAATTGCAGCAAGCCTCGGCACAAGGCAACGCTAGAACGGTAAGGTCTGGCTATGGCTGTGCGGTCATGCTGGTGGTAGCCACGGACGCATGGCTGCTATGCGTGCTAAGTCGCAAGTCCTTCGTGCGTCCATCACTCCCGGCAGCTGGTGAACCGCCTGTCGGCAGTATCGGCGGCGGGAAAGACAGCCGTAATATGAATAATAATATTAATATTAATGTTTTGATACTGTGGGGTAGGTACCAGCAGCTATGGCCCCAACGGCTCAAAAGGAGCAGCTTAGACAATTCAAAGAAAACATTTTTTGGGCCTTCACGACACAGTCACCCAATCGGACAAAACGAGCCTCCACTCTTGGTCGGTGACTCGTCCACACCCTGAGGAGGGGGCATACAATGGCCCAATATGGCATCACAGTATCCCCCAAAGCCAGATGCTTTAGACTTGCAGTGGCTGCTGAGCGTAGTCCATGGTTGTTGAGGAGCCTACTGCCGACAGAACAGCGAGACACAGGACAGCACGGCACTTCCGATGCCTTGGGCGGGATGCTTGAAACCTCGGCTGCGTGCCGGTCTTGACATAAAATCCACCCAACTTCACCCTCAGATCCCTACGCGCACACGCAGTCCTGGGACCCTGGCAGCGCCGGGGCCGGGAAGTTGGACCTCAAGAAATCATGAAGATGAGAAGCTCACATCGAAGGAAGATTGATTGGGTTGGAACTCACTTCCTGCCAGAGGGCCTGTGGCTGCGCACCGAAGTCGGCTGGCCGTGTCCGAGAGAGAGCCACAGCCTTCAGCAAGACCAGAGGTCAGTTGAGGTCAGTGTTTTTCTCGTGCTTAGCTGCTTGCCTGGCTGAAGATCCCACATCTAAGGCTGCAGCCACAAGCTGACCTGTGCCACTCCGCTCTCCCAAGCCGCTGTTCTTGCGTGTTTCCAGCTCCTCTCAAGTTCAATCAGTTCAGTCGGGTCGTGAAAGCAGAGAGAGAGAGGAGAAGAGAGGGCTGGTGGAATCTTCCACAGAATAAGACTCTGGGTCCCGCAAGCATTCTGGGTCCTCCTTGATCTGAGAAGCCTGCGGGCAAGCGAACCTTGGCTTCGGGCAGATTCTGAACCTTGTAGCATCAATCTCTGATCCGACACGGCTTCGCAGACGCATTCTTTCAGAGTTCACCAGACTGTCTAAGACTGCCCAGTGGCTGGTGCTCGGCATGCCACGCTGAGACGAAACACGCTTCCGAACAAAACTCAAGGCCACAGCGGCAGAACCTGGGCGGCTGACAGGCAGGCAGTAAACCGCATGGTAAGACCCCATATATGACCATCTGCACCAGGCCAGGTCGCGGTGGTGTGTGCTAGCGTTCATATTGGTAATTATATGACTGGTAAGGAAGCACAACATGTCTATACTTGCAGATTGGAGCCGCGATTCCGTGGCACTGCGTACACCAGTGCCACACGACCATGCCCTGTTCACTTCCAACTGCAGCTGGAGTGCAATGGCGGGCCTTGAAACACCGCACAGCTGTGGTCAAGTCCGATCATTGACATCACGCTTGGCAACGCACTCTACCCTCTACAGCACATCCATCGTCTTGCGCGTGCAGCGGGCATTCCCGGACATGAAAGTGTCACCTCGAAAGGTTCGCTTGCACTGGGGGCGTCCGCAGCTCATCTTCGCGTGCAGACGTGCAAAAAGTTGTCGGGGAAAAGTGGCCAAAGTGGCCTGGTTGCCTAAGCTGGTGTTGATGCGGCAGCTTCGATCTGGTTCAGGAGTGCTGGAAAACTTGTCTTGCCGCGACTGCTTATCCTATCTACTTGTGCTTCCTTTCACAGATTCAGTGGCTCCTGTCAACTCGCCACCGCACTGCACATGGTACGTATGTTTAATGGCTTGCAAAGCAAAGTCCAGTTGACATTTCGCATGTGCGGGTTCTCCTGCCAGCCAGAAAAGAAGTGACGCAACAGCATTCAACTCATTGTCGGTGCGCTGACAGTACGCTGGCCTATACACAACTTGCCAGGCAAAACGTGACTGCAGCTACTCATTTATTTCATTTTCAATTTGGCTGCGACAGCTCGACTTCTGTCGAGATCGGCTGAAGAGCGCGTGCCTCGATCTTCAAACGCTGTACATCGCGGCGGATCTGTCTGTATGCTCGCCGGGTGCGTCTAAGTGCCACTTTCTAGGCGACCCGCCCTTAGTCGCCATGGTGGTGCCGAAAGCGCTGAAAAGGCAAAGCGCTGCTAGAGCTGCAGCCAACCGCTGCGTCCCGAAAGCCTGGCTCTGAGGTTCTTTGAGAAGCATCAAGCCATGGGCAGCTGGATCAATGAGCTCTTCCTCCATGGACCACATGTGGGAGCACATGCCCTCCTCGGGTGCAGGCGCAGTTTCCGGGGATTCAACACCCTACTGCTGCTTCAATGCTTCAAGATGCGCATCCTTTTGTCTTGCGGTTCTCAGCTTCGAAGGACGAGAAAGCCCTGACAAAATTGGCTCTGCCGGAAGAAGCCTGGTGAAACGGAATGGTTGCGGTGAGCTACACGGGCACCCCTGTGTATTGGGGGTGCCTAGGAAAGCTACTCGGCAGCTTGCAAGATCTAGTTTAGAAATGCCGCCCATGCCAGGATTGAGAGAACCTACTCACGACAGCTCCCTGTCGACCATTCTCAGCCTTCGGCTCTACCTCGGCCTGCTGAACTTAAATTCAACACTTGTGGCGCTACGACTACCGAAGCCTCCTGATTCCTGACGGCTCCCCCTATGAATCTGCACGTCCGACGTCTGAGCCATGGCAGATCGGGATCGGGATCACGGTCTGAGAATATCTTGATCCGAAGCTGCGGTCCGACATTGCTAACAAAAAGCCGCAATTCAGGGCAAGCGTGTTGGGACAGGCAGTGTGCATAAGGCAAGAACCCTCTCCTCGTGAGTTGGAGCCGATCTCCATCGAGCTCCTTCCACATGTTGAACCATCTCATCTTGCGAAGCTTCAGCTGGCTGGCCCATCTCTTCTTCGAAAGTCTCGGGCCGGAGGGGGCTTGTGGTCCCTGACATGTGTGGATACGGGCACTCGTGTGGATAGAGGTGATGCAGCCACTGGGCAAAGAGGCGTCCATGGAGGGGCACCCGACCATTGTGGTGTTCGGCAATGTCGAACAAGCGCCGCTCTAGGCTGGGAGCGACCGTGTGGTTCAAGGCACCGAGGATGGCCTCAAGGTTGCTGGGGGGTTTAGGGTTTATGGGGTCTACAGGGTTTACAGGGTTTCGAGGGTTTACAGGGTCTAAAGGGTTTATAGGGTTTAGGGTAGGTACTGAGGATCACGGATGAGTTTTGTAGGACAACCCGAGCCTCCACTGTTGCCTGGTGCGACTGCAGCGCCTTCTCCAGCCGTGTCAGGTGTGCATCACACTCGTTGATGCAACAGACCATATAGTAGCTGGACGCAGCAATGCAGTTGGACAGACCAAGGATGTAGTTCGGAACCACCACCCGCAGAGTTTGCGGGTCTGTTTCATCAAGGGCGCCAATCTGACGCAAGTATGAGCTGCTCTCACTAAATTGCCACTGCCCTCCCTTCAATGCCATACTGTAGAAGTCGCTCAGTCGGACTCTGCCAGTGCGGGGGTGCTCCTCGTTCTGCAAGAGCTCTTCCTTCAATGCTTTGCACTCGTGACTCTGCCAGCGCCCATATCTCTCATCAACCACGGCAATCACCCGCGACAGGTCTTGCAAAGAGAGCGAAGTGGAGTTCTGAACCACCTCTGTCCGAATTGCCTGCAAGAAGTCTTGTGTTGCGGGCCAGGTGGGGTATTGCTCTGGAACTTCTTGGACCAGATCCAACATACCTCAGGCAAGAATGGGCAAGCAAGCTGATCGGATCGATGCAGGCACCATCACAGCTACACAGCACGACATGGGACCAGTCGGCATGATCACAGCAGGAACTTGTTTCGAGCAAGGCGCCCTCACTGTGCAGGTCCCCCATCTCCACACCCATGACGAAACTGGCCATGTATGCTTCGAGAACAGCCGTCGACTCATTCAGAGACCAGGAAGTACTCGTGGAAATCTGCAGCGCTCGGAAAGCCGCAGAGAGCCTCATGTCTGCCTCCTCGTGAACCATCTCCTCGATGACGGCTGCTAGTGTCGCCAGGTCCGTGAGACTTAGCCCGCCCTCAGACAGGCGAGCCTGTAGCCACTGTGTCACGTTGCTAGACATTCTCATGCCAAAGGTAAGAAGCAAAGCAGAATCCGCGTTTTTGACTGGCATCGACCCGCTCAGGCTGTGCCCATACAACTGCCATCCATAGAGTTGAGCAAAGAGTCGGTGCAAGGCATACTGTGCCTGACGATTTCACTGAGTCTTCAGCCCGAAAGGCCCAAGGGGCAAGAACAAAACCTTACTCGACAACTCCATGCAGTTCAGGCTCGGTTGTCGATCGGACGGTCCCATCCTCCGTCTTGGGAAGTGCTGAAAAAATGCCCGAAAGGGCATGCTCCAGCTGGATTTCTCGGCCTTGCCTCCCTTGATCTGCTCCGAGCCCGAACTCCGAGAAGACCGGCCCGGCCAGGCTCAGCAAGCAGGGACACAGCAAGATCATGGTTTTGAGGGAAATGCCAGAAGGCATCACCCTCATGGCTGTGTGCAGCCAACTACCTGACGCAGGCGGGGCGGGGGGGGCGTGGGGAGACACGCACGACCGACTCTTCCGCCTAAATTCGGAGATCTTTGGCCGACCCCGCGCCTGAGTATATGGAAATTTCTTGTAGGCGCCCGTTTCAGGCGAGTGCTGGCTGAGGGGTCCCGTGGGTGTCGGCCAACCCCAGTCAGCTTGAGAGAGAAAGGCAAAGGACCCACGAAGGACTATTTCGCGAATACTATTGCTTTATTGTGTTGCTTTATGTGTTTATTTACTGTTATCATGCTTTTCTTTCTTGAATTGTTACTACTACCGTCTTTTTGTCTTTATGTTGATTTTAACACAATAGTAGCGCAGCCATGCGAGGCTCTCTGTCTTCACTCACCATTGCCGCCCGCGGCAATTGCTAAGCACAAAGTTCAGGTTCTATTAATCAAAGCAAGCAAAGGCTGCACTGAGCTGATGGCGTTCGAAGTCAGACGCCAGACACCTAATCACTGCCTTCCGTCTTACTTGAAGCCTGTGTTTAGTCTTCTTTTGATATTTCGAAGCTTTGGAAACTGTGCGGGCAGGCTGTCCGTTCCACGACCTGCTGAGATTGACAAATGCCAAGCAGAATAGGCGACAGCGTGCTGGAGACCCTTCATTTGGTGCACAGCCTGTGGCGTGTGCAACAGGGTCGCCGCACCAGCAGACTCGAGGGAGTAAAGTACACGATCGCCAGGCTCAGCATGCAGCCAGCCCCCCCCCCCCAATCTGAATGCGCAGATCTTCGAGGTGGCGTGTGGTCTTGACACGCGAGTATATGCAGTTGTGTTTGTGAGCTCCCTCGAGGATCCCAGAGGGGTCAGGCCGGAAGAAGCTTAACGCTGAAGCAGAAACCGCTTCAGCTTCAGCTACATGTTGCACAAGGCTCGGCACGATTAAGGCATCCTCTTCAAGACTCTTCACAGCTTCGCTGTGACGTCGACAAAAAAACCTGTTCCTTGGCTTGTCTGGTTTCAGAGGGCCAAGCGATCTAAGAAGCCAGAGATTCTGCCTAAGTGCACACTGATCGGTTCAATGGCTGATGTTTTGATGTGTGTGGCTGAGGCGACACAGGACGAAGTAACGCCTCGTAGAGCCCATGACCCATGTTGATTAGGCAGAGTCTTGGCAGTCTGTAGATTCAAAACTGTTGCCGGCACCTCGCTGCCTGAACGCATATCCTGACACTCATCCAGAACAAAAGCCTTCCACATCCTCGCAGGGCCAGCCAAGCTCGCCGAAGCTTTGCATTAGCAAACAGAGTGCGTGCAAGTGCAGCTTCGCTGCAATGAATTTGGTGGGCAATGAAAGCCGTCACAAGCCGGCGAATATGTCCTTAGTGTTTTGGTGCAAATGTGCTGGCTTTGCTGACATGCACCGCCGCCCACGGCTCATTCTTTCACTGATTCTTGTTTCATGTGGCCCATGGAACCAAGGCACCGCTCTCAGGCTTTTGCCAAGTTCGCGAAGTTCATGTCTAGCAAATCTCTCATCAGCCTGTCATGGCGTCGATTGCACTCCAAGCATACTGTAAAGTACGGGGTCTTTGCCTGCGTAGCCATACGAATTCTACTGCTTCTCTCGGTTGCTGCTAAAGGCCCATTAATATGATTGAAATGTAGGTTTATTCCTTGAACAATTTACATATTGGCATATTGGTAGTGTCCTTTAAAGAATTTAACGTGCAAAGAAGAAGACATGCAAATGCAGGAGCTCAAAAGACTTATTACTGAAGTAAAAATAAGGGTTCGAAAATTATTCACACTAACTTAACCAGTCATCGGTTGGAGAGGCACCAACACAGCGTTACAGGCCACACCTTGATCTTTACCACGTTTAGAGTTTCAGCATCCCTCCGTGCTTCTTTGGCCCGACAAACTACGCACGTCTTGCAACAGGAACTGCCTAAGTAAGTCTCAGCATGTCCATGTCTCACCACATCTCACCTCAAGAAGTCGGGGAATTCCAACACGTCATCTTCCATCTCGCCCTGATCGTCCTTGCGAATCCTGTGGCTCATGTCAGGGGTGATGTGCAAGAATCCCATGGGTTGCCACCCACAGCCTTCAAAACGTGCACCATATATGTTATGATGATGAGGGTTGCACAATCCAATCTCAGCGGCCGACGCTTTCCACTTGAAAGTGCAAATTGGGCAACAAGTTCCTCCCCGGCCTCAGCTGGTCCTGAAACACTTCCCGCAGCTGCTCTGTCAAGCTGTTGCCCAAGGATGTAGTGCCTTGGGCAAAACATGTTGTCAGAGGGCCGCCATCCAGCAAATTTTCAAGCTATGCGATGATTCTTGTCAGGACTTGCGAGGGGGGGGGGGAGGGAGGCACTAGGTCCGTTGCGACATGTAAGAAGCAGCCATCTCTAAAACTTGCGCACTTTAAGCTTTTTCCTCTGCGTGTTGGCCTCTTGTGTCTTTTGTTTGTGAGGGGGGTGATCGAAAGACAGACGTGCGGGGCGGAACGAGGAATTCACAAAGAAATGCCGAAGAACAAGTAATTAAATCAATGTTACTTTTCCACAAGACACGGTCACTGTATAATAAAAATATTAAAGATGCAAATTTGAATATCAACCTTTTTAGGGCTTGGTGTCCAGGTCGAATCAAGAGAAGTTGCTTCGAAAAGCATGGGAATCCTTCGCTTTAACTCTAGAAGACGACTGAACTTAGATCTAGGCGTTGCCATGCCAACGGCTGATGTAGCCTGTCACTGCTGCAGAGCCGCCATGAAGCAGCATCCACACTTCCTCGAAAGTAACTGAAGTGCTGTTTGAGCTGGCCTTAGCTCAAGCATACGAGCTTGAAGCAGTCAAAACAACGCGATCAGCATGTCAAAGGAACGCCCACAGGTGCAGCGCTCTTGCTTTGTGCTCTGTTACAGCTAGGTGACCGCAAGGAAGAGGTCTCGGAAGGCTTGCACCTCCACTTGATTGAAGCCTGTTTCCTGCATATTCAGGCTTTTCAGATAGACCGGTCATCTCCAGGCTTTGGGGCTTCGAGGATCGGGTCATGAGTCACAAGGAATCGGGGCGACATTTTCAAATGAAGTTGCAGGTGTGGGTTAATGACTGTAATGTCCCCGTTCCCCCTGCGGCGCATGATGAAGAGGGTTCTGAACTTGCCTTTCTTCGGCTTGACAAAGGAAACTCACTCCCCAAGTCCGAAGCCCCATGATTGGTTTGCGTAGAGGTCCTCGATTGCGGCCTGTTGTCTCTTTGCAACTGTCTTCTCCTGCCCGGCATGCTGCTTGTATAAGTTCCCTTCCACAGCTACAGCGCAAGTGAGGTGGACAGACGCTGCGCTAGTTCATGTTTCAGGGAGAACTGATGATTTCCGGACAGTGCACCTGTGCACAGCGGCATAGCTGCACCAACGACAGGAACTCGTGGAAACCTAAGTCGAGACAGACTTAGGCCGCCCATATGTTGTTTGCACAGACGCTGGCAGCCAGGCGACATGTTCTGCTACTTGACTTGCAGCCATTGACTGTCTGCTGTCATGCTGCCCATACCTTGGCACTGAGGCAGACGCCCAAGAGTCCCGTGCTATCGACCTGCACGCTTTGCAGAATCGCCTTCAGCTCCGGCCTGTCGGCTGAGAGCATCTGACCAAGGTGAGGTACGTGGGCTCGAGAATTATGCACATGGCTACGCTTCTCACAAAATTGAAGCACATTACAATATGCACTGCGCATGTGCTGGATGGATATGGCATCGTCAGCCGTGAGATGCGTGAGCCATTCCGATGCCGTGCTGGTGATTTGCAGTTTGCACCGAGGTCGACATGTCCAAAGAGAGCTGCTGGATGATCACATCTAGGACACTTCATCCCTTCCCGTCAAAATGCGCAGCAAGTGTCCGGAAGAATGGATCCCTCGAGAGGTTCGGCAAGATCTCAGACAGCAGTCGGATGAGCTCCTGATCAGGAACTATATTGTAACTACAATGCTAGCTTGTTTGGTGATGGAACCCAAAGAGCGGTCTTCGCGATTAGCCTTACTTGCCTCACCTAGCAAGATGCCCCCAAACTGCCCCAAACTCCATATCCGTCCTTGTTGGAGACAAAGCCCGTCTCGTGTGGGTCATAGCCCTCAAACACTTTCCTTGATTCTGGACAAAAAACATCAACGGCAACTGGACTGCGCTTAAGGCCGTGCAATGTGCATGGCGCAATGACAAAAAAACTTTGAGTGAAAACGTGTCAGACTGGATGTCGAGCAGAGCAGCTTAAGCAAGCGCATCTGCGAGCTATTCCACCCACCATTTACTCTGCACTCTTTCCGCCGCTCTCGGAAGAGCCGTGAACAAACGGCCAGGAAACTGTCTTCCTCAGCTGCGGCGTCACATTCGGCAGTGCGTGAGGCCCAAAGTGACTTGACTGCCAACCGCTGTGTGTGGGCCAAGCGAGACTGGAGACCGGAAAATGCGCAATGATTTATGCTTCAAACCTGATGGCTTCTACGTCTGCACACGAGCTTGCCAGCACTTGTCAAAAAATCTCAATTCTCCATAATTGTGAGCCAGGAAGCTGACACATCCTCATCTTCCTCCTCACTGAAGGCATCAACCTCGACCGTGTAACCGAAGCGAGACAAGAGCCGCACCTTAGGTGCGCTGGCAGCCTGGCCACTACCATCTTGCCGCGCCCTGCGGCTTGAACATTGCACCGAAGCTACGAGGAGTTGAAACCGAAAGTTCCAAGTACACAACATGAGGCAATCAACGGAAAACCTGACCCTGAGGATGGGACTTGAACAGATGGAGAAAACATTTGCAATGTGTCTGGTGCGAATCAGGTAAAATCCACCGGCAGCAACACATTCACTCGTCGATCGAGTCAGTTTCGGTGAGGGTTGCTCATGCCCGACAACACACTTGACTTGATGTCGGCTGTCGGCCGGACATCTGTGATTTCTTCCTCTTGTACCGAATGTTCTTGCGACTCTATGGCCTAAGCATGA